TACATTTTTTTTAGAAGAAACATGACTTCAACTGGCTCTGTGATATGAGCAGGGCTGGCCCCAATACATTTTGGCACCTGAGGCAGACCCCAAAATGGCACCCCACTCCCCACCAGGGAAGAAGGCGTGAGGAAAGATCTAGATCAGGAACAAAGCGGGAAGGAACATCAAAATCCGGACCTGCTACCCTAGTGGATCCTGCTGCCTGAGACAGTTGCCTCACCTTGCCTCATGGGTGGGCCAGCCCTGGATGTGGCCACGTATCTGTTGGTTCACACGGGTTAGAGATGAAGGGGATAATTTTGATGCTGTTCACATTTAAAGAGGAACCTACGTAATGTGCCCCATTATGAAGCAATACAAGAACTGAAACACGGCTGTCCTTTGAAACTTGCACTTTTCCAGATTTTGCAGTGAGCACAAAAATGCATGCAAGGAGGTACAATGTTCATATAAATGTATGTATTAGTCAAAATAACCTACTAAATGCATTATGTATGGGGAAACTGTTTTGTAAAAATGGATATATTAGGCAAAATTGCATACAAAAAATTCATGGTAGGGGAAATGCTGATGATGAATCTTCACAAATACTTTTTTCTTTTCTTAAATTGCATACTGGTGTCGAAATGTGGAGAACTAAACCACTGGAAAAGTGAGAAACTGAAACATTTGCCCAGTGGCAGATTTTGGACTTGCAAATTTTAGTGGCGCCTTGTGCAACGCCAAAATCCCCCCGCCTTTCACCTTCTGTTTGAAGTCATTACTGCAGCATCCTCTTGGCTTAGTGTCCATTGCAGGTGAACTGGTTGCGCTCCCCTAAATCCGCCTCTGATTCACCCATCCCTAACTTGGATCTGGAGTGGCGAACAAAAGGGCTCCTTCCATTTAAGGAAATGACTAAGATCCATCAATGCTGATGCAGGCAGCCATTTCCAACCCCTGTATAAAATTCTCTCGTACATACTGTACTACATACAATTAAGCAGGAAGCAACATGGGGCTACTTCCTGGAGTATTTTTAAAAAATGCTTTTCTGTCTGGCAGAAAACTTCAAACTGTTACATAAGAATGAAAGCAGCCCTCTGATCACCTTCTAAGTGCAGTATCTACATTTACCCCTGGAAATTCCCCCCCTATGGATTTTTAGGATTTCCCCTAAAAATCTGCATGGAATCAGGATGGGACAGACTTCTTTTGTACGTATGCATGCATGGATGAAAATCAACTGAGGGTGTTCATCTATTCCTAGCACGGATGCCCCATCTCTGGGTTAGACCTTGAAGTCTTTGATATATGAGGTCTAGCATTTATTTTCTCCTACAATACTGTTCACTTTTCATATTACTGTTGTCCTTCCAATTTACTCAGTTGCTCATAGTCAACAAGTGCTTTCTAGTAGTGAGTCCCAAAATATCTGAAAGACAACTTCCTTTCCTACAGATACTCTAAGGTGGCAGAGGGGGCTCTCTTACAGGCTGGTGCCTCTCACCTTGCAGTCTATTACTTTTAAAATGCCCTGTTGAAAAACACAGCTTCAGCTTTGAAATAGAATCATTTCCCCCTTGTATTCAGACTTACAGCCTGCTCCATCCTGGAAGATCTGAGGAACAGAACACAGGAAGCTGCCTTATACTGAGTCAGACCATTGATCCATCTAGCTCAGTCCTGTCTACACTGACTGGCAACAGCTCTCTGGGGTTTCAGGCAGGGCTCTCTCCAGGGTAACAGTGCAGTAAAATCAAATACAGAGTCCAGTTCATTTCACCAAAAGGTGAGGTTGGGATTAAATTTATTTTAAAGAGGTTACCAATTGACATTAAAAACCCAAACTATACCAGCTTAATTTCATCCTCAAAAATAGCTTACAGGACTTCTGCAAGATACTCAGAATTAGTCATATATGGCTGCTTGCTTCCTTGCTGCATTTCAGCTTCCCCAAATGGCGGGATGTGTTTTTTCACACAAAATCATCTATCAATAATTGATGTCATCATTATGGTTGCTTCTGAGACACATAAAGATCCAGACTTGTCCAGATGTAGCACCACCGAAACAGAGGGGATGGGGAGAGATAAGCAATCCATTCTTTTTGGATTTGGGGGAGCTATTAATAATTCAACTTTGCTATTCATAACTTTTTATTATAAGGTGACTCATTTAAAAAGAAACAGCAACCAGATAAAGAGTTATTTTGTTCTGTTCTCAAGATTTCATTATAAAGATGCAACTGAAGAAAGCTATGTTATGACCCATGGCAGTGGGGCTAGATTCTCTTCCCAATAATTGCTGATTGCTCACTGATTTTAATTTAGTTTTGAATTTGGCACTTAGCCAGTGCTGAAAATTATGATCCTCCCCACCCCACAATAAATGTAGAGAAGATTTATGTGAGTACAAGATCACAGCCTAACCTTTTAATCTTGCATTTTGTTTTGATCTCTTGGCTGTATATATTCTTATTGAGCTCAAACCATTCTTAGCCATGCTTAGTATGGACTAGAGGGCAGCGGTGTCAACCATGTCTACTACAATGTTTGTGGATTATTCCTCTACAACCTACTTGCAAAAGAAGACAGACTTGCATAAGATTTGCATATGTTTTGTTCCTGTACAAATCAGGGGCACACACAGATAATAAATGTCTGATGGACAGAATGAACAAGTGAAGCTTTTCCCATAACTGTATTTTCATATTAGAAGAGGCTTTCATGATATTCTACCTGTGACACAGTTGTTAAAGGCACAAGAACCCCATTTTCCCACAGTGCCAATCCTAAACTAAAGCCAAGACAACTATTCTAACATACCCCAAAGTAAACCCCATTAAGCACAAAGAGATGTACTTTTAAGTAGATATGCATAGCATTGTACTGTAAGTAAACTGTATACAGTGGATTCTTAATGAGTGTTTGGCTTTAGGTTCTGCACAACAAGAGACATGCCTAAGACTCTTTGCAAAGTTTGTATTTGCTATTGGGAATTCTTTAACGTCCACCTGAACCTATTGTGTAGTAATCCTGGCAGCTAGGTGAAAAGGAAGGGCACTCTATAGAGATTTTAGAAAATGACAAATAGACTAGAAAACGATGTGGAAAAAATATATAGCAGCTCTTCATGACCCTGGTGTCCAAACAATTCACTCATCAATTCCACCTCTCATTTACTCATTGGCTAAAAACATGGAAAGGTGGAAGCAGTCAGGCTGGGTCATCTAACTAAAATCACTCCAAAGGTTAGCTGCATATTTTGCTTCATAACTTTCTTTTTAAGAGGACTAGAGACTTGCGATTTTGATTTAAACTAAAGTGCAAAGTTTGGGGAACCTGTTGGCTGTGGGGCCAGGTACAGCACTCTCAGAACCCCTGCTAATGGGTATAAGGTAAAGGTAAAGGGACCCCTGACCATTAGGTCCTCCAGTTGTGACCGACTCTGGGGTTGCGGCGCTCATCTCGCTTTATTGGCCAAGGGAGCTGGCATACAGCTTCCGGGTCATGTGGCCAGCAGGACTAAGCCGCTTCTGGCGAAACCAGAGCAGCACACGGAAACGCTGTTTACCTTCCCGCCAGAGCGGTACCTATTTATCTACTTGCACTTTGACGTGCTTTTGAACTGCTAGGTTGGCAGGAGCAGGGACCGAGCAATGGGAGCTCACCCCGTCGCAGGGATTCGAAACGCCGACTTTCTGATCGGCAAGTCCTAGGCACAGCGCCACCCCTGTCCTTTCTAATGGGTATAAGCATAACTAAATTTGGATTCAACCCAGCATATATTTAAAACTTTTTTTAAAAATCAGTTTAAAAATTAAATAATCTGACAGCCTGTTTTCATTGTTGACAATCTCTTTGTTTCTCCTTAAAGTCTTAGGGATGGATAGGTATAAAATGCGACTGGCCAAATCTATGTTAAAGACTTCACTTTTTAACCTTTTGCTATTTTCTCTATCATTTCCCCCCCTTTTATGCCATCTTTGCACATTGTGAGGTGGTGTTCTTCCTTTCCATACGTAGCCTGTCCTTTCATTCACTCTCCCCAACATTATTTCATTTTTAATCTTTTTTTTAAAAACTATGTTTCAAATCATCATGAAGTGACTTAAGTTTATCATCGTCATCATCATCATTTTTTTCTAAACACAAACTTCTACAGTCTGGGTTCCTGTGAGAAAAGGGAGAGATAACCAGTCATGTTTCAATATCATCATAAAGTGACTTTGTTGTTTTTTTTAATTAAAAAAACACTTTTGTCATTAACAACAACGTTAAAAGGGGGGAGGGGGAATCCATTTCTCATACAAACCCCTTAAAAATAAAACACCTCACATAGCTTGGTTTTCGGATAGGGGGCGGGCCAAAAGGAAAAAGAACCAGTTATATTTGGAATCACCGTTAAGTAACTTTTAACTTTTACTACAATAACTTTCTTATTCACAACGAAACAAAAAAATCTCCTTTCACACAAATGACTCCCCTCCCCCCCAAATAAACGAATCTCCTCACGTAGCCTGGTTTTGTCTGTGAGAAAGATTTTAAGTACTGGGAACCCAAAAGGTAGGGTTGCCCTATTTTGAAGAACAAAAAGAAAAAAAGAGGGCGCTATGACGGCCATTCAAAGCAAATAAAGGCAATTTGCCTCAAATTTTACCCCGGGGGAAAAAAAAGAGGACGTGTCCTGCAGAAAGAGGACAACATGGCAACCCTACAAAGACCACCCATGTTGCCTTCCTTCACCACCACGAAGGGGCTCCTTTTAACTTTCCCGCCCCCTTCCTTCCTAATCATGACGTTTTTATTTATTGGAAACGAGTAGTGTAGTAACAAAATCGCCTCACACGCAGCCTGTGAGAAAGGACGGCGGTGGGCATGACCCAAAAAGAGAAAAGAACCCCAAGCAGCATGAAGTGACTTTTAACTTTGATTATATTATTTTTGATTTTTTTTTAATTAAAAAAAAGCACCTAAAACTGCCTGGTTTTCAGTTCCAGGAAGGAGGCGGCACGAGTCGGGGGGAGGGGGAGGTCGAAGAGGGAAAAAGAGAGAGAGAGAGAGAGAGAGAGAGAGAGAGAGAGAGAACAACCCAGGCAGGCCAAACGGCCGTGCTCGGGGTTTCCCAGCCGGGCCGCAAGGGCGGGGAAGCGAGCGAGCGAGCGGGAGGCAGAAAGAGAGAGAGAGAAAAAGGAAGGAAGGAAGGAAGCGGGGAGTTGCCGCCTACCCTCGCCTGCCGCGCCCAACCCAGCCAGCCGAGACTCCGCTGCTTTCCCTATGGCCGCGAGCGGGAGCTGAGCGGCGGAGCCCACACCCACCCACAATAGCTTTTTAAAAACAAAAAACCGAGGACCGCGAAGAGAAAGAAAGAAAAACTGAGAGGAGGAGGAGGAGGAAACAACCTCCCACACATAACAAAACCTGCCCGCCCGAGCGACTCCCTCAGGGGACCCCTTGCCCGCCCGCCTCCTCTTGATTCGACGTTCCTGTTGGTGGTGCAGCCGCCGCCCTCCCTCTTTTCTCTCTCTCTCCCCCTCCTCCTCCTCGGTGCGTCTCTTCGTGAGGAAACGGAGCGGCTGCCAAGCGCAGCGCGGGACGGACGACGGCGGCGGCGACGACGAGGCGGCGGCAGCAGCAGCAATAGGGGCTTCCTCCTCCTCCTCCTCCTCCCCCTCCCGGTTTATTTCTCTTTCTGTGTCCCCCCTCCTCCATACCTCCCCCTCCCCCCCGGTTTCCTCCTCTTCCTCTTCCTCCTCTCTGCTTCCTCCCTCGACGCTGCCTCCTGCCCCGCTGGCTGGCCTGACGGACTGAATTGACTGGGAGGAGGAAGGAGGAGGAGAACCGGCGCCTCTCGGCGGGGGTCTTGCGAGGGGGTCGCCCGCCCGGCGGGGAGGGAGAAAGGAGGAGAGGAGGGCGTATTGGCTGGGGGCGGCGGCGGCGGAGGCCGTGGATGAGCAACGACCGTCGAGGAAGGTGAGAGAAAGAGAGAGGAAAGCATAATATGTGGTATTATTGGAGGGGGGGTGTTGTTTCGAAATCCCCCTCGCAGGGATCCTAATCACGTTCCCCCACCCCACCCTTTACAGCTTTGCTCGCCGTCCTTATTACGGACCCAGTTCGTATCCCCACCCTGAAAAAACAGGCCTCGTTCGCCCCGTTCTTAAAAAAAACCCCGAAGCCCCATGACAGCTCCTGTTCACATCCCCACCCTGAAAAACAGGCCTTACTGACCCGATCCTGGGCGGGAGGGGGGGGGGACCCGGCCCCATCTCATATCGTGTTCATACTCTCCCCACCCACCCCGCAAAAAAACAGGCCTCATTCGGTTAATCCTGTAAAATCGGGAGACCTTGTTCATTTCCCCACGCCGAAAATCAGGCCTTATTCATCCCCTCTTAAAAAAAACCCCAACCACCTCCCAATCACTGATCTTGTGCATGCAGCCCCATCAAATCTCTCCGCGGAGACCCTATTCAACCCCCCGCCCCATTACGATCTCTCCAGGCCCTTGTTAAGTCACCTTAAACCCTTGTCTTTTAATCAGTATTTTCTAAACTCTCAACATCAGCCAATCCTGTTTCTCTCCCTACGGCCCTGTTTTTTAGGTGCTCCTAACCCCCTTTCTTCCTCTGCCACCCCCGCAGAAGCCTCCATTACGCCCCTTCACATGCTCCTCCCTTTTTAAATCATTTTCTCTCCCCCCCCACCTTAAAATACTCTCTCCTCACTTCTCCCGTCTAGATACCTACCCCCCCATATCATCTCTTTTCCTAAAAAAACAAATTGTTGGCAAAAAAAGAAAAACATTTCAGTGTGTTTCAGTTATGGGGGACGGAGGAACCCTTCAATAAAATCCCCAACCCTGGGTCCCTCCTGTTTTAGCCAAATCATGCTTGTCTTCCCTCTCTAGCCTTCTAAAAAGAGCAATGCAAAAACTAAGAGGGAGGGAGGCTGCCCCTCCTTGAAATTTGAGTACTGTACTGATCAATTTCCCCCATATTTTCTCTTCCCTTTCACCTCATACACTTTCATCTCCTTCCTACTTCATGACTTAAATCTTGCTCCTTTCTGCCCCACTTCTTTCTCTTTCACCCCTCTGTTTTTTCCTCTCCCCGCAGAATTTCCCCCTCCCAGCTGCTTTAGACTGCCCTTCCCTATTACAGCTACTTCTGCTTTCCCCTCCCTTTTTAATACTCTCCCTTGCTGTTTCAAATCCTTTCCCTATCTACAGTACTCCCCTCCATTTTGCGCTCTCTTTTTTCTCTCTCCCCTTCTCTATCCTGTCCTCTCCCCCCATCTTACAATGCCATCCTTCCTGACTAGGCGAGGTGCCCTGCCCTTTTTTGTTAGGGCTGCTGACACAGGAAATCAAGAAATAACCATTTCGGTTTTTTTGCTTTCATTGTCTCCATCACTGTCCCACCCATCTCAGAACATCAGGGAGGGGGAGTGTTTTTCTGTAGCTGCTGGCCAGAGATAGGAAAAGGGTGTGTGTGTGTGTATATGGGGGGGGGGGTGTTGAAGAACTGATTCTTTTCTGCATGCGTTGAGGCTAGAAGTGGGGGGAGGGGAAGGAGGCAAGCAAGTCCACAGAGGATGCTTGGGAGAAAATATCAAGAGAGTGCTGTTTGTGTGTGGCTGGTACTGTAATGGTGGAAAATTGATTGGGTGGAGGAGAGGAAAACAGGGTGAGATTGCTTTAGGCAACCCCTGGCCAAGGAGAAGGCTAAGAAAATGGAATCTTGGTGGTTTTCTTCTTCCTACGGTAGGAAATGGTTTGGAGGCGGGGAGAGAATAAGAAATGCTTCTACTTTCACTGTCATAGTAGAGAGATTTAGCTGTTGTATTTTTTTTAGTTGCTTTTCTGCTTTAATAGGTGTTGTATAATTTTGCCATTAATGTCTGCTCAGGGTAGACGTTGGCTGCTGGAGAACCAGGGAGCATGCAAATATGATTTTTTTTAAAAAGCAATTTAAGGAAAATTGCTTTTGTATTAAAAGTTTGTTTTTTTAAATAACTAGGTGAATTTCTAAAACCACATGAGGGAAATGCTTATGGAGACTATTGTGTGACTTTAAATAATGAATTAATCCAGAGGATAAGGAAGGATTTTATTTTATTTTTTAAATAATGTGTCAAGAAGAATATTAGAATGATATAGAGGTTATCAATTTGTCACTGTGATGAAGAACTAAAAATTTAACGAATGTGATTTTTTGTCATGATTGCCTTAGCAAAACCACTTATTCGAACACATTTTATGCAAGATACATATATTTTAGCCACTTTAAACAAGGCAAATGCTGTTTCCTTAAAAAAATGAAAGCTTGGAAATGGGGAAAGCTGCTTCTCACACCACCTATCCATGTGGATTTGGATGTGGTGAAAGAATAATACCAAAAATTGAAAGGAGGCTGCTGTCGCCATTTATGTACATAGTCTGAGGAGAGGTTTGTTGCACATTTTGAAGCTTTCCTTCTAAGCACAGGCTTGTAAATAAAGACAAACCGCTTCTGCTGGTTTTGTGAAATGCATGTTAGAAAACGAGATGAAGATGTGATCTTAATTAATCTTAGATATTAAGCATTCTCTCTTTTGTAATTTTGGGAAGAGGGGATTGAATAGGTCAATTGTTTTAGTGGTTGCAGATTATGGAGGGTGTGCTTGTTCTCTCCCCCCCCCCCATTTTTTTCGGGGAATGAATGGATCTTTTTGTGCTGGGCCCGGTAACTGCAACAAGATGGCGTTTGCAGGAAGGCAACTCTTCGTTTTCAACTAAACACAGCTTCACCAAACCAAATCATGTTTAAATTCCTTTTCTGACTTTGATAAGCTTTTTTATTTTTTTTTAATTAACAGATTTGTTTTGTTGGGGCTAGGGGATTGGCAGATGTTCTAGGTTTTTAATCTTTTGATGCTTTTCAGTCTCCAAATAAAGCCGGGTGGGTGGAGTAAATAGTTTTATTGAAATTTTTACATCGTGGCATAAATACATGGGATATAGTGATGGGATCATTTTTAACTTCTCAAAGCCTCCTCATAAGAGTTTTAAACTCTTTCCCCCCCTAGAATGTTGCCACCAATTTTCTTCTACAGCAGGGCTTACATAAATCTTATACAAGCATTATTTGTAGAACTGTGTAATCTGTCAGTGTGATCACATGTGACCTCTTTGTGATGGAAAGGAAATGCAGTTCTGCTCCTTTGCCAAAAATATGACAGCTTCTGCAACAGTATTTGACCTGAAATTCTTCAGTGAAATATATATATAAATAAAAAGTGGCATGAAGCAGAAGCTTGCTTGATTAGTAGAACATTTTCCCTGGTCTTTTATATTTTTTATACAAGTTTTTACATATTTTAAGTGCTTACTGGAGTAGCTTGTACAATTGAATGAGATTTTAAAAGTTGGTAACATTCTTTATTAAAAAAGCAATAGCTGTGAATGTGAATTTTAATTCACATTCCAACTGGGTTAAAGTACAGTACTGCAGACTTCTAACTGACCCAAAGCAGATTAATTTAGAAGTGAGCAGAACATATTTCACAGTCTGTATGTTTGGAATTGTACCTGCATTTGCAGAAACATTTGAAATTACACTATTTGGATGGCATCAAATTATTGTTAATAGCTTTAAAATAATACTATCAAATTTTATTAGTTTAATTTTTATCTTACATCTGAAAGCTCACCAGGGCAGACTAGATGACATTTATTTATCTTGAATACACATATCTTGAAATTAGTAAAATGCATAGTATATTTTGAGTTTAATAGTAACCCCATACTCTTTATTATGGGTTCTAATTGTTAGCTCATAACAGTGTTCTTTGCATTTGGCGTCGGGTTTGTTTTTCTGGGGGGTTGGGTCTGTTTTGTGTTTCTGCTTTGGTACAGTACATTGTAGTTGAGGCCCACATAAAGAATAGATATTTGGATAAATGCACAAGATATTGATTGACAGTTACTTGTCATTATTGTATTTTCATGTGCACACCACTGGAATTTTGATCATGTTTTATATTTTCCCTTTTTTGCCCTTTTCTCTATGAGCAGGTGTTAAAATTACCTAAGGGCCTGTGTTCACTAGGGTTTATCCCTATTTATTCATTGCAGCTGCTAGGTCAATGTGGCAGTAGGCATTCTGTCGTGATACTTTATGTGTCTGGCATTGAGAAACTCATCCACTTACTTGGAAAAGTTTGAACTTGGAAGTTAACCATATCATTGTATGGGGACACTGGTTGATGTTACATACCTAGGCATTATGTGTGGTGGTGGTGGGGGGGATAGATGAGGAAGTCTGAAATGTGTTCTATTAAACCAAATTAAAAGCATAAGTTAGAGGCTGCTTGGCCTCTTTTTCAGATAAAAACTAACAAGGCTTTAGTATAAGGATGTCAATTTCCGTTGTATCTTTAACAGCTAAGCATGGTAACCGGTCATAATAGTGGTTATGTAGCCAGCAAATAAATGCTGTATGTTTTGAGCAGATTGATTAACAGGAACACACATTACTGTTTTGGCTTTTAGGTCATCCTTTCTGCAAATCAGCCCTGCACATAGCTTGCATTTTGTGTGCAATAAGTTTCTTGAAGTGCCAGGAAGTAAAGTTAGGTCATTAAAAGAGCCACTAACTGTTCTAGGAGGCATTGCTGTGATTTCTCAACCACAGTTTGGAGTCAGAGCACTTTTTCTTCAGGTGAAGATTGTGACTAGTCTATGATCTAGAAATAAATTTTAAAATGTGCATTACATACAGTGAGGGGAGAAAGTATTTGATCCCCTGCTAACTTTGCCCATTTGCCCTTTGATGAAGAAATGACCAGTCCATAATTTTAATGGTAGGTTTATTGTAGTGTGGGACAGAACAACAACAAGAAAACTCCCAGAAACCCAGTCAGTCAGAGATTGATATGCATTAAAATGAGTGAAATAAGTATTTGATCCCTTTGCAAAAGATGACTTAGTACTTGGTGGCAAAACCCTTGTTGGTAATTACAGAGGTCAGACATTTCTTGTAAGTGGCCACCAGGTTTGCACACATTTCAGGAAGTATTTTGTTCCACTCCTCTTTGCAGATCCTCTCCAAGTCAGTAAGATTTCGAGGCTGATGTGTAGCTACTCAAACCTTCAGCTCCCTCTACAGATTTTGATGGGATTAAGGTTTGGAGACTGGCTTGGCCACTCCAGGACCTTAATGTGCTTCTTCTTGAGCCACTCCTTTGTTGCCTTGGCCATGTGCTTTGGGTCATTGTCATGCTGGAGTACCCATCCTCTACCCATTTTCAGTACCCTGGCTGAGGGAAGGATATGCTCACCCAAGATTTGACGATACATGGTCCTGTCCATTGTCCCTTCATTGCGGTGAAGGTGTCCTATCCCCTTAGCAGAAAAACACTCCCAAAGCATAATATGTCCCTGTCCATGTTTGATGGTGGGGATGCTGTTCTTGGGGTTGTAGACAGCATTCCTCCTCCAAACATGGCGAGTTAAGTTGATGCCAAAGTGCTTGATTTTGGTCTCATCTGACCACAACACTTTCATCCACTTCTCCTCTGGGTCATTCAGATGTGCATTGGCAAACTGCAGACGGGCCTGTACATGTGCTGTCTTGAGCAAGGGGACCTTGCGGGCTCTGCAGGATCTCAGTCCTTCACGGCGTAGTGTGTTACCAACTGTTTTCATGGTGACTATGGTCCCAGCTGCCCTGAGATCATTGACAGGTTCCCCCCGTGTAGTTCTGGGCTGCTTTATCACCATTCTCATGATCATTGCAACTCCATGAGATGAGATCTTGCATGGAGCCCCAGACTGAGGGAGGTTGACAGTTGTTTTGTGTTTCTTCCATTTGCGAATTATTGCACCAACTGTTGTCACCTCACCAAGCTGCTTGGCAATAGTCCTGTAGCCCAATCCAGCCTTGTACAGGTCAACAATCTTGTCCCTGACATCCTTGGACAGCTCTTTGATCTTGGTCATGGTGGCTACTTTGGAATCTGCTGGATTGATTGCTTCTGTCGACAGGTGTCTTTTGTACAGGTACTGTAACGAGCTGGGATTACAGGTAAGACCTCTCCCTTACAGCAGGTGTCTCTAATCTCAGCTCCTTACATACAGTGAAGATACCAGGTAGCCTGACATCTGGCTGGTTGATAGGGGATCAAATACGTATTTCACTTATTATAATGCACATCAATCTCTGACTTGTCTTCTGGGTTTCTGGGGGTTTTCCTGTTGTTATTCTGTCTCTCACAGCTACAATAAACCTACCATTAAAATTATGGACTGGTCATTTTTTCGTCAGAGGGCAAATGGGCAAAGTTAGCAGGGGATCAAATACTTTTACCCCTCACTGTATTATGGAGTTGATTCTACAACCTCACATAATGCTGATATAATCCAACTGGTTTCATTAATAATGTCACTACATAAAATCTGTAACTGCTCCTGTTTTTTGTCACTTTTCTCCGTACTAATTAAAGTGTATGACTGAATAAAACATATTTTGCTATTATCTGAGGACTTTCATTGGAATAATCACACTTCTGTTAAAAATGAATGTAGCTTTTGCTTCCTGTATTTTGCTTCCTGCAATTGGCTCAAGTTTCAGTCCCTGGATTGGATTAAATTCTTACTGTCCGTGGATTTTGGCTTTGCATTAGTGGATTGGTAATTGATATTCTCAATTTTAATATCCAGATGTAGCCATATGGCATTCCGTATTGTTTGAGACTGCCATTAACACGAGCTTGACAGAAGAAAGAAGGGAATGAATAATTTTGTGTAGATGGCAGATTTGGCACGGAAGAAAAATCCTTAGTGCTGTCAACTTCTTTCCCCTTGCCCTCAGCAGGCATAATAGGAAGAGGAGAGTTTCTAGGATAATTGGTCATTTTGAAAGTATCAGTCATTGTGAAATGGCTAAAGACTGGTTACTTTTAAACCAAATAGTTAATTATATTTGGAGCCTAGAATGGCAGTCATTGCAAATGCAAGTGACAGGGTCACTTCCCAGAAGGCTTCTAGGCAAAGGCAGAACTAAGATGATGACAAAGGGCAGAAGGAGGGAGGTTTCTGACACTGTAGAATAAGTTCAGGCACTGATGGTTTATGAAAGGTTTTGTCCAGAAAATGTGCATTGTAAGGTAAAATTTAAAGGCATTGGTGATAAAGAGCGGGAAGCTATTCCAGTCATAAGGAGTAGTATGATAAATGCCATGGATGACAAAAGGGAGCTGATACCAGATGAGAATATGTAAAGGGGAGTGAAGGAGAATGTCAGGGATAAAAGAGGTAGAGAATCTGATAGTGTGTTTGGTTGAGAGGTACTGATTCAATAAGAGGATGGTCTCCTCTCAGCAGTGTTTATTTATTTATTTAATAAATTAATAAAATTCATATATTGTTTGATTGTAAAAACCAAAAGCAGTTTCCAAACTTTGGATACATGGTTTATTAAATGTTGGAGAAGAATCCTACAGAGTTGATGAGAAACAATGCATCTCTTAAATAAATATTTATTGTGTGTTTAGATGCCTGCATTTTAAAATCTGGATACTCTGGAAAATGTTTGTATCCATTACTTCCATGTTTTGTTTTGTTTTGCTTTGTATTTGTTTTTTAAAATATAGCAGTGGGAGTCATTCATATTGGGACTGAGGGACTGAGGAATAAGAGTTAATCCCACCCACAATTTTTCTGGTTGACACTCCCCCTTGCTCCACTTCCATTTGCCGTGTGGTATACGCTTTGCTGTCTTGGGCAAAAAGCAGTTTTGGGAGGTAGATTTTTAACTAGGAAAAGGGAGGGAAGGGTTAGAGCTCCTCTTCCTGCACCATGGTCCAATACAAATTCCTCTCTGCATGCACAGCTGCATTCGCCATTTTTAAAAAATGGGAAGATCTTAATGTCATTTAGTTGCATCTTTAGTCTGTTTCCATACCAGAGTGTTCTTTGCCATCTTTAAGGCTGACTTAATTTTATTATATCAGGAAGATACGTTATCAAATGTGCAGATGGTGAAGGGGGCACACACACATATTTGCATAAACATGCACACTTTATATTTATCACTTGCACAACTATAGCATTTAGAAATTAAGGAAATACTTTTATCTTTCTGAGAACCTTTTGTGTGTTTATCTGTATTTCGTTTCTGTATTTCAGTATTCTGTAATACTGTTTACCATATGGATTTTACCATAGTTTAACTTGGAAAATATGTGTTATATTTATCTTCTTTACCTCACTCTCACCTTCCTGCCACATATCAATAAAATTGCCAATTGGCACCATCTTTTTAAATTATCTTATAAGTATTTGGGAAAATGGTGTGTATGTAGTGCTGATATACTAATGGGAAAGGGTGTGGGAGGAAATAAATCCACTACAAATTTTCTTCTTCAGTCCTATTGCTTCTTGTTGTATATACTTGCTAGTAAGAAAAACAGGCTAACCTGAGGCAAGTGGAAGAGGTAACCTTTATCAAAGATCACACCCATGAATTGTTATAATTCATATGTAAAACTTCATCTGATACTCATCTCTTACATCTTTAAAAGTGAGTTATGCTGATATGTTCTCTTACAAGTGAGATGCATTAAAAGACTGTTTCATATCTTTTCATCTAAGAACAGGAAGGGATTCTCTATCTTAACAACTCTAAAGTTGTGGTTCATCTAAGTGTGAGTTTTCAGGAGTCTTGAAGGCATGATTTACTTCACAGTTTGTAGTTTGGTAGACCTTGAAAGAGTGGTATATGCATTCTCCACACATTAAGGTATAAATGCAAGCTCTTGGCTTTTTAAGAATGCTGATTGACTGTGTTATAAACAAAGTGATCTGTGGCAAAATTCTCATTTTTCTGATGAGGATATGCCTTAGCCCCACTCTCCTATTATACACAAGCAGGCTGTCACTTTTTAATTCAGTAGTTCAGTTTTTTAGGAGTCATTCTTGTTTGAGGGCAAAGGCATCTCTCAGGTGAAGCTTAACGTTGGGCAAGAGCTGTTAAGCTGCCTGTCAAGAAGCCAGAGAGTGATACCTTCCAAAACCTAATTTTGTGTTCAGAGTGGTGTTTCTGAATATGTGAGTAGGTTCAATACTTCTGGGTGTTGAAATTGAGGAGTCTTTTGTGGCAAACTTTGATACTCCCTACTTGAAACAATAAAAAGTGTACTGAGCTTTATGTATACCCTAATGAAATAACAGTGTAGTGTATAGGTTTGTTGTTTAGGTTGTCTTTAAATTAGAAGCACATTAGCGAGAGGTGAAATGTATAAGACTTATTAGGTGACTTAACCTGTGTTTTGCCATGACTGCTAATTTGAGTAGAATTGCCAAAATTTATGAAAATCTGCTACATAAGCTTTTCATGATTCTTTCACTATCTTTTTGAAGTATCAAAGATACTTGCATAAGAAAAAGGTCATTTAGAATGTTGACACATAAGAGAATGGTAAGGGATGTGAGCTTTTGTGTAGTAATGACATTTTTCCCCCTGAGAAAAGAATTTTAACTTTGTCTTCTAATTACAAGTTAGCTGCTTCAAAGGCTCATTTAAATGGCCAGAAGTAATTTTCAACGCATTCCTGGAATTACTTGTGTTTTTGTCCCTTTGGATGCCTGTGGGAATGCTAAAATTAACTGATCTTTCTTTTGCAGCCCTCCCCCCAAGTACACCTTTCTTCTTATTGTTTGCCATTACAGTAGGCCCACAATGTACACACATTTAACTTGTGTGCATTCAGCTTTATGTGTGTGTGGATTTATTTATTTATTTAAAAAATCTTGGAATGGGGGTGGTGTTCCATGAAAAATGACTTTGGCAATTTCACCTGCCAATGAACCCCATGTGTTGAGGCCTTACTTTATTGAAAGGTTGGGGGGACTGGGGAGGTGATAAATGTAATGTTGTGTTTTAGAAACCTAGGAAGCTGATATATACAGAGTCAAAACATTAATCCATCTAGCTCAGTATTGTCTACTTTGACTGGCAGTAGTCAAACATCTTGCAGACAGGAGTCTTTCCCAGCGCTATTGGAAGATGCCAGGGGCTCATTGTGATACTTTTTGTATGTGTTCTACTGCATTGAGCCATGCCTTTTGTCTTAATATTATAGCAGATCCAAATGTTTGCTGCATAGTGTTTTAAAAGCAGACTAAGAAGAACTTCATATATATGAGAGATACCAGTAGTGTGAGCTGTTTTTATTTAAGACTTTTAACATAAACCTCAACCTGCAATGGCTCCATTCCAAACACACCTCTTCACAAGTTTCATTATATTAATGATTTGATATAAAATTCTGACCTTATTTTTCTGAGCTATTTGCATGTGAATAGAATATTGCAATGGCATATTTTGCTGCATCTCCTTGAGCATAAAAAGCACATGTTTAAAGTTCATGAAAAAGTATACTCTGTCAGGATGGTTAGTACTCTATAAATACATCTCTTGCCCACCTAGCAGTTCAAAAGCACGTTCAAGTGCAAGTAGCGTTTGTATACTTTTGGACTGGACTCAGTACTATGTTTTGATTTGCTAAGTTGATTTGCAAAATTTTATCAGGTGATAGCTTGTTCTGTGAGAGGATGACAAGCTTTCTCCCTGTATGCAGCTCTCAAGATTTTGCAAGTAATGTAATTGGTAAGAGTGTGAGCTGAAAATATACCTGTTCATTGATGAGGTGATACTTGACTTCACTAAGTGGCTTCAGTTAAGCAACCATCTGCCTTAGCCCCTCACATCTGTATATTGTTGTTGTTGGTATCCATCAGTCTTGAGAGACAATGGAGTGTGCCTCCAGGGGTGAAGTCTAACTGCAGTGTTAGGTGTACTGAAGTGACCTCCCAAGGGCACAAACCTGGGCAGTATGTATGGAGGTCCTGGGCTGCCCAGACAACTAGACACCCCCCCGCCCGCTCGGTCTCACCAAAGGAAAGCAGAGCAATATGTTTGGCACCAGCTTGACTGTAGGAGTTGCCAGAAGGAGGTGTACAAGGTGCCATCCAACCGTCTTAGAGATTCCACTCTGGAGAGTAGCCGATGGGTCTCAAACCCTCAGTGAATTACAACTTCCCCTGCATGCAAAGACAGGCTGCGGCAGATTGAGTGGATGAGACCAGTAAAGAAGGCGGTTTCTGCAGGTCCTGTAGAGGAAAGTAAGGGGAAGATGGGGATCATCAGCTTGGGAATGTAGCCCATCTTGGAGGAGGAAATCTCTGATGCTAAATCTCTGCTGCCTTGCAGTACATTTTTGGGAGAAGAAAAGGCTAAGAAGTAAACCCTACCATTGGTTGTCAAACTTAATCTGTTTCAGGAGTCACTTTGACTCCTGGAACAGTTCGAAAACCAAGGCGCTGCTTCTGATTGGCTGCAGGAGCTTCTTGCACTCAATTGGAAGGTGTGTTGGACGTTCGGCTTCCAAAAAACGTTTGCAAACTCAAACACCCACTTCCGGGTTTGCGGCGTTCGGGAGCCAAAACGTCCAAGTACCAAGACGTTTGACAACCAAGGTACGACTGTATAATACTGGATTGTTATTAAATACTGATACATTAAAATAATTTTCAGTGTCGGCTCCTTGTTGCAGTTGGGCTCCTTGTTGCAGTTGGGGCTTAGAGGTGAGTCCTGAATCTGGCCAATTGAAGACTATTGTTTTAATGATGGCATGATGAAGAGATACGAATTGATAACTGCTGACCAGAGGTGCTTGATCAAAGATCAGCCATTTGTTTAATGTTTATTTTTTTTTTTCGCAAGTAAATTTTTATTCAGAATTTGTATAAAGAAAAGAAAAAAGAACTAACAAATACAAAAATAAACATTTTAACATAAATTATTCATCCTATTTTCATACTATACACAAAGAAAGCATACGTTCATACAAAAATAATAATATAACCATTAGGCTCTCCTTAGCCTTTGACTTCCCTTCACCCTTTTGGTAAGTATCAAATAAGTCCCGGGTTGCGTAATTAGTTTATTAAAGTTTATAGTTATTAGCTGATAAAGTTTTTCTAATACCGCCAGCTCCTCCTATATATCCGTTCCAATATATTTCCAAAACTTACTCCAATTTTTTGAAATTTCTGGTCGTCTTGGTCTCATATTCTGCCTGTTAATCTATCTAGCTCGGCATAGTTGATCATTTTGACCTGCCAGTCACTTATGTTAGGAATAGTTTCTATTTTCCAGTTTTGTGCCAGCATAATTCTTGCGGCTGTGGTGGCATAGAGAAATATTTTTTATCTTCATTTTTATTTCCTTACCCATTATTCCCAGCAAAAGGCCTCAGGTCTCTTGGGAAAAGTGTATTTAAAAACTTTTTAAGTTCATTATAAATTGCTTCCCAAAAACCTTCACCTTGCTGCATTGCCACCACATATGGTAGAGGTCTCCCTCCCCTTCACCACATTTCCAGCATGTCTTATTTTCTGATCTATAGATTTTAGCCAATTTTGCCGGCGTAAGATACCATCTATAGAGCATTTTCCATAGAGCTCTATAGATGGAAAATGCTCATTTGTTTAATGTTTATAGGTAATCATGCAGTCCTAGGTTTTATGTGCAGGTTATTAAGTCCTATGTTTATTATGGCTGGCACATAGCCTGACCAATCAGTATGTTTAAATCTTATCGTTTCTAGCTGGTCCCAGTTGCTTTTGAAAACTTGGTAGATTGTGTTAACTCCCACCTTTCAACAACAGACTTAGCTGTTACTTTCACAAATCACTTGAACTAATGACAGCAGTTCTGCATGAGGTGGCAATTGGTGTTCTTATTTAAACACTTTTAATTTGGATGCCACTGCCTTGTTTTTAAGTTTTATGAAAAAGCCTAAATCCTAGCACATATTAACCAATATTTTAAGTTTGTTGCTGTCACAACTATATCTTTTCGGAAAGGAGTGTAATATAATAATAATAATTTATTATTTATACCCCGCCCATCTGGCTGGGTTTCCCCAGCCACTCTAAATTTAATACACACTATTGCTTCAAAGATTTCAGTTTGATCATAAGTTTCATCTTCCCTTGACTTACACAAATTCTCTTAACAAATAAGCAAGTCTACAAATACAGTGTTCGAAATTTGCCAGGCACATTTTACAACTTACTATTTGCCACTTGCAACCACTTGAAGATGCCCATGTGCTAGGATGGCATCTGACGTTTTCACCACCTGGAGGTGTATGTCTGGAGATCCTTGGATCTTGACTGTTTTCACACACTAGCAACACATCCTGTAGAATTCTATCCATTGTATTTTATCTGCACAATCAGAATGAATTTCGGAAACCAAAAAGTTGTATTGAAAAATATGACTTTCAAGCCGCCTTGCCCCCAAATGGCAACTAGGCATTCGATTTTGGCGACCATTTGGTGACTGGCTTAAGGAGCCATTCGGTATCTAGCTTATATATCTGTGTTTCTACATACTGATGCTTGGTTGAGATCCTACAAGAAAGAAATGGCTGGCAGGGTTGGGAGCCCAAAGGAGCCCAACAGGCTTAAAAGTTATACAGGAATCCAGCAGCTGCAAAACTGCAGTATCAAGGGTGGCACCACTGACTCATGAAGATGGGTAGAGTTTGACAAGTGCATGGTTCTGTAACCTTGCATTTGGCAGAAACAATAGGTTTGGTCTATGATGTAGTATCCTGCGGCAAACAGTGGAATAGGAATTTTACCTTCCTTAGGTAACTGACAAAATGAACCATGAGCCATAATTGGTGATTGTCAAACACTAGCTAGAGTGTTTAGGAGGATACAGTTTTATGTTTAATGCAAATGTATTGAAATTAGAAACTCTGTTCATCTTAGGACACACAATTAATTTTACATTAATAACCAAATTGCTCTCTTTCAGTTTTGTACCTGTCTGAATTGCACTTAACCCAATGTTGTAATCTTGTTTTGAACATTTGCTTCTGAAAGATGCATGGCATCTACTCAGGATTTGTGTAGCCCAAGTGAGTGTGAGCCTGTAATGAGAAGTCAGTCAGTCTCTTGAGCATGGAACCCTTTGAGTTCTGAAAGGCAATAATATCTAGCACTAGGATTTCACCCAGCCTCAAGTAGCTAATGCAGGAGAAAATGCCGTACTAGGCAGTGCATTGCATATCTAGATGCTTTGCAACTTTATCAACCTCCCTGTAGTCAGCAATTCCTTCATATTATACAAGAGAGGTGGGGGGCAGGTGGAGAGTAATGATTATCTTGCGGTGGTGTTGCTCTGTCTCCCCTAACTGCAGACATGCAGCCTACGACAGATTACTATCAAGGGAATGCAGCCCTTAACAGTAAAAAGATTCCCTCATCCCTGATAATAAACACTTCTGAAATGATGATTGCATATAATGGTTCTGTCTAGTAGAGAGATCTTTGTGCTAGAAGATGAACCTTTAGTAACAGGGTTTCTTGGAATCGTAGTGAAGGTGTAGGTCTAGGAGCATAGTGCAATGTCTGTAATAGGAGCATTTAGCATTGTGCTCTGGATCAAAATTTGAAGGCTGCTTTCTGCTCCAAGAATTCATGGATGCCAGTTAGGGAAGAATTACATATTATGTAGTATATTACAGTGCTAGAACGCCAGTCAAAATATAGTTGCCCCAAATGCAGCAGTCAGAAATAAGAGAAGTTACTAGCTTTTCATAGAAGCATCATGAGATTTCTTGTTTGGGGTGACTTGACTAGGCAGATGTTTTTAAACTGTGATTGCCAACCTGGCACCCAGAAATCTCCACGTAGTCACAGTTGGACCCATACCAGTAGCAAAACACACCTGACCCCTGGGGAATTTAGAACACTGGTTGGTCCCAACTAGAAATGGGAATAGTGGTACAAGGGTGATAATTGCTGAGCTGGCCTAGAAGATCCATTGCCCCTCCAGCTCCCAGGAATTGGAGAGGCAGCAGGTCTTCACAACTGAGCACTGGGAAGAAGTTTAGTTTAAATCAGGAAATGGTTGTTTCCATCTCTGTTACTAGGGGGTGAGGGAAGAGCCAGGTTTTGGGTTGTGTTCAATGTTAGCCCTGCTAAAAGTTGACCTGTTGGAATATTGGTGCATTAATGTATTTCAAGTTGTTAACCAAAGAAGAAATGTCATTAGCCTGGTTACTTGGAAGAGATAAGGAACAGAGAAAAGATACATACAAGCATCTTAAAAACTGCTGTGTTACTTTGGCCTGTATAAGGTAGGATTCTTAAGTTCTGTGTGAGGATTTCCTTGAGTTTTAAGTAGCTCTGAACCTTTAGAGTAGGTGTGGTGAGCCTGTGACCCTTTATGCTGTTGGACTCTTTAATTTCCATCTGCTTGAGCCAGTTCATAGGAATGACTGTATTGTTCAGCACCTGGAGGGCCACAGGTTCCCCTACCCCTGCCTTAGGAAAGAACCACAATGGTTATCCTTTTATATGGAGAAAGCTATATAGAACACCCCCTCACGTGCACATGTTAAGCATGTTAGCCTGTGATTTTGTGGTGCAGACTGTGACTAGAACAGTATGAATCGGTTGGACCAGGATGATATTGTTAGCTCTGCTATGTAAGGAAGCAAGCAGGATTTTGCACACACTGACCAGTACTTGGTTCTAATGCCATCACTGTAGACAAATGGATTTTATTGTTATAGGTATTTTTAAAAATATTGCTTTTCCAAGCAAAGCCCATAAAAGACACTTACAGCAATAAAAAGTACAAGTATTTTTAAAATCCATTATTAGGAAAACCAAGAATAAGACAGATTCACAAGAATTAAACACTCAGAACTGCAGTAGTGTAACAGTGTACCATCACTCATTTGGTGACTGGGACAAAATGTTTCCTGGGGAAAGCCAATCAACTAAAATGTCTAAGACCTTCAGAAAAGCCTGACATGTACCTACACGCTATATCTCTACTGGGAGGGAGATCTAAAGATGTGGTCATCCATCTCAGAGAAGTTGGATGTGGATACACCAAGAATACCTCTGATGCAGATCTCACTGCATGAAAAGGATGGTACAGATGTAGGCAGTCATCTAGTAGTTCAGTCCCAAATCATTAGGGCTTTAATGTTAACACCAGCAGCTCAGTTTGAGCACTGGTATCCAGTGTAGCTGGTATATTACAGTGGACTGCCATATACCTATCAGGACTTTTGTAGTGCATTTTGAACCTCCTGAAGTTTCAAGACAGTCATTAACAGTAGTCCCACAGAGTACATTACAGTTGTCTATCTGGAGCATGGATCCCTCCTCCCTTAGAAGGGGCTGCATTTAACATACCAGCCAAAAGTGATAAAACATACTCCTAGCCACTGATGTTACCTGGGCTTCCCCAGTCAGTGCCAAATCCTAGAGCACTCCCAAACTGTAGTATTTTAGAGGGAGTGCTACCCCATCTATCATCAGTTGTAGCCTAGTTGTAGTCCTTCCATAGTGAGGGAATCTCCCACTCCAACAATCACCTCTGTCTTGTCTCAGTTTAACCTCAGCTTGTTTGCCCCTATCCATTTGAGAACCATCTGGGCACTAGTTTAGAATTACAGCAGCCCTAGCTGACATTAGGATATGGAAAAGAAAGGTAACACTGCATGCCATAAGCATACAGATGTCATTGTAGCCTAATTTTTTGAAGCATGGAGCATAATATAGAGCCTTGTGGTACCCAATAAACTAGAGACTAGTAGTATTTGTCCAGTGTCAGAGGATCTAAATTAGGCTTATTAAGATAATAAGTTAGGCTTATTAAGATATCAGGAACCACTCCTTTCCTCAACAAGGCAATAACATCCTGAAATTCAGACATCCAACCTCTTCCTGGTTGTTTAAACCAGACAAGATGGACAAGGATCGAATTAACAGGTGGGTGGCACTGACCTGGTCTAAACCATAGAGCCTAGGGCTTGCCGATCAAAAGGTCGGTGGTTCGACAGGGTGAGCTCCCGTTGTTTGGTTCCAGCTCCTGCCCACCTAGCAGTTCAAAAGCACGTCCAAGTGCAGGTACATAAATAGGTACTGCTCCAGCGGGAAGGTAAACAGTGTTTCAGTGTGCTGCTCTGATTTGCCAGAAGCAGCTTAGTCATGCTGGCCACATGACCCGGAAAACCTGTCTGCGGACAAACGCCAGCTCCCTCGGCCTACAGAGCAAGATGAGTGCGCAACCCCAGAGTCGTCCTCAACTGGACCTAACGGTCTGGGGTACCTTTACCTTTTAGGCCTCATTGCTCCAAACAGCTCATTCTCAGGTAAGATGAGTTGAAAGGTATCCATCACACTACAAAATCACTTAGTACACTTTTGAATCAGGTAAGAAAATATGGAAAAAGAACTCCAGGTGTTAGAAATGTTTATTGTAGACTAAATGTGTTATGGAAAATTCCTTGTAAATATACACTGATTATTTGGCTGTATCCTCAGAAAAGTTGCACTGTAAACAGGGCTCACTGAGGAAATAGATTTCCTCTCTTTGTTGTGAATACACAGGTAAATAATTTTTTCCTTCATTATTTTTCTGGTTTTTGTTTTGACCTTTCTTTTCAGGTTTTATAATCTACTACCTATTTATTAGGGATGCAGGTGGCGCTGTGGGTTAAACCACAGAGCCTAGGGCTTGCTGATCAGAAGGTCGGCGGTTCAAATCCCCGTGACGGGGTGAGCTCCCGTTGCTCGGTCCCTGCTCCTGCCAACCTAGCAGTTCAAAAGCACGTCAAGGTGCAAGTAGATAAATAGGTACTGCTTCGGCGGGAAGGTAAACAGCGTTTCCATGTGCTGCTCTGGTTCGTCAGAAGTGGCTTAGTCATGCTGGCCACATGACCTGGAAGCTGTACGCCGGCTCCCTTGGCCAATAAAGCGAGATGAGCTCCACAACCCCAGAGCCGGCCACGACTGGACCTAATGGTCAGGGGTCCCTTTACCTATTCATTTAGGTTGAGGAACTTTTATGCCAGCAAAGGGGTGAAAATTCTATTGTGATTCCACAGGGATTGTATCTGGCAAAATATTTTTTCTTTAGAATTCTGCTTTATTAGTAACAGTTCCCTGCATAGAGTCTGTTCAAGTGGACATTAAAAGTTGCAGTTTGGCTGTTTCTTGTGACAGAACTTACTGCAATATATATACTTTTTATGTGAGAATTGTTAAAAACAATTCATTTACTTTATTTGGTTGCACGCTGCTAATCATAAAATTTCTGCTTTGGTATAGTTTTATTTAGGTTATATTTTGAGTCTGACCAATCAGATTTTGTGGGTTTCAAATAATTTTGGGGAGTGTCGGTGGGTCTTGTTCATTTGGGATCCCTTTTATATTCTGCTTGTTATTTTATTAATATATCATGTAATTACATTTAAATCTTTTCATAGTAAAACTTTACCATAAACGCATCATTCTATAGGTTTAATATACATTTATAAGAACACACTATATTTTCTTATATTTCATGTTATTAGCCCTTATCCTATGTATGCTGTACATTGGACTTGAAGAAGGAATTTTCTGAACTGCATTACAACTATAATAAGCTACATTTCTTGCACTTGGAGGCCCCCGCCACTTATCTTGCCTTTCAGCGGTGCAATCCTAATTTTGTGGTGGCTTTACTGCACTGCTAAATCATTCAGTCATTCCTAATCAAAATATTGATTCACCTAGAAATCTTTCAAGTATATATATATGAACACGAAAACGCTTTAACTTTTTCAGAGCACAATAAGCCAATGATTTTTAAACATCATTTCCTAGGCGATTAGAGCCATCTTAAGAGAGAGAGTGTGTGTATAAAATACACAAAGGCTTTCTGCATCACAGGAAAGCAAGCAGTTGGAAACGCCTGCTCTAAACAGGAAGTGACTTACACAGTTTGCCAGATGTGAGACGACAAGCTGCAAAGTCTTTGTTACCTTTCTAATTTGTGTTTTGGTTGAAAGGAGGGGAGGGGAACTTCTCTAACTTTTTGAATATTGTATTTTTACATGGGCAGCTGTATTTGTCACATCATATTTGCCCCGTAAAGATACCTCTCGTGCATTTGAGAACATTGCCAGTTGATTTAGGCAACGTAGAGCTATATAGAACAATGGTCTAACCCTTTATAAGACATATTCATGTAAATAGTTAGGAATTTATGTGAACTATGCCATCCCAGTTGCTCAGGATGGGTAATGAAAGCAGCACCCCAACAGAATGAATCAGAAGAAGAAAAATTCTTTACCTTTCCCCATTCAAACAGTCTTTGCCATCTCAATATCCCCCAACCATTGTATCACTACAGACCTATCTCTGGCATGAAAAGGATGTAGAAAGTCCCAAAGAAATCAAAGGAATCTTGCTTCCATGTCATGACACCCTTTTTAACTGCAGCCAGCATCAATTCTGACGATGACTGGAAATTAATCTTCAACCATAAGAACAAAGTCAATTGTACAGAGTTTACAGAGGCGTATGTGAAAGAAATGCAATGGGTTGTATTTATTGTAAGTCCTACTCAAAGTAGACCATTGAAGTTAATAGACATGACTAGCTAAGGCACATAAATTTTGATGGATCTACTCTTTGGTATAATTTTGTTGGATACAAAACAATACCCCCCCCCCAAAAAAGTTGCATTTGAATTCCTAATGTTGTTAATGGCTGACTGATCTATTGCAATATATGTTTGACAGGAAGAACTTTCTGACAATAAGAGCTCTTTGACAGTAGAACAGACTCCCTCGGGAGGTAATGGACTCTCTTTCTTGGAGGTTTTTAAGTAGAGGTTGGGTGGCGATCTGTCTTGGATGCTTTAGTTGAGATTCCTGCATTGCAGGGGATGGATTTGATGACCCCAGGGGTTCCTTCTAACCCCAAAGACCAGTCCAAACATAATAGCATTGACCTGTTGATAAATTGAACTAATTAGTTAGTTGACATTTTCCATTTACAGCTGTACCTTGGTTCTCAAACGCCTTGGTTCCCAAACACCGAAAACCCGGAGGTAAGTGTTCCAGTTTTCAAACATTTTTCGGAAGCCAAACATCCGATGCGGCTGTTGGCTATTGGTGTTTTAGGGGTTGTTTTTAAAAGTCTGGAACGGATTAATCTGTTTTGCATTACTTTCTATGGGAAAGCGCGCCTTGGTTTTGGAATGCTTTGGTTTTGGAATGGACTTCTGGAACGGAATAAGTCTGAGAACCAAGGTACCACTGTATTTCAAGGGAAATGCATTTTTCCACTTCTTTCTCAAGCCTACTCGTCTCATACACAATTAAAGTGGCAGTGACCATGTTCGCACATAATGCTAAACCATGTTTAGTGCTCTGTGGCTAAGCCTCCATGAGCCTGAGTGAAGTGTCAGGCTGACTGATACCATCTCCTCCTGATTGGCTGGGACTGAGAAGAATTCTGCCAAGTTTATTTGCATTTGAAGGTGTTAACTGGTCATCCTTGTTTTTAACAAAAGCGCTTGCTGAATCTTCAAACCATGGCTTATAAAGCTATGCTGGATTTTGCTTTTTTAAAATTTGTAATCTCAAATGGTGTTGGAAAACTGAATATTTTTTTTGTACTTCTACCCAGATTGCTTGCACAATCACTGAGAACACTTACATAAAATGTTCAGAGTTAGCAATCATTTTCTTAATGGGTGTAGCAGGAATTACAAGTGGACTCATCACATTATCAAAGTGAGATGATGTTGCATGAAGAGACCCCTGCTAGTTTCCAGTTACAGATGCTTGTCATATTCAGATTGATTAGGCATTGTTCCAAATTGTATACTGTATTTCTTAGCATGTTGCACTGTGCTAAGAAAAGTTAGTTTGGCTTTTTATTGTCCCTTGGACAAATTAATTTTGTGGGTTAACTTCCCCAGTGGCTAAATACGTGTTTCCTACTGGAGATCTAAGCTTAACTTAGCATTGATTTTCCTTGTTATAAAATGGTTAGCATGACTACAGCATTCATAAACATTATTAATTTCATTAAGGTAATCAAAAATAGATAACAAAAATAGGATTGACAACATTTTGTCCAGTAATTTTAATCACTATCCCCACCATAAATGAATATACCGGTATGTGCCTCTCCGTTTTCATCTTCTCCAGGAGTATATTATTTCTGGAGTAAGTAAAAGAAAGAAAGCTGGCTAACCATGGTTGTTGTAACTAAGACCATCAATTCATGCACAATGCTAATTTAAGATTCTTTGAAAGTGAAACTAAACTTGGCAGAAGTTCTGCCCATGTGAGCTCAGCTCCACTTTGATTAGAATCAAGGAGGCTCCTCTATGTAATGCTAAACTGTGGTTTAGTTAACATGCTAATTGGGATAGTATACTAGCCTAATCTCTTAAAATGTCAGGTTAATTATGATGTATCTATAATGCAAGCTGCCCTTACAGGATTCAAAGCAAGTTAAAGTATGCCACCTCTTAACATGCTGTAATAGCCTCTATTAAGTTAAATAGAGGCTCCTCACATAAGACAGCTGGTAAATAAACATGTCAGAATTTTCAGGCATCAGCTGTATGAAAGATCTCCCCTCTACAGTTTAACTGTTGCCTCAAATTGTGTCCTTTGTTCCTGTGTTCTTTTGTGTTTGCATGTTCTGCATAGGGATGGTGGATAAATTAGTTCAGTCTGCATTTTAAAGTGAACTGACCTCATTCATCAACCCTGGGTTTATATGTATCGGAAATAATTTATAAGTTGGATTGTTAACTTCCCTGAACGTTTTGCAGTGCTCCTTTGATTTTTAAATATGTACTGTGGGGGCATACAAAAATACATTTTTGTGCAGGAAATTATAGCCTCAAAACTGAGCTCAATATACCTTAAAATGACAACCTCAGTTTAAAAGTCAGCTTTAAACTCTTTGTGTCCAGCTCTCACTTCCAAATCTCACCCCCCCCCCATATCTACTGTGGTTGTATGTAGAACATAGAGTGTCTCAAGACAGTCGTCTAAACGTGGCAGTACACAATTTTCTGCACTCTGGTAATCCCAATGGCATTGAGTGCACATCATTTTGTCCTTGTGGGTGGAGAGCACATGTTTTCCAGTAGCAGCAATTTCCTAGATCGAATCTTGATCCATTGTGAGCACAACCGTTTGTAGGTTAGCATTTCTAAACCTTAAAACAGCCCAAAATCTTATGTTGGATGCTTGGTACTATTCCCTCTGGAATAGAGCCATAATGGAAAAAATTATGCACAGTTTGAGATTTTGACAAGACTAAAATCTCCAGACACTTTTTATGTGATTTGGCATTATTTTATAACATATACAGCAGAACCCTCATTTTCAAGACAACCCTTGTCACAAACCTGGCAAATATGGAACTATACTTGATAATCTGATAACGAAAGTCTTTACTTGGACTTTATTGTTTTAATCCATGTGCAACTGTACTCATTATATGTGCCTGTTTCATTGGTTTTTTATCTTTTAATTTTCACCTGTTATAACTGTTCTCTGTGTTTTATATACATTATAAAATGAAATTAAAAAATACAAAAACTATGTTTATAAACCTTAACTGACATAATCATTAATAGAAATGCTTCTTTTAAGTGTCCCTTAAGGAAACAGCAAAGTGAAATGACTGTGTGGATGTTTAATCCTGAAACATGCAGAGTAGAGAGCAAGAGCTTGATAATTAGTGTCATATGTGTGTGTCATTAGGCTGGATCACATGTTACTTTAATCCACAGTTAAGCTTAACTATGGGTGCATGGAGTACAGCGGTAACAGCTTTGCTCCTCTTGGTCCTGCCATGAGCTAAGCTATGGTTTGGCTCACTGTTTGAAATGCACCAGGTGCATTTTGCTACTGACGTGGGTCCAGTTGCGACCACATGGAGATCTCTGGATGCCAGGTTGGCGACTGATATCTCCATCTGGCTGGCCCCATCAGCTTTCTTAAACAGGTAAGCAAAAGAACTTATTTATTGCATTTATACCCCACCTTTTCCATCAAGGAGTACATAGTTCAACCCCCTCCTTAACAACAACCTTATGAGGTAGTTTAAGAGGCTGTGACTGGCCCAAGGCTACCCAGTGAGCTTCATGACTGAGTGGGGATTTGAACCCTGATCTCTCCCAGGTCCCAAGTCTGACACTAACCACTATAGCACACTGGATTCCTAGAGTACTTTTGCTGTGGGGCAGCTATATAAATAAAGTAGGTAAATAAATATGGGGAAAGCAAAATGTCACTTAGAGAAGAATCTGAAATATTTTCTTGAAGCTTGAATTTGTTTTATGCTGGATTGTTTTATTTGTTGTTTTAATGTATTCTAACCTTTAAGTTTTTTTCTTTAAATTATAAAGTGGTATAGTAATGAAATTAACAACGACAGCAACAAACTCGGGGCGGCGGTGTCGATCGTTACCCAGATTTAAGGAGTCATTTGTCAATTAGCTTATATTTTTGAGTTTCTAACACTGGTTTGGCTTAGTGTTACATCCGAACAAGGATTCATGGTTTGGCTTCCTAAAACCGCAAGCAGTAAGGAAAGAACAAACCTTGATTCTAGATTGTGGTTTGTTTGGATAGAGAAAAAGCAAACATGGCGTAGTAGTTCCTAGTGCACATGTACCAGCATGTTGTATATTTACCTTTAAGCCATAGTGAAGCTAACTGTGGTTTAAAGTGATGTGTACACCAGGCCATTTTGTTGTCCTGCAGAGCTGCTAAAAATAGATAATTGTATGTTTTGTGCCTGCACATGCAGTGCTAGGACTCTATCTGGTACAGAATTCATATTCCTGAGAATCTGCTTCGATTAGAAAAACAGAGACTTCTCTCTCTTTTCAGCCATTAGTCGGGAAACTTGAATACCAAAGGGAGAAGTCTAAAGTTGGAATAGCTCCATTTCCTTTGTCATCATCCTAGTTCCTTCTTCTCCATTCCATTTTCATTGCACGTGTTTCACCCTTACCCTGTAATAAGCTTTTCCTGGCCAATATAATTGAAATTCTGTGATTTTTTTAAATTTTAATTATGCTCTTTCCTGCATGACATGAATCTTTTAGGGTAGGATAGAGATTGGTAAATTATTTAGTTGAATGTCGTGTATATGTTTATATAATTTGGGATTCACAGATTTGGTTTCTTTAGTATGAAATGCATTTATCTGGGGGAGAGGAAACAGCATACTTAGCCTTAACTGTAAAGATCTCGATGTAGCACAGGTTTTTTTGTGGTTATAGTGAGGTTCCCCCTGTTGAATATTTCCAAAAGTAAGATCCGGAGCAGAAACACAGAACCTCTGCCCTGAGAGTGGGAAGGAAGCCTTTTTCACTAGCTTTGCAGTAAGGATACTATAGAAACCAAATCCACTTGCACTGTCTTGCTTTTCTGCTCTATCCTCCCATGCATGTTTTTCCAGACACAGAAAATGTGGTATGAGTGCTTCACTCAGGAAGCACTTGGTGCTCCTTCTACTCCCTCCCTCCAACTTCAGAGCTTAGAAGGTAAAGTTGGAGGGAGCTACCCAACCTTACCCCCTTTGGGCTAATTGTCACCAGAGCACTTTGCCATCTTTCTCCCTCTGGCTGTGACTCTGACACTGATGAGATGAGGCAGCGGCCAGACACCTCCGTGCTCCACCATGTTTCCTAGCTCTGAAATACTTCAGTGTGTACAGGCAGCTTCCAGCTTCTGCATCTTCTCTCTGCCAGAAGCACAGAGAGGATGGCTAGAGCTATGCACAAGGTTGCATCGTCTTTACAGCCTTGCATCTATAGTTTTAAACCAGGCATGTCCAAAGTCCGCTTTGGGGGCCTAATATCTGACCCACTGATCAATTTAATCTGGCCCCTGTCGCAGCATATGTCCTGGGGCAAAATCCTAAAAAAAAGCTCAACAACTACTTTGGCTCGGCCCTCACGCATGTTCACTTCATCAAATATGGCCCTCTTTGAAAAAAGTTTGGGCACCCCTGGCTTTAAAGGCAGGCAGGAAGAGTGAAACTCATTGTGTAGCTTTCTGTGGTTGTTTTTTATACAAGGCTGTATTCTGAGGCAGACTTGGAGTGTGCTTTTCTTTCTCCCAGGAAATAGAGAGAGACTTATCTTAACACATCTTTTTATTGTCTGATCTTGAGATGTATGTGGGCAGATGCTTAAACACCACAGGTGACCAGGCAAATGGCTATTTGCAAGTCAAGTTTACTTGCTGTAAGTGTGTGTGCTCTGGTCCATGCGGTCACGAAGAGTCCTAAACGACTAAACAACAACAACAACTTTGCTTTTTCCCAAGGCTTTGATAGAATGTGATGATGATGTTTTGATCTTAGTGTGCTGCCAAAGCTGTTAAGCTGGAAGTGGGTTGGTTGTTTTGTGGTGTGTGTTTATGGATTGCATGTGCTTTTGTGTGAATTTGTTGATACGATAATGTATTTTTACGTATTTTTAATGGTTTGTAGCAAACTAAGCTCTACTCAGAGTAGACTCGTTGAAAAAAATGACCCTTAGTCATGTGCATCAATTTCAGTGTGTCTTGTCTGGGTATAGCATTAGATAACAAGCCTGTGTTTTAAAATATGTAGGAAGTGATTTGGAGACCTTGCATAACAAGCAACTAATAAGTCATCACTACTACTGCTACTATTAAATTAAATCTTGTCCTTACAGCAGCTGTGAATTCAATCCTTATAACAAACCTGTGAAAGAAGCCTTTATTTTAGTCTTTCTGAGTGGCCAACTGACTAGCACCACTAAGCCTCTTGTCTCTTGTCAGCCTTGCCTCTCTTCTCTTCTTTAGGAGGAAATTTAGATTGCAAAGGGCCTGTGGTGTTTTGCTTATAGTATTTTGTAAATTTCACAGGGTCAAGTGCCTGAGGCAAAGGGGCAAGATTGGAATTTTTACCTTTTTCTAAGAATATATTGTTTCTTTTCAAGAGTTCTGCAAGGGCAGGCATAGAATGTGGTCTTCCAGCAGACTGATGATTGCTTTCAAGAGGACCCATCTAGTGTCTGCTGATCACTGGGATCTTTGTTGTCAAATTCTGGGTCAGATGCAGCTTGGTGTGCTCCATGTAGGCACTTAATACTTTCTTAAGGAAAAATGTGTACTTGGGATTGTTAAATGCAGGTCAGTTCTGCTTTAACTGTTGAGATCCTCCTGAATGTGGTCTTTTTGTTTTGAAAATTTAACATAGACATTTTTTATTTAAAAAAACAGGCTATGCAAGACAGAAGTCGGCCTGTCCTTGCACTAAGTAATTTTTTCTAGCATATTTTCTTGTTTCTCTATGCATTATATACTTGATATTACGTGTCTGAGCTCAAGATGTTGATAACTGTTGTTTGCTTTCTAAAAGCTATAGTTGTAATCCCTTTCTGAAAATTCGTTTAGAAATGCAAAGAAAATCTGAACTGCATCATGTGCTGGTTTCTGTGAGTTAACAAACAGAACTTGGATGTGGTCTGAATTTGTGTGCAGCTTTAGGGTGTGGCTTCCTTTCTGTTCGGATTCCTTTCCAGCTTTCATTACTAATCACGAGCATTTCTCTTTATTTCATGCAGGCTTCCTTCCTCTGGCTCTTAAAAAAAGCTGATTACCCTGCAACAGTGTTTGCGGGTGGGGGGGGGGGAGGGATTTTTTTGCAACAATAAATGGGCAAGTGAAGGCTTGAAGTTTGTGTTAATCAAATGCTTAGTCATCTCTTTGTGTTCAAAATAATACTATTTCATCCCTCTTCTCTGCTTTCTCTTCTCTCTTCCACCCAATTCTCTGCTTACCAATCTAGGTGTAATGTTGCTATGCTGTATACTAGCCAGTAAAATTATTTGTATATCATAAACAAGCTAAATATGAGACAGGTGCAACAGTTGACAGGCCACAATTTTATAGAAATTGTACGGTAATAACAGCAACAGTTAAATCTCTTTCTTTAGAATAATACTAAAAGTTGATGTGCTGTAGTTCCTATCAACTAGGAGGTCCCAAATTCAGATTTCACCCCAGCTGTAAACTGACTATGTGGCTTAAAACAAGTTGCTGTCTCTCAGCCCCTCTCCACCAACATATTAGGTGATAATATTGGCCTCCCTTATAGGATTACTAAGCTAATATGTGTAGCCCTTTAAACACTGTCAATGTACTATAAAAATGGCTTCATTCAGAGAGAGAACTATTACTTCAGACTAGCCGCCATTCAAATTCTAGCTTCTGTACACTTGACTTAACAGTGCTAACCCACAGCCTTGACTAAAGAGCTCAGGCAAATGCTATCATGGTTTTACTGCCCTTCCCCAGTACACATCACCCCACTGAAATGTCTCTTGTCTATTCTTGTCCAATTGTCCCTAAAAGGCATCTTACCTTCTTTCTTGCTGACCTTCCATTAACATTAAAAACTGATCATTTTAGCATTTTACATGTTAAATACTGTGTGTTGTATGAAGACAGTTACCTAGGAGGACTTATTAAGACAGATTTTACTGCTACCTCGTGAAGGGGAATTATTGATAAAAACAATAAATTTTATTTTATTTATAACCCACCCGCCATCTGGCAGCTTATAGCAAAATATAAAAACATAATAAAATGTCAAACATTTAAAACTTCCCGATACAGGGCTGCCTTCAGATATCTTCTAAAAGGAATCCACCTTGATTTCCCTACCTAGATGGGAAAGCAGAATATAAATACGACATTAAAAACTTGACCTCTGTAAAAGAGAAAAGTTAAAAGCAGAATACCTAGTTAGAACTGAGAGCTTGTACATCACCTGCATAAAGTGTTTTGACTTGTTTTTAACTTATTTTTCTCTCTGTCAGTGGTAAACAGGACTCAGGCATTCTGATTTAATTGGTAATTTTGCTCGCTGGAGGGTTGTATGTTGTTGACAAGGGAAGCTCCTGAGACTTGAGTCATTAAGAGAAGTTCATACTCAAGAAAATATTTTTAATGTACATTTAACATTTGTCCTTTATCCTTATGTATTGTATTCATATAACTGTACCTTATGCAAGAATGTTTGGGAAAGTGGTAAAATTGGGTCTGAAATTTTGGGCAAAGCCCAAAAGTCACTTAAAACCAGTTGTGTTTTGTGCAGCTGGTGCTTCTTCCCAGCCTGTGCAGCTGGGGAGTTCCCTAAGGGACAAGCCTTGGTGCAGCATGATCTCAACAGAGGCAGGGCTTGTTGCAGTCCCCAGCTGCCTTCCTACAGCATTTATGCAACAGGTTGCAGTGTGTCTGTAGCAACTATCACCTTATATGGGTGAAGCATCAACACTGATTGCGTGACCAAATGTAATGTCATGTGAATACTGAGTTGAGTATTTGAGAACTTTTGCTTCTAAATCATATTCTTACACTTACCTGAGTGAGTTCAACTAACTTTGAGGTTTGCATAATATTCATTTGATCTGCCGGCAACTTACTATGAGTGAGAAAGCAAGGTAGACTATTTAAGTTCCTACCCACAACTTACAACAGAGTTACCTAACATTTTCTTAAGACTCAAAATCCACACATTTTCAGGCAGTGTTACTAACAATACTTACTCCTTTCTGTTTGCCAAATTGAAGAGAAAACATTTATACCGCCCATTCCTTGCACAGATTTAATGCCTTTGCTGTGCAACCTTGTTTGCTCATCTCTTCTCCCCTGTATCCCAAATATATCAAGAGATCAGTTGAGCCACAACTACTGTTAACGGTAAGAGTTAGAGTCTATGATAAATTGCCTAACTAGGTGGCTGTGTCAATACTGTATGCTTATTATCTGGGAATGTGACATCTTAACCTTTCATGGGTTCAAGGACTATACTTTCTGAGCAGGTGTAATGAGTTTTTCTACCAGTGATAGGCTGAGAGAAAGAACATTTGTCCAAGTAACAACACCATCACCAGTTAGCTCAGTTGGTTAGAGCGTGGTGCAGATAATGCCAAGGTTGCATCGCCTGTTTGATCCCTATATGGGCCACCTGCATATCCCTGCGTTGCAGGGGGTTGGACCAGATGGGCCTCAGAGGATTCCCTTCCAACTCTACAATTCCGTTATTCTATGTACTAACATTGGCACCATGAGCAGCCTTCTAATTACATTCAGTTTTTAGTGCAATGAACTTTACGACTAGCTTTAATATATTTGTTCAGTGTTCCTCAGTTCAACATGCTTTCTGTATAGCAGTTGTAAAATTGCACTGTACACACACTTGGGGTTCCCATTAACTGTCCTCTTTCAAAATGGCTGCTGTTCCTCATTGGTCTCAGTGAAATAATGAAACTATCTTAATGTGGCAATTTTTCAGGATGCCAATAAGATGTTACACATTTTTAGACTGGTGGCAGTTTAGCTCATGTTCACAGTACAGTGGTACCTCTGGATGCGAATGGGATCCGTTCCGGAGCCCCGTTTGCATCCAGAAGTGAACGCAACCCACGTCCGCAGGTCGCGATTCACCGCTTCCGCGCATGTGTGTGACATCATTTTGACCGTCTGCGCATGCGCGAGCAGCAGAACCCGGAAGTAACGCACTCCATTACTTCCAGTTCACCACAGTGCGCAACCCAAAAATATTTATCCCGAAGCTACTTCAACCCAAGGTATGACTGTATGCTTATGTGACACATCACAGGTGTGTGTTCCAGTGCAGCATGCATTGACAAACATATCTGCTTAAGTGGCTTTTGCAGGTACTGTTTTGATATGTCATATCTCTTTTTGATACAGTGGTACCTCGGGTTAAGTACTTAATTCGTTCCAGAGGTCTGTTCTTAACCTGAAACTGTTCTTAACCTGAAGCACCACTTTAGCTAATGGGACCTCCTGCTGCACCGCCGCACCACCGGAGCACGATTTCTGTTCTCATCCTGAAGCAAAGTACTTAACCCGAGGTACTATTTCTGGGTTATCGGAGTCTGTAACCTGAAGCATATGTAACCCGAGGTACCACTGTATTCTGAAAAGTGCAGAAAAGCACAGGCCTGTCTGTGTCTTTTACACTGTGACATGTGGGTGCGGGGGGTTAGCAAGACTGGATATATTTTATCTAGCTGTCTGTTTCTAGTTTCAAGTGAAGAGTGGCACGTACTGTGTGGAATGCTTGACACAGGGACAAGTACTTCATCCAGCGTTGGTTTAGGTAACTGAGTTGCACTCATGCTGTGTACAAAATCTTGAAATTAAAGTATTAGCGATCTGCTTGTTGGACTTGTCTTTCTTGATCTGTAGTTTCTATTTTTAACGTAATAGATAATATAATAGAAGGCAAATATTTTATGTAGAGAGTAGTGCTTGGCCCAACTAACCTTTGCCCTATCTGCTTTCTGTCTGCAGCAATAGCTGTAGCTACAGAAGGCACTGTGCAGTTTTCTGTGCTTTCTTAATGGGTGCAGAGCTGCTATGTATTCTTCACTTCTCCAAAATGACACAACCTTTCAAACTCACATCTTTCTGTGAAGGCATGTGCAGCAAGCTGCCTTTAAATGTACATTCTCTCACTTGCCAAAAGGGGGTTCACTTAACCCAGGGATCGGCAAGGATTACCGGCCATGGGCTGGATCACGCCCACGGAGATTGTCCGTGGACATGCCCAGACGTGATTTCTGGTATCTGCGCGTGCGCAGATGCGAGTTCCGGTGCTGCTCGTTGAGTCGCTGCGCTGGTTTAGCACAGCACGTGGGGGACTCGCCAAGTGGGTGGCTTGGTTCAGGGGCGGCTCGTGGGCCAGTAAAATGGCCTTCGTGGGCTGCATCCGGCCTGACTTAATCTGTGAGAGGCTGAAAAGGAAGCCTGCTTCATGTACCCAGTATAGGGAGTGCTGTGTAAGCCCAAATGTTCATCTAGATCAGTAGTTTGGACTATTTCTCCTTGATTTTCAAGCTGCTCTTACTTGCTTTGGGTTGCTGGTTTCACCATTACAACTTTGATCCATCCTTCCCTAAGATATTAGCCAATGATAGCCAGAGGCAAACCCATCTTCCCGGTGACAAAAGACAATCACTACCAAGGCTATCTTTGTTACCAGTATTTTTAAAAACTGCAACTCATTGCAGTAGTCTAGTTCACAGAACGCACAAAGTGAACAAGGGCTTACTGGCAGCCACTTTGCTCTCTGGTCCTTTTGCTGCACTGAGCTAAGTCAGAGTTTGGCTTAGCATGCTGTCTAAAACCAGGCTCATAGTTAAGCTCTTTTCTCACTATCCATGTTATAGCCAAGAATCAACTTTGGCTATAGGTCACGGTTAGTGAAATGAGAGCTTAACCACAGCATGCTAGCTCAACCTTGGCTTAGCTCAGTGTGGTGCAGAAGTGAAAAAGGTGATGGGGGGAGAGCAAAATTATGTTAAGTTCCTCTCTGGGAGCTTGCATGTTTGCACAATCTGAGGAAGGCATAGTTTAGCTTAACTGTGGCGTTCAAATCTGGTCACTGTGGAGGATGACTGGTGTTTTGCAAGTTTTATTACCTCTAACTAGCTTAGATAAGATAAATGAATAAAATCTTTTTCAACTGGATTTTGCTTGCAAGTGAAATCTGAATCAAAATTGGGCATTTGGAGTTCTCGCCTACATGTTAATACCCATGGTGCCCTTCTAACTTGCAGCTGCTTCATCAAATCGCTCGTGTTGGAACACTTGGCACAAACTAGTAATTTGGAGAACTGGAATGTACGCAGCAGGGCCTTTCAACATGATCAGAAAAAGCAAAGGAATTAAAAAGTACTTCTTTGTGCAAAGACAACCATTCTGTAGGTTGAAAAAAAATCCCCATAGTTCTATAATAACTCTTCAGAAAATGCGTTCGTTTTTATTAGTATTTAGTTGCAAAGTGAAGGTAAAAGCTATTGAAACCAGACATATTTTTCTAGAGGAGAATATGGAGAATACTCTATAAGTGAAGAGATGTTGAACCTCACAATTATCAATGAACTTACTTTGAAATGGCAATGAACATGTATTGAACATGAAATGTATTGTTGTGTTGTCACATTCCTACTAAGGAAGATTTAATAATCCTAGGTATAACCATTTACTGTGAGACGTTCTCCCTTTGGTCAGAGACCAGCCTCTCTTTGGAATGTTCTTCCTCACTTGACTGCTGTCAGCAGTTGGAATATTTATTTATTTGAAACATTTGGATGTTTTATCCTCACCCCCCGTATGACATCCAGAGGACATTTTCTATTAGCTTTCTAATGAGTTTAGTTAGTAACTAAAACAATAAATACAGCTTTTCAAGTGTACAGCCTCCTAAAGTGATTTACAGATTTTAACAAACATTTATAACGAAATAAGATTGTAGTAAATTAAACCTCAGAAAAGCCTGGGTGAATTTTAAAAAAGGTTTTCCTTTAGGTCTGGAAGAGCCAGCTTTTGTTAAGCTACTTTGTGTGGCACATTCTTAGTTCCGGCAGGTGACGAGGCAAATTGTTGTTTACAAGCATGTCTTAACACTATTACATATGTGGAATTAGGACATATTTTGCTCTTTAAATTCCATATGCTGTGCTCTTCTGGGCTGAGAGATGATATAGAAACCTGATATATATATTTTTTACCTTCGTTGGCATCACTGTGTTTAGAAATTCTTTTAACGTAATAGCATCCTGTCAAGCATATTTGAGACTCACAGATTAAACTAGAGAAGGGCAGTAGAGGTCTTCAAAGTTACATGGCTGTAATGCAGCAGTTATAGTGAACACAGTTCAAGATTTGCTCTTGTCAGTGTGCACTCAAGGATCTTGGCCTTCCATTGTCAGTGGTGAGGACCACAAATTCTGCCTTTGCCTGCTATCCTGCCATGGTTTGTGGCCATTGTTGACCCTCCTTATAAGTATTCACAGCAGGGTAGGGGTTTTGCCTCTCACTTTGTACTATGGTTTGAAGATTGACAAAAGCAGCAAGAGATCATCCCCCAAGTTCTCTTACGTTTTGTGAAAGACTTGGCAAAGGAAAACTGATGCTCCCAGTTCAAGTGACTCTCTGTGAGTTCATTGAAATGCAGAGACTCTGGAAAGGTGTCTGTCTCTCTATGCTAAGCATTGGAAGAGTGGTCACATATAGGATTGTGTCCATTGCCTGTCCTACTCAGAGTTAAGCCGCTGAAAAAATTAATCATGACATAACTAACATAGGCTTGTTGCTTTCAGTTGCTTTACCCTGAGTAGAATTTAGTTGGATACAACTCATGGTCAGCATTGGTGGCCATATTTTTGGACCAGTTGTGTGTGCAAATTACTGCAGGGATGTTGAACCTCTATTTCTTCAGATGTTAATAGACTCTCCCATCTGCCTCGGACAGTATGGTCAATAGTCAGATGATGGGAACTGTAGGCCAGCAATATCTGGAGAGCCACAGGTACTCCACCTCGCCTTACTATGTTACACTCCATATACCCTGGAAGGAAAACCTAGAGCAGGCATGTCCAACTTCCAAAAGACTGCGATCTACTCCCACCGTAAAGAAAACTGGGGGGGGGGGGGGAATCAGGGTCCCACGGTCGACCTGTTGGACATCCCTGACCTAGAGTTTTGCCTTTATTCTTTTTGCTGCTGCTACGTACTTGTTCACGTTCTTATTATTAAGGTACATGCATTACTGTAATCCATCCTCCACCCTCTTAGCAGCTTTTAATGCTGTTCTCTGCCAGCACTTCCAAAGAAGACTTTGTGTTCATCCCTGTCACTGATGGATCCTATAAATAACATTATGGAGACTTCAACTTCAACTGTGGTTTCTGTTTTCCCCTTTCTATTTTGCTGGACCTAATCTGGGGAAATCAATTATGTTTCAGTACAAAGTTCATGTCAGTGCTTCAACAATCTCAGGACTTGTTCAAATGGTCATTTAATGTGGGCTAATGAACACTTAGGATAGCCTCTGTCATTTAGGTGTAGAAGCAAGTAACTGTGATTTCTGTATGGACTTCCACAAGTTTACTAACCAAGTGTGAGCTCTTAATAAACAGCACACATGCTATCCTGCACAGATGAGAGAAGATCCCATCTGTCTCCCAAGCATTCTGCATACCATGCTACATGGAGAGGGGATTGGTGGCAACCACAAATAATGACTGGCTAGAAATCCAAACCAGCATTTGTGTGACTCATGGGGGAAAGTCACCCAGCATCACGTATCATATTACTGATGAGCTGTGTTTGGCCTGGTAGGAACTGAAGTGGTTGTCCTTTGAGGACAGGTTACACAGTTTGGGGCTTTTTTGAGTAAGGGGGAAAATGACAGAGGCTTATAAAGCTATGCATGATGTGGAAAAAGTAGATAGAGGTTCTTTTTCCTCATAATACTGGAACCTGGGTCATCCAATGAAGCTAGATGTTGGGAGATTCAAGATAGGCAAAAGAAGAGGCTTCACACAGCACACAGTTAAACCTATGGCATTTGCTACTACAAATCGTGTGATAGATGCCAACTAAGATGTTTTTTAAAAGAATGAGATTAATTCCTGAAGGATGTATTTGATGGCTATATGCTGCCTCTAGGATCAGAGGCAAAGCAGTATGTCTTTGAACAATGGGAATATGATGAGGAGAGTGCTTCCCATAGGAATTTAGTTGACCACTGTAGGAAACAGGATGCTAGACTAGATAGATAGGCTTTTGGTCTCATCCAGCAGGATTTCTCCTATGTTCTTCTTATCGCTTCATTTGCCCTGTTCTTGCTATTAGGCCGTTGGTTTCCTATTCTGTCTGTGTTAATAGAGTGTAACTCTTTCAACTGTGTCTTGTGTTACAGTTTTGTTCTATAAAGTACCTAGAACACTTGGCACTAAGTAAAAACAAGGTGGTAGTCATAGCAAAAATGGTAACGAGGAACTGGTTGAGGCAGAATGGAGAAGAAACAGGTGAGGAGAGTGTCAGGAATAAAGTATTAGTGGTGACCACAAACAGAGGAACCCGACACATTAGGTTCCTACTCTGTTCCCGACAGAGTCACTGACAGATGGGATATTTATAGATACAGATACAGTGTGTATATATGCCCTTCATTTCTTTTAACTTGCTTTGGAATCATGGAAAATGAGAAAATAGCTCTTATGTCGCCACACCAACTTCCATATTTAGAGAAAACATATTCTTCTAAGAGCAATGTTAAAATTACAGGCCTAGCTCTGGAGAACCAGAACAGCTTCTTGGGATTTCAAGTGCTGCAGGCACTTTTAAATTAGAACTTTGCTTATTCTATTTTGTACCTTGAGAGAGCTTTCTTCAGGGAAAGCAAGTCACTGTATTATTTAAAAAGTAGGGATTTCCCCAATTTTCATACAGAAATTTGCATTCTGAAGCAGTACCTTTTGCCAAGCAAATAATTAATTTATTCCTCCAAAATGTATCCTATTTCTTCACTGCTTCTTTCCCCATCTTTGGCAATGTCATTTTTACAAGTGAGATGGGTGAGGGGGAGCCTCATCACCAACCTAATGGCACATAGCAAACAGGGTGGCATGTCATGCCAGGGTGGCATGGTCAGGTAATACTGCAAAATTTGTTTCATCTATCAACCAGTCAAATGCCACCTTGTGTACAAACTCTTGTTGTGGTGAAATTGCACTGTATGAATGCCATGCTATGTATTTAAAAGCATGGATGAAAACAAGTGAAATTCTGAGAAAGAATGCGAAAAAGAAAGACAAACATGTTTTATATGAAGGAGGAATGAAAAACTACAAGGAGGGAGTTCCTGTTTCAAATCTTGCCTCTGCCATAGACTCACTTCGTGGCCTTTAGGGTTCATACATTCTTTCTTTCTCTGCCTTAAGAATGATATGGGTAAAATAATACTGGCTTCTATTATTTGATGAGCTTTGACCTCTTGAAAGTGTTGTGTAAATGCTGATAATCCCTATTTTTCTTGTTGGGTTTGGTTGACCAAAGTAAACCAAATAACTGAAGATGGATTTGTCTTGACATTCTACATATATTTGCTTGTCCTACAGATGTTGCTGCTGTGTCTAATTTTTTTATTGTTGCATTTATATCCCACTTTCAAGGAGTTCAGGGTGGCATACCTATGAGGTACGCTAGGCTGAGAGACTACGACTGGCCCAAGGTGACCCAGTGAGTTTCATGGGTGAGCAGAGATTTGAGCTTTGTTCTCCCACGTCCTGGTACAACACTCACCACACCACACTGGCTCTTCAGAAGGAAGCTAGCTCATTGCTTCTGTCCTGTCACTGTCAGACCTCTTCCAATTGTCTTGTAAGAACAGTTGTAAGAACTGACCTTTATTTTTATTTTAACAATAACAGCAACAATATTTTTTCTAACAACAGAGCCTAAAATGGATAAGAGGAATTTAAAACAAGTAGCATCAAGAAACTAGTACAATAACATTGGGTTGGAGATTACTAAAAAAAAGGAGGAAAACAAAGTAAATGGGAATGTGAAAGCATTGCAATACCCACAGTTTGATCTGGTAAACCAGGCTACACTGTAATCTGGATAACAGCCAGCTGTGCAGATGGCTGCTGGTGTAAGTACTGTCTCCAAATCCTTCAATCTTCTGTCTCCAGAAAAAGATATGACAAAGCTGAAACCATGAACTCGTAGAGAAGTGCAAAGATGACAGTTTCCAAGACGAATCTTAATTCTGTAACAAGGTATTGCTCTTTATTCCAGTTGTCTCCCTTGTTACCCAGAAAGTAGGAGGAACGTGTTTAACTGACCCACATTATTAACTTTGCTTGTGTTTAAGCAGCCAGTAAAAGAGGAGCTTTTGTCTCTCTCTTAAAAAAAGAAAGAAAACGCCAGTCCATAATTATATTTTCAGGGGAACTATGTTCATATTTCCATTGTGTTCTCTAACACCTGATACACGGTTTTTGTTTTTTTTAAAGTGGCTGAAATAAAATAATTTCAAGTATTTAACTCCTTTGTATTGAAATGTATCTAATGAGGTAGTCATCTCCTATATAGCAATAACATTAGCATTGCCAGATAAATCAATCAATAGTATAAGCTCCGTTAGTTTTTCCCTTCTCCATTTTATGATGCATGTGCTTATGTGTATCTGAGGGAGAAAGCACAATAACTGTCATTTGCATAATGAGTTAAGAATCTAACCTTCTAGTTGTCTTGACCTAAGTTGTTGCCTATTCCTATGTTCTAATGGTGTTTTGTCCCAAAATTTGAACAATAGTTGAATACTAAGTCCCTGGGATTTGGTTACCATTCAATAACTGGTTAGATATTGCCAATTAAATAAATACAAATTATTATCTTACCACATCTGGAGACGTTTTACCTGCTTCTTCACGGTGTGCGAAAGGTCAGCAGCATGACCTTTATGTGTTATACATTTGATGTTAGCTGCTCTGAGCCCGGTTTTGGCCAGGGAGGGCAGGGTATAAATAAAAATTATTATTATTAACATAGACGATTGTGGCTGGCTTTCTGTCATTCTATGGTGATTATTGCTTCACCCCTTGTTGCTGACCTGCTCTGCTGTGGAGTGAAACCCATCCCTCTATGCAGTTCTGTAGTGTTGTATTGCTTCCTGGTTCTTTGTTTAGGGAAGTACTTGCAGTCTTAAAAGCTTTTTCATATTGATTATGGTACTTCAAAGAGTAGATCCTTAGATACAATGGCTGGTTTTTAAAAAGAAGATGGTGTTCCTTTTACTTATGTGAAGTCATCTATTGCAGCATGCTGTTGTTTAGATGACCCATGTGTGTTTTGCACTCAGCACAGTCAATTTTTTTAAAAAATGGTGCATGCTCATGAATGCAGGCATGCAGTTCCAAAAGGAAATGAGGTCTATCACTAGCAGGCTAATGTAGCCCCACATCATCTCCATATTCTGTATGGATAAATATTGATCATATTTTGTTCAATAATTGAAAAATTATGTTGGTATGTTTTGTAAGGTGTGAATGTGTATGCATGAGAAAGCTTTAATGTATTATGCCTGGATACAGCTCCAGCTGAAAGCCTCTGCAATGTAATTGAAGCAAAATTAACCTGTATTTGTAGGAAACTAAAATTGTTTATAAGCCATCTTTAGAGAGCCATGTCCTGAAAGATAGTGTATAAATACGATGAATGAATGTATATATTTTTAAATCAAGATCAATACACACCTTACCCAGCCCTCTTGCCACACAACATAGTGAGAACTGTTATGGCCTTCAGACTGCCGCTCCTTGCCAAAAAAAACCCCATCCCTCAAACATAAGAAATTTTAGTGAAAATTAAATACCTCATGGAGATTGCATATATTTACACTTTTCTAGAGTAAATACTTGAAATGTAATATCTGAAAATCATGAAGAAATATGGGAAAGGCAAGCTGTTAATTGAAAACCATGAAAGACTCTAGCTTGAGAATACCTTCCCCACTCAATTCAACTGCTGTGATTTGCTAATACTGGATGTTCGGTTTACCAAGTAGTCCATGTTGGGAAGTCTCCCATTTTAACACACAGTAGAAAGCAAGGTAGAAAAAGAATGGCACCTGTTGATCAAGCAGAACCATAGTAGAAAGCCTTACTACTTGAACCTGCTTTTGGTCTTATACATATCTGGTAGGTCACTGTGACAACAGAGTGCTGGATGATATTGGCCACAGGGCTGATCCAGCAGGCTCTTCTTAAGTTCTTAGATGTTATAATTATTGTTGCTTCTTAAATTCCTGTCCTGCACTTCTTCCCAAAGGTGTCTAGGTGCAACGGACAACTAAGCAGTCAAACAGTACAATTAAAATTGAAATGTAAAATAAACATTCAAAAACAATCACATACCCTCACAGCTAATAATTTCAAGATTGCCAAGAACGGTTCTTTCAGCTATCAAATGCCTGATTAAATGTTAATGTTATAAACTTCTTGAATATTAATAATGACAGTCAAACCTCACCAGGGAAAACAATTCACAAATGGGGAAATGCCACGGAGAAGATGCTGTTGCATGACAGCACCAAACTGGGCAGTTGGTAATCTCTGTTGGGGCCACTGACTCTTTCTTGTATTATTTGACAGTAATTGTGTGTCCTTGCTTGCACTCCGTGCTTTGCAATATAACCATAACCACCTTTCAGAACCTTTGCCCTGTAATTGCAGCATTTGTGGTGCCTGTTTACTTTAATTTCAAATGAAATTTGTAATTGAGCCTGTTTCTCTGGCTTCCAGGAAAAAAGCCAAGAAAAACTGTTGAGTCGCATAAATATGGGTCAGATTACATTAATATTCACATAATATTGTTAGCTGCAAATAAACAGTTTTGCATAATTCTTCTATAATAATTAACTTTTGTGATTACAGTAAATTTATCTCAGTTCTCTTAATTCTTCAAATACTTGGTTGCTGTTTCACAAAATTTGTCCTGTCAGATTATTTATCAGATTGCTAATCCTTACCCCCTTTCCACCCTAAATCTTTGGAGCTCCATAAAACTATGAGACAGTTGTTGTTAAATCTGGGGGAAGACGCATTGACATATTTTGAGAGATGTGATTATTTCAAGTGTAGCAGGTCAATGGGAAAAAGCCTACCAGGTAGCCATGAGCTTGTATGTATTTAGTCTTTGCAGATTATCAGTTTGAAATTTAAAATACTGATTCAGGTTTATTTTTCTTGCAGTAGTTGCATATTTGGCTGTAGAAGTTGACTTTCCATTATACTGAGATCAAAAGTAAGTTGGGAAAGTTTTAGAGCACTCTGAACATGCTCTTATGATATCTGTCTCTGGATTTAGTCAGAGTATAATAACATTACTTCTAAAAAGGATCCCTTTGTTGTATTCTTTGTGAAGGCTACTTCACCCTGAATGCCAGGAATTCGTTTATTCTGAAGTGTTGCTGTCTGTGGTCCAAGATTTGCTTCAAATCTCACCTTGACCAGAGAACCTAATTAAATTTTTAATTTGATTTATTAGATTTATACACCACACTTTATCATAAGATCTCAGGGCAGTTCACAGAATAAAATACAGGATAAAAACAAGTAAATTAAAAACAAAACAGAAAAACAGTAGCTTTTGGCTTGGCTGGTTAGTATATTTGGATGTTTCTGGTGCTGTTAAATCTGCGCTTTCTTAAGTTTTGTTTTAAACTATTAACTCAAGACACCCTAAACCTTGGGAAATCAGCTAATAAATGCCTTTCATGATACTTCCTTGGTTATATTCAGCACAAAAGGCAACATATTCCCTATTTAATCTATATTGCTCTTAAGCAAGTCTACAAGTCCTGGGATTTGTTCAAATGTGACAGTGTGGTGGAAGAATAGAATGAGCAATTGACTCTGCTTTTCATTGCCAATACCCACATTTCGTAAGTTCTCAGGGCCCAACTATTGCCTTACAGAGGGGACATGTGTACATTACTTTCTTTTCTATTTGGGAATGAGCCAACATGCAGTGAAAAGTAAACAAGAGTCACTTGTACATTCTGCCTTCTTGTCCCATGTTGCAACTTGCAGACAATCCTTAAAATCGGTTAGGTTGTGCTACACACAGGAAATTTTATATTATATTACTATACATTATTTCAATTTATATCACACCATGTGTGTGCGTGTGTTACACTCAATGTGATATTAACAGTAAGATGAAAAAAGAAGAGTTGATTAAAGCAGTCAAAAACACTAAACATTGGCCACCTTAAAAATAAGTAAACATGACCTGTATATTTTCTTAAAACCAAGGCCCATTTAAAAGTAATTTCCGAATTGAAGGCAAAATAGATTTACTCTTTAGGTCTGCTGTCAGAAATTCTGCCTGAGGTTCAGAAGGCAAAGAATACAGATAATTGAAAATTAATGTCATAACTGTGCATAATAAGAATCATTTATATATTGGTGATCATACATATCTGTTTAAATGTGGCAAGTTTCAGCCTACAGTTGGTGCTGCTGTGCTTAAGCCACATCCTTCTTCCATTGGCCATGTGTCTTGGACCTCTCTAAATTCATCTAAGGTTTTCCTTCAGCAAACAATACTGCAAAAATTGGAATGTGATGGCTACTCAACCAGGAACACTTTAGAAGAGGGTTAGGCAAATTCATGGAGCATGAAGCTGTCGATGGCTGTGTTCTACCTCTACTGTCAAAGGCAGTATGTCTCTGAATACCAGTTTCTGGGAAGCACAGGTGGGGAGAAAGCTATTGCACTCAGTCCTGCTTTCAGGCTTCCCATAGGCATCTCTGTGGCCGCTTTTAAGAATAGGATCCTGGACTAGATGGACCATTGGCCTGATCCAGCAGGCTGTCCTTATGTAAATTTCAAGGGAGTCCCCTCACTTAGCTGAATGTTTGTTGTTAAACAAGAGCACTGGTGCTGCTTATCCCTAATACAGTCGTGCCTTGGAAGTCGAATATAGTTCCTGAATGTTTAGGCTCCCAAATGTTGCAAACCCGAAATGACTGTTCCGGTTTGGGAACTGTTTTTGGAAGTTCAACGTCGGATGGGGCTTCCGCGCCTTCCGATAGGCTGCAGGCGTTTCCTTCAGTCAATCAGAAGCCGCACTTTGGCTTTCAAATGTTTTGGAAGTCGAATGGACTTCTGGAACAGATCCCGTTCGACTTCCAAGGTACGACTGCATTTGAATAAAAGTTACTTTGTTACAAAAATTTTAACATCTCAAGGAGATTCTCATATCTACCCATAGTCAATTCAGGCTTGCACCTTTGCTTTAATCATGCCATCCATGTTTGCTTATTTGTTTTTATCTCATCCTCCCAACTCACAACTTTAAAATGTTACACTTTAAGTACTTGTACTTTAGGTTGTACTTTCACATTCTGAAAGGGTGCAGGCAGTGTATCAGTTTTGATAAGAGGATTTAAATTGGACAGCAGATTAAACATGTTTCTAGTAATCAGATGATGTTGCATGGAAGAGTATTTTCTAAGAATGTTGTCTATTATACCCAATCATCTTTTTAATGCAACTGGTGGTGTATTATATTTATAAGTAGCATATAACCCCTACCTCATATCATAAATATAACTATAGGAACACTGGTTTCAGACACACTTTTGCATATACAGTGCTAGCAAAAATCCCTATCATTTTAAAGATAAAATATGTGTGGAGGAAGGCATTTATGTTGCAGGCATTCTAGCATTTAGACAAAAGATAAAATTTTAAAATAATAACATGACCCTTAACATTAATAATGATAATGATAAACTCCTTTGTACAACAGTGCCAGATTCAGCACTAGTCTCTCATAGGAATGAATGGCAGTCTGTCACTCTTAAAGGAGAAAGAAAAGGTTTTGCACTCAGAGGCACCATTGGAGTTGGAGCAAAACTTGCACCTCACCATTGGTTACTCCAGTCATTAGGAATCAAGTTGCCTCTTCCCGCTTTTTGATCCTTTGGCTTGGCCTTGATGTGAGTGATAGAATATTGGGAGAGTGTTGACTGAAGGAAATTAATTTATAGGTAAGTGGGACCTTCAACCACATAATTGCATTTTATGATACCTGTTCAGGGTTGCAGTCAGCTATTCCTTTACCCTGCTCTTCCCTTCCTTCTGATTAATTTTTTTGATTTATTATGCTCATTGTGTGGCTACTGACTGTGTTCAGTCCTCATCAGGCTGTTCTTTAAATGTTTAGGCCCTTTAGGTTTTGTGCTGTCTTGAAAATATGAGGAAAATGAGAATACTGGCCCATTTCAACTTGCAAGCACGTTGATTCATGTCATCCGGACCTCATTTAGGCAAAAAGTGATTATTAGTTGATTATGTAGTTTGCTTTAAGCACCCTTGGGATAAAATGAATCTGGGGTTTTGTGCACCAGCAATAAAGAACTTGTGCAGAAAGTGAATCTCGTATTTCAGTGTTGGGGCAGTAGAGTAAGATTCCCCCGTCCTTTCCAACAAGCTTTGATAGTATTGGGGAGACCAATGAGTTTGGCAGGGCAAGGCTGGAGGATACACTTGCATTGGGGTACTTGCTGCCTGGGCCAGAAAGGACAACAGGGATGCTATGACAGCTGTCTCCTGCCATGTGAGACACTGTGAGCCAGTTCCAATAGGACTTCAGCACTGCTCTTAGTACAGGGCACGAGGAATGTGGTGCTTATAGCAGCTGCTTCTCTTGGACTTAAAGAACCAGAAGAGCTAGCAGCAACAAATAAGGAGGAACTGATAATTGTGTTTGCCACAGTAGTATATTAGGTCAGGACCACATGTTCAGTGTGGTTGCCTCACAAATGACTCCTAAATAGTGGAACTTCATCACTCCCAGCTACCCCCAAAGTGGCAGGATTTCTGAGACAGACTCTCCTCTAAAGAGATGAGGATAGTGATAGGTGTTAAAATGTAGGTTTCACCTTAAATGGATTTGAATGAGTAGTTAAGCTCAGACAAGAGATTATTAAGGCTTAACAATGACACTGCTACCAGAAGACAGGCAGTTCAGGCCTGTGTTCATGTGGAAATTGTACTAGCAGCTTCTGAAATTCACAGGACTGGGGAGGTTTACAGGCTCTGTGTCTTGTAAGTATGTTTTGGGCAGTTTTTGAGAATGCATTGTTAATACTTGGGAAATCAGAATAGTAACTAGAAGGTGGTAGTTCTTTAGACCTAAGCAGAATTTCATATAACGTGAATGTTAGCAAAGTAGAATATTCTCTTAATTCCATGGCTAGGGTTTGTTGGGTTTCATAGATGAATTGCCTCACTAGCAGCCAGCCTCAGAAGTGATTCTTTCAAAGTTTGCAATCTCTGATCTTACAACTTCAAAGTTGTGATATCAATACAGCATTTGACTGTAGAATATGTTTTAATTACTAAGACCAGTCACTTTGCTTGTTCAGGGTTGTTGTTTTTTATGTAGCTTTCTGTTCAAGTGAGGCTATTGGAAAAGTAAGGTATATTTGCCCCAACTTTTTCCCCCACATACAGCACGGGGAAAAGGGATGCCACCTAAGTACAGAGGGTGGCGATTTTAAACAGCAGGAGAGGGTCCATGAAGGACTAACTTTGAAGATTATGTTCCTGACTGTGGAGTGGTGGTGGGGAAATCAGTGGGTTGACTAGCTGGGAAGAGGAATGTAAGGCTGTGGTAGGCAGATGATGAGGCAGAAATAACATGAGATATACTTCGTTGGAGAAGAAGTAGCAGGAGCAGAGGTTGTAGGTACACTGACTCAATTCTATGCATTGAATTCCAAGGTTGTTTTGGAATTTGATTTAATTTTTTTTTAAAAAAATAAAGTCTTGTGGTGCTGCAGTGTAAAGGGGATTTCGGCCCATAACATCACTAGTGTGTTTGTAGCTACCTCAAAATAATTAACTATTCCTGCCACACACAAGGGTAGATCACAAACTCTTACTATGTAATGTAAACTGCTTAGGGATTTTGCATATTAAACTGTATATAAATATTATTGATGGTGATTATAGGGCAAAACTGTGCAAACCCTATTTTTTCTATACTTTCTTTAGATGCTGAACTGAGATAGCTTACTTAATCAAGATTTTTAAAACTGCTATTTTAATAACAAATGCCACTTCCGATGAAATATTTGAATATTAGAATTAGCTCTGTGAACTTATTTCTTCTATGTATTTGTGAAATAGCAAGACAGCAGTAACCTAAAGTGATTAGAACTTTTAGCAGTAAGTTGTATTGAGAGAGGCAAATGCGTGCGTTCCACAATTCCATGAGGGTGCAGAAGGCTTGCAGAATATGTTGGGTGCAGAAATCGGCTTCCAGTGGATTCCAGATTTCACCTCCCCCCCCCCCCCATTTTTTTATTATAAAAAAGGCAGGTATCTTGACCTTGTAGTTGCAAATATGTTTATAAACAACCTTCCCCAAGCTGGCAAGGACTACCAATTTCCATCGGCCCTAGCCATCATGGCCAGTGGCTCAGGTGACAAAAATTGTAGTCTAGAACATCTGCAGGGGGATCAGGTTGGGGAAGACTAGTTGGTATCTGCTTGTCTTGGGAGACAATGGAAGAGTGTTGAAGGCTGATCTAGAAAATGTATGAAGCAAGTCTTTTGAAATTTCAAACCAGAGGAATTGATGAACATTTCAAGTAGAAAGTAGTAGAGCTTCCATGTCACACATCATTCCTTGTCCCTCCCCATGAATATGAAAACCAGAATAACTTATGCAAATTATGAGAAACATGCAGATTGGCACGATTTACGTACTCTGTAGGGCTGAGCTTTACTTAGCATAGAATTTGGATTACCTTGGATCCACGTGTGTTTAAGTTTAATGCGGAGTGCATACTCCACCCTAGCTATGACCTAAAGTTACATAAACAGTCTTTAAGAAACGTAGATGAAGGCTGCACTTATTTGGGCCTACTTCTGAATAAACATGCATATGACTGCACTTTGTAAGGATACTTATGTTAAGCTAATTATTTAATGTGCTGTTGGTGTTTGCTTTTATTTATGTCTATTTTATGTATATTAGCTTAATTGTAAAGAACATAGTTACTTAAAATGTTTTTCTTTTTTAAAAAGGTTCAATTAACTTCACATTGTTTTTACTTTTCTCCCAGATTTTTGAGCATCTGAGAGGTGTTACAGAAGCACACCTTTAGTACGGGAAGATGAGTGAACTTGACCAGTTACGCCAGGAGGCGGAGCAACTGAAAAACCAAATCAGAGTAAGTATTATAGACTAAACGTCTTGCCTTTCTCACCTGTTCTGGATGTTTGGGTGTGTTCGTTCTCTCTCAAATTAATCTGTGTGGTAGGGAGGATTTTAAAACAACTTACTTGTTTTATTTGAAAGAGCTGCTATTTTAAAATAAAGAGCTTTTCTTTTATATAAAAAGATTTCTAGGCCACATCTCAGCTGAAGCTTCCCAGGTGATTTAACAAAACAAATGTATAATAAAGAAATTTAAGCAACATTAATAACAAATATAACCACAAAACACATAAAGATGGCACTTAAAAACTGCTCTGTATGGTGGTACATTTTCAGTGCCTCTCACGTTGCCATTTGGCATTAACTACTTATGCTGACCCATCTCAAAGGGCTACTTTACTGTGCTATAGTATGGCATAAATTTCCAAACTTGTTTGTTAGCTTCCAGTGAAGGAAAAAAGCATGTGACATGCACAGTGATTTATAGTCTTGAGACTTATAGCCTAATAGCATTCATTTCAGAGGCTAGTATAATCTGGCTTCTTTCTGTGTAAAAGAAGAGGGACTACACAGAAACCCTCCAGATAACAGCCACCTTCTAAAAATAGAAGCAAGTAGCCAGTTCTTCAGCTCCAGGTTTCTACTAACTCATTCGTAAGATGCATCCTTTACACCGTCCACTTTCTTCATCTTCAGTTTCCCTTTATGGTTTCTAGGTAAGAATCATGCAGGGGCAGTAGGAGCCGCAGCTGGCAGAAGTTCCCTGCCAGGGTTGAAACTCCCCTTAGCAAACCTGTGCCATCTTGGCTTCCTTCTTTCTCCGATACAGAAGCTGGACTACACACTTCTTTCCCTAAGCAACTGGACATTTCAGGCCATCACATTAACTTAGCAAATCAGTGTCAAAATAACTTAGCCACCACATACAAAAATAATGGTGTTGCACAGTTGCTTGAACCATTCTGTTTCAAAATGCACGGAAATCTGATTTGGGGAATATGACATGTTTATTCCAGAAAACAAACTTTTGCTTGTTCCTACTTGGCATTTCTTTCTGAGGAAAGCAACTATGAGACTGAGCTGTATGCTACAAAACCCCAGGCTCATTTCTCATCTCTGCCATCAGTTTAGGCAAGCTGCTGTCAACACAGTTTCTAGTCATTTATTGTGATATACTGACTGATCTTAGTATGGTGGTTACTGAGGTAACATATGTGGAAGCACATATGTGCTATATAATTGCTAACTCTTGCTTTTCTGTGGACAAATAACTGCATCATGTCGGAAAAGTTCTTAAGTAGTAGAAGGCAGAGATTGAATTTCATTTTCCTTTTTCCTGCAAACCCTTTATTTTACTTATTCCAAGGTGATAATTTTCATATGCTGTGCTCTGAGGGGGGGGGGCAATATTAACTTCAATTCTGGCATTCAATAAGGCCTTCATTAAGACCTTTTTACTGTTGTCTTTTCTAAAGACAATTTTGATGATCTCATTCAGTATCCCTTAAGCACCTTTTGAGATTCTATTGTTTTTTTCCCCCTCTCTCTCTACATGGCTTTGTGAGGGTTTGGCCATGAAAAGTGACTAATAAATAACTTATTTATTTTTAAAAGTTATTTATTAGTCATTTTTCATGGCCAAACCCTCACAAACCCCTCCAGAAGTTTGAAAAAAGCATTACTTTCAGTCAAGGCACATCAAGCTTCTTTACATGAAAAAAAATATATTTCTTTCCTTCTGGTTGAAAGCTTACACAAATAATAAAAGTAGATCATTCTGTTGACCTGGCATAAAAGTTTTAGGTCACGTATACCTGAGCTTTTGTTGGATGCATAGTATATGCGGTTTTGCTTAAAACTGAGGAAATCTCATTTTAGGTTGAGAGAGAAAGTGTATGTATATGTCAATAACCAGTAGAGCTACATTGAATACACTATTAAACACAGAATTAAAACAATGTATGCATAATTTTGTACAGGTATATTGTGAAACAAGACTTTTGACAGCCACAATAGTGTAAATAACAAACAACTTCTGACCAAACACACTTTGTGTAAACAAAAGTAGTCAGGGGTTTTATAAAACTGGATTTAAGCTCTTGAAACTAACTGTGGTGAACAAGAAATAAAAGAGAAGCATATTTAGCCTCATTTTGACCCCTCCACTGGAATCCCTCCAAAAGGGAGATGGCACCATAGACTTCCCAGACCTGCTCTTCATGTGCATTTGTCTATGTGTGCATTAAAGGTGGAGTTACACACTGAATGCTGAGTTCATTGTGTTTACTTTTATACTCTACTTTCTCCTAAAGGTTCAGTTATATGTAGTTCAGTTCTCGGTCGAGTGATTAAGAGCAGAACACTGCTTACCTGTTTGGGAAATCCTATTATGAGTTGTGCTGTGTCTGTGTGCCTTTGGAGGTTAACTCGAGCAGATTACCAAAGCACTGAAATAGCTTCCTACCAGTAATATATATGGGCATGGATCTATTATGCTGCACATAGATGTGTACTTAGTTCCATGATTTGCAATGAGAAGTAGTTGGATAATTGAGGCAGACTAGGTTTAAATGTACTTCTTGCCTAATTTGGAACAGTTTTCAATAGAAGTAATAGTAGAGGAGCAGGAGACGCTCTGTTTTGTTCTGGGCAGTGTGATGTATGGATGGGTGTCTTAGAAGTATTCTAGATTTTGAAAATGTACTTCCCATATATGAATGCAGCACCCCATTGCATAACATTGGCAACAAATTGCTCATCATTAGAATCCTTTGAGTGCATTTATTACAGTTTTTTTATGTTGATTGCAAGCTGCATTTTTAGGCAGTTGCTTTTTAAAAAAAGCTCCTCAAACCCTTAATGAAGATGCTCATTAGGACTGTTTTCTTAACAAACTATGAGCTGGACCTTGAGTATTTTCTCAAAAGCAGCCTGCATAATCATTGGGCAGGGTTCACCTAATGTGGCCTGTCAGTGGAACCTCTGACTTTCCCTCCCCTGCCCCATACTTCTGAAATTGGCTGGAGGGTGGGTGGGAGAAACTCTGAAACCATGGAGAAGGGAAGGGGAGATTGTTCCATCTGGCAAGCCGAAAAAGCTTTTGCAAATGGAACATTTGTAATAGCGTGACATGGAATTCCACCCATTGTATCATCCCTCCCCCACATCCTTCCTAAACTAAATAAAATAGTTTAATGTTAAATATATCAGTATAAAAGACTGTTGTGGGACAACTCACAAATTATCTAGCCACTGTATACATAACTAGTTAAAGAAATTAATATCCATGTCTTTCTGCCTTCATTAATTCTAAATTTCTTTAAACAAAAATGAAAGGTTTTGGCTTCAGCAAGGAGACTTTCTGTATCTTGCTTTCCTGTGTGGCTCTCTTGTTTAAAATAAGAACAAATACACTGCACAGCAAGAGGTGTATTGAGAAGCTACAGTACAGCAGACATTTCTGAGGCTCTTCCCCACTCTTTTTATTATTATTGAGAAGAGCTATCTAACCTAACTGTTGACACACATTATAGTGAACGCCTATGCAAACCCCACTGAACTTAGGAATTTGTGAAAGGGCATACTTGCTGGTGCACTGGAAACCTGCTGTAGATTGTGTTCATTATCTCTGTGCAGTCTTGCTAGTCAATTACACTTCCTAACTGGTAGTCTCTCCCTCTACTCCCAGCTGTTTATGTCACATGTGTCCCTACACAACCCAGTTTGAATCTGAGCACTTGATAATTTCCTGTGTCACACACAACATGAGAGTGGCATTAAAACCTGGAGGTTTTCTATATTTTACTCCTCTTCACCAGGATGCAGCAGAGGGAGAGATGGGGTTGGGGGACACTTCACTGCCATGGCTGTGAGATCAGTAGAACTAAAGCCACTTCTGTTCCTTTCCCTCAACCGTTTCCATTCTAAGTAACTTGAAATTAGTGCCTGGCTTCACTTATTATTTTTCTCTTCTGTGTTGTCTATTAGATTGTAAGCCTGCAGGCTGGGACTGTCTTGTATTTAATATTTGTGCTGTGCTCTGTAAATTTCAAGTGCTTTTAAAATAATTATGATGAAAAAACATGTGTTAAAACAAGTCTTCCTACTTGGCATTTACATGGCTGCAGTGAGAGTGGGAAAGAAAAGTAAGATTCAACAAAGCAGTTGATTTTGAGGGGCCTTGGGGGAAAGCACCCTATCTTGGCCCCCTGCTCCTCCTGCCTGTAATAAATAAATAAATATGAAGTTTCTTCTACTTCACATGATTTCTGTAAGGATATATGTGGTGAGAATTCGCAGGTGTATTTCACAATAGTACTTCTAGTTCACTTTTTTGAAAATAGTTTCATGGTGACTGGCTGCAGTATGGCTGTAAAGGTAGGGTTGGAGGATCTATAGCCAGTTAAGCCATGCATGATTTTTAGGGGGGGGGTGGCTCTGTCAGAATGGCTCCCTACACTGCCACCCCTGAAAAATCCCTGTTCTGGTGTGCCCCATTAGGCTTAGGAAAACAGGTCCCATTCCTGAATTGCTGCCTTTTTTCTAAGCCATTTGCTGGAGAAAGGGAGATAAAGGAAGGAATAAAAAAGAGATAAGAGGAAGGCAGGTTTAAATGACTGTGTGTGAGTGGGGATTGAATGGGTTAATGGAGGGGGTGGGATGGACAAGCTCACCAGCAGCATGCAACCCCCAGAGATTTACCCACAAGGATAATTAATGCTCAGCCTGAAACAGGTTCTCAACCCCTGTTGTAAAGCATCACAACTTCGTTACTGATGTATTGATAGATACATCACTTGCTGCCTGATCCTTTAGTCAGTTAAGAGGTACTACTAGTTTTAAATCTCTGTTAGCTGCTTTAAAATCAGTGATGGAGTTCTCCAGTGGCTGTAATTGGCTACTTACAGCAGCCAGATGCTATTTTGAAGGCTGGTTTTTTAAAACTAAAACACACACACACACACACAAAAAAAATTTGTACAAATGTGAGCAGTACAGCTTTATGTACTCAACTGGTTTGGGTCTGTGCCCAGAGAAAGGGGTTTCATTTTTTTTTTAATTATTTTAAAAAATCCTACTTAGCTTTATGAGATCTTAGTGTTTATTTTGTCACCCTAATTTTACTTCCGCAGTTTAATTTATTTTCTAAATTACTTGTGGATTATAAGATCCTCCTTTGAGACACATGTACTGGGTCATCCCAGTTTCTTCATTTTTCAGTACCTTGTGAAATCTATTCATATAAGTAGATAGTAGCTTAGGAGCAAGTCATATCAATGAACATAATCCATTTTCCTGACACTCTCTTAATTCTCCCTTTTTCCAGGATGCTAGGAAAGCATGTGCTGATGCTACGTTGGCCCAGGTAGGTGGATGCTCAATGAACATGTAATCAAAAGTATCTTGGTGTTATCAAACTTTTTTTACAAAACAACCCAAAAATTGCTTATATGAAGGGCAAAGCTGAGGTATTTCAACTTGGTTTAATAGGAATGTTTTCTTTGAAAGGTTGCTGTATGATCACCATTTCGGTTTTCTTGGCAGCAGATGCCATGCTTACCACAGAAAGCTTCCTTAAATCATTCTCATTTATCGCTGTCACCTGTCTGATTTATATGTAATGCTCTCAATTCTATAACTACATCACATTCTCAGTCTCATCCCCTTTGTGCTTTCTCCTGGAGGACTTAAAACATGGCTGAGGCTTACATTAGTGCAAGCTTTAACCCTGATTATTGCTAACCTGGGTATGCACAGGATTGAAGCTTGTTTCAAAAGTGATTTGACTGTAAACACTGGTTAGCAATCATATGGAAGATTCATGCCGGGGAGGGTGGTTGGAGTCCTGCAGCCTCCCCTTTTTAATCTGCGGTCCTTAAGGAGTTGCATCCAGTTCACAGATGCTGTCCCAAAATGCCTGTTGCATGTGATGATGGACCAACAACTATTGCCTTGAAGTGCTTTTTCTATTCAGCATCAGAGGGTGTGTAAAGCAGAAGACATCCAGAAATGTAGTTGTGTTGGTCCATTGCAACAAAAGCAGTGAAGAGCCTTTCAGCACCTTAATAAGAAGGTTCACCTTCTTGCTTATGCTGGGCTTTGTCCTTTAGATGTAGCCTTCAGTATGTCTAATGTTATAAGCATTGCTTGGCCATCTGTTGCCTTTCCCAGCATTAAGTTTGTTAGTCTTCAGATTTTTGAACAAGAGGTCAAAAAATAAAGGACATTAGACCTCTTGCAGCCAGTGGGGCAAGCTACCCACACATAAAAAGGAGCCAACAACAACTAATGTTCCCAATATTAATTCGACTTCCTATTGCTTGTCCTGCTGAAGCTTTTTGGCCAGAATCTGAAGTTAAATGACATGATTATTATGATTATTCAAATTAACCTTAAGGCCCCAGGGTGGGTTACAACAATTAAAACATAATTATTAAACCACATTTGCACAATGTTAAAAACAACTTTTAAAATACAGAAATTAGATTGGACCTAAAAATAATGGTGTGTGAGTAGAGGAAGGAGATCCCGTTATTTGCTTCCACTGCTAATGTTGACTCAAAGTGATGTGAACTGCAAAACATTCTTTTTAGCACAATTTATGGGGAATCATTCATGTTTGACAGTTGCCAAAAATGCTGAATGAACAGTTCCTGTCTTTTACATATGCTGTAACGTAGACTATGGGGACAGGGAGGGAGCTTCTAAGACCTGACATACAGCAGAGGAAGGCAATTATGAAGGAATTCTAAATCCGGAAAGCGGCCTGTACCCTACTAAGCTGCCTTGACAGATTTCAAGAGGAAGCAGGAATTCTTTGCCTGTGTCCTTTGGCTAAATAATTGTGTTACATGGAGACAGAACAAATATGCAGACATTTTTTTTAAGTGGGCTGTGCTACAAACTTTTCTGGCTTCACTGCAGTATGCTACGGAGAAGCCTTAAATTTAATTGGCCACAGTGCAGGGAAATGTGTTGAAGGCATTTATCTCCCTTTTACTAGTGCTCTCCTAGAATACACGATTATTTTAGACAACATAGAATATTCTAAAATATTATTTTAGACAAAACCTGTAGCGGGGTTTTAAAAACCCTTATGGCAGTCTTTCCCAACATGGTGGTCTCCGATGTTTTGGACTGCAGCTATCAGGAATGATTGTGAGCTCAAGGGCACCAGGTTGGAGAAGGCTGCCTTATGGCCTGAAGTCAGAGGCCACTTCCATCAAGATGCATGAAATGATAGCCTCCATTGCTAGGTAGGAGTGTGAATGTATGGCTAATATACAAAACCAAAATAATATGGTTCCAGAAAAAGGGATGATGAAAGAACACCCACAATGCCTGTCATTTCTGGGGATGTTTAAATATCTGCCCTTGACAAAAGCTGAGGGAAAAACATTCAGTCGAGCTAACATAAAGGTGCTGCGTTGGACTGGAATTATTAATTTTGAAATACTTTATAAGTGACCCTGTTATCTGTTGTATTTAAACCATAGAAGTTGGGGAAGCAAATTTTATTTACAGCTGACTTAATGTTTTGTTTTTCAATGTCCCTTAATCTGGTTTGAATATTACAATAAATATATTGCTCACTTGAATTATACAAGAGTTCCAAGTCAGTACCAATAGATCTGATTTTGCTATGTAAGAGTTGGAACCATCTGGATTGATAACAGTCCTTAAGTAAGTCAGAAAGCAGACAGTGAAAAATGAAGCAGTGGAAATGCCATATAAGTACTTTTCTGCTTAAAAAAAAAATAACCCTGCAAGTTGTCTTTCAGTTCTGTGATAATTCTGAGGTGGGGAATCTGTGCCTTTCCCTATGTTGCTGGCTCCCAGTTTCCATCAGCCCTGTCCGGTATAACCAATAGTCAGGTGATGGGATGTTGTTCAGCAACATCTGGAGGTTCCCAGGTTGCCCACCTCTGATAAATTATGCTTATACTAGAAGTTTGAAATGAGAAGAAGCAGTAGTAAGCACCTTTCAAAGCAGCTAGTAAGGTGTTTTGGTCAAGTTCTTTGGTGCAACAGGGAAAGAAATTCAAGAAGAGAGAGTAGTTTCAGTTAATGCTTCTTCAGTCAGGAAATGCTTTTGCTGCTGACAGTTATAAATATGTACAATTAATCTCCCATTTAGATCACAGCCAACATTGATCCAGTGGGTCGTATTCAGATGCGCACTAGAAGAACACTGCGGGGACACTTGGCTAAAATTTATGCAATGCACTGGGGCACTGATTCCAGGTGAGTTCCTGCGCTGCAGAAGGACCATCTTGAGTTGGTCATAACCTCTCAGCCTAATGATTGTGAGGATAAGATTGGGTGGGGACGACGACGATGTATGCTACTTTGAGCCCCTTGGAGGAAAGGTGGGATAAAAATGTATAAATAAATGACTGGTCCTTGCTTAAAGGAATTTAAGAAGCAGACTGTAGACAGGAGGAGGGAGAGGAAATAAACTAGTGGCGGGAGGGTGAAATGAGGAAGGCAAAGATAACAAGGGATAACTAAGTCCAGAGATTGCAGTTGCAACAGCAACACATGTGTGTGTGTGTGTGTGTGTGTGTGTGTGTGTGTGTATGTGTCTTACTGCCAGTTTCTACTTTCCAACAGCCCTGGCAGAACTAAAATATAACTTTGGCATTTTTGGGATTCCCACTTGAAGATGTCACTTTTACCCCCAAAATGTGTTTCCTTTTACCCAAGATAGCTGTACAAGGGATAGATGTGCATTTTACATAGGCAAGGTTCTGAAGGGCCATATGTTTGCCTAGCAGGAGAGATTTCCCACTAGCACCACCACTTAGTCTTGTGTTTAAAAGTACAGGCAGTTACTTCATAGGGAATTTCATAATTCTATTGCCCTACTCTAGTACCAAAGGAATTGAGCAACACTGAAAACTAATAACATTTGTTCATCAATGCCGGCAGCAAAACTGAAATCCATTTTCATATGTTGGTTTCTCCTTGCATGGAAGAAATACAGATAGAAAATGCCTTATGGCTGCTCTAAAATTATTTTTAAATAATATTTCTGAAGCTTTCACACTTCTAAATATTCAGAGATCCAAAGCTGGCAGTCAGCAGGGTGAATATGCTGTTGTCATGGATTGCCAGAGCACAATCAATGTTCTCATAATTTTTTTTAAAAATTAAATATTTGTATATAGTGGATTTGTCTGCTCATAGTTAATAGTGATTAAATCAGCAGAAGCTGATGGGGGGAGAGGGCTTTAATCTAATGAAAGCAATCTTATTAATTCACTTGAGCTTGTTTGCTCAAGTTAAATAATCTGCACTATTCTTAAGCACCTTACAGAACCCTAGATCTATCTTTAAGAATAGACCTGGGAAGACCTGGGAAGATGGTACATTAGAGGAAGTATGTCACTTCCAGTTGAATTCTGTCTGTTGCTTCCATTAATACAGTTACGTAGGATATGTGTTATATTGGAAACATTCACATTGAGAGCCAGTTCAGTCCACTGATCAGGGGGTGACCTTGGTTGAAATATTTGCTCCATCATGGGCTCCCTGGATGACTTTGGGCAGATCCCGCTGCCTCAATTTCTCAATATGTAAAAAGGACTTTCAGTGGCAGCTTTAGATGATAACGGGAGTAAAGCATTTTGCATATCAAAATATACTGTTGAATTGATTAAGACTAATGTATTCCAATGTAATTTGTCTTCCTGCACTTCTGATGTATGCTTTGTTTACATTTAACTTTTTATCTCTTTTCCCTAACCTGCCCTTCCAGGCTTCTCGTTAGTGCATCACAGGATGGCAAGCTTATCATTTGGGACAGCTACACCACAAACAAGGTGAGAGCAATTAATAAGGTTCAATGACTTAATTCCAACTTGGCTAAGGGAGGAAAAGCAAACTACAGGAAGAACGCTAATAAAACAAATCCTTCAGATTGTGTATTTTTGTTCGGCTTTTGTTTTATTCTGTGAAAGAAGGATCCCATGGAGGGGCAAATACAGACTAATTATAGACTAAAGTAATAGCTCAGGGTCCCGTCCACCCCCTCCCCCCTCTTTGGGAGATGAGAAGAAAGAAGCTAAGTAGCGGGTTTGTTTTCTTAGAGACATAAGCTGTGTGGGGCAAAGAATAGCTTCTGTGGTTCTGGCCTTTATAGTGAAAAGTGATGGGGATATTCAAGATAAGCCTGGGTGCAGTTGCATGTGACATGGATCTTGATTAGAACAGGCTTAACACCTTTAACAGTGGTTAAACACTAAGTGATTTTGCATTTAGTTATGTGGGTACTGAAAGGAGAAAGCAAGCACTGTAGTGATTTATGAACTGAAAAGTATAGCTAGGCAAGAACAGAAAGTTGGACTTAACCATGAAGTGATGTTCTCATCAGCAGGGAATGGAGCTGACAAATGGAAGAAGGCAAGGCCCAAACTAGGGGGATGGGGTGGAATTGTTATGACCTTCCTGGAGATGAAAAGCATTCCAGTTACAGGAATTTACTTCAGCATAGAAATTGCTTATGAATTAAAAAAGAAAAAGGAAATCATTAACAAAAAATAGTTGTCAACAATTTAATAGTAGTTACAAAGAAAAAATAGAGGGACAGGAAGGAGAAATCCAACAGTGTACCTAAGAGTTAATGTGGGAAGTTGCATAGGTGAAATGCACAATGGATGGATCTGTCTGCTCTACACCCAGCTTCCCATTCTTGGGAGGTGGAGGAATAGACCGCTAAGAGGCTGTCTAATATGTCATTTCAAGAACATGAACCCCAAAACAAAGAGAAATGAATAACTCTTTATAGCGCCTGTTGTAGGGCCCATATATGGAGGGGATAATTCAGCATGACCAAACTTGATGACCTTTGAATGTCATTTGAGGATGGAGATTGACCTGTTGACCACTTTGTGACTTTGGCCCAAGGCAGATGTGGTAGCTTTTCCACACATGAAAAAAGGCTGTTACACCCATGTGTATCCACACCATAGCTGTCAACTTTTCCCTTTTCTTGCGAGGAATCCTATTCGGAATAAGGGAATTTTCCTTTAAAAAAGGGAAACGTTGACAGCTATGATCCATACCTGTACATAATAAGGTAGCCAGTGTGTTTCCTCACCCCTATACTGATTATGCTTTTGGGGATTTCTTCCTTGCTCACCAATATTGGCAAATTGAGAGCCTGGGGTCCTGAGTAAGTCTAATGTAGACCTCAAGTGCTTGGTGAAAACTCTGTATATACTGTTCCTCATTCCTTGGTGAAATGGTCTCCTGATACTGTCGAATTCAACTTTTTTTTCTGGCATAGGGTGTGGCTGCAACCTTTGGATAGTGCTGACTTGGAGTGATCTCTGGGAATTCTTTTCAAGGAACAATCCGAAGTCCACTTAACAGTGGATTTAACTATATTGGACTGGGGAGTCACTGTCCCTACATTCAGCTTGACTTCATTGGCTGCTAAAGTGTAGGGAATAAAAATCTTGGCATCTAAGCTTGCATTTGTCATCAGGGGCAAAAACCTTACTCAAATTCTATAAATGCAGAAACATACGTTTTGATGAGGTGCGCATACCAGGAGTTCATTGGGTCAGAGGCTTGAAAACCTGAGCAATGGACATCCAATGCCACCTTAATGCCTAAGGATTAGGGGCGCATGAGATTTTAAGTAGAAAAAGCTTTACCTTTTGTTGTATCTACAACTTTTGGAACCAGAGTGCCAGAAATTAGTGTAGCAACAGGGCCATTCACTAGGGAGACCCTTCAAAATTCCTAATGGTTTGCATGAGGCAGTTCTTATTTAAGCTGTCGCTATATAGAAGAGCTAACCAGCTCCTTGCTGTTGCCCTTGCAAATGATAGAGCAACCACTTTGTCACTAGTAACGTCCCAAGGGTAAAAATGGTGGGGGAAACAGAAGAGAGCTTAGAGAACTCTGTTGCTTTCCTCCCCTATCTGTAGTTGCCCTGCTCTCTTGGCACCTGTGGGCAATAGCTAGCAGCAGATACCATTTTATGAATTTCTGGGGCACTGCAGAATGTCATGGAGTGTTTCTAAGTAATGCACCTCACATTAATTGGTCTGCAATAACTTACTACAGTCACTACAGCAGATCAGAACCCCTATGTTTACAGTGAAAAGATAGGGGAGAAGGATTACCCTGTGGCTATGATTGTAATGAGGTAACAAATCTGCATTACAGTGTTACTTTTCACCACATTCCTGTTTCAGTGGGCAGGGAGGGGGGAGAAATGAACACTTGCCCCCCCCCATACAGTGGTATCTCAGGTTACATACGCTTCAGGTTACAGACTCCGCTAACCCAGAAATATTACCTCGGATTAAGAACTTTGCTTCAGGATGAGGACAGAAATTGTGCAGCAGTGGCGCAGCACCAGCAGGAGGCCCCATTAGCTAAAGTGGTGCTTCAGGTTAAGAACAGTTTCAGGTTAAGAACGGACCTCCGTAACGAATTAAGTTCTTAACCCGAGGTACCACAAGCTTCAAGACAGTATTATGAAAGTCAAGTGACTATGCAGTTCCCCAGTATTTGTCCTCCTGTGTGATCAAGCATAATTGCATACCTCCAAGAAGATCAAACGTTCCGAGATGGGAAACTTACCAGAGTCCTGTTGTCAAATACGTGCTATTGTCCTATTTATCTCTCACCCCCTTGCTCCCCCAGCCCCGCCAGAAAAGGATAAGGAGACTTTTGTCAGTAAAGGGTATTAATCAAATCCAGGAAATTGGATGACAGTTCTGCAATAACCAGAATGTAGTTTTAGATTAGTATTTTTATAAGTCTTTGGCTAGATTACACATACGAAGTCATCTCTAAATATATCTCTAGCAACACTGCTGTAGCTAAGCAGTCTTGCACTTGTGCTGGATGTGATGGTGGTCCTAACAAAGAAGATGCCCGTAAAAAAGTGCCCTCTTCCAGTGATGTGGTTATGAGCAACCACTTTGAGGCATTTCATTGGCTGTCAGGGAGGGGATATATTCTTTGGTGATTAAATAGCTGTATTTTTAGTAATGAAGCATCACACCTATTGCAGTGACGTGCTCAACTAACATGTGCTGGGTCTTGATTTCTTTCTTCTTTTAATCCCTAAAAGAGAAAATGTTAAAAAAACAACAACTTCAAGGACTTTATTTCATAGTAAATCTCAGGGGCACACAAATAAATGCAGCAGCCCTGGCTCATGGAGCTTATAAGCATGAAAGATGGGGAAGTTTTGATGAGAAAAGGTAGAATTAAGCCAAGTTGAAAAAGCGTAGACTTGAAATGCGGAAATGTTACCGTTGTTGAAAGCAAAAGAAATTTCAAATGCAGACTATGATAATATGTAGTTGGGGTTGGGAAAAAAGCACAGAAGCCCGGGCTTCTGAAAATGTGATATTGATGGCTAGGAATGGGAAATTTTTCAATAATGGCCTTGGCTAGACAATTTGAAACCTTCCTCAAATCGTCTTTGCAACCACCATGTGAACATAGAGCTTAGGACTCTGTTTCTTGTAAACTTAATCTACTGCATGTAGCTATTTCTTACAGCCAGGTTTCTGTTTAGTACTGTATACAGGAACACAAGAAGAGCCTGCTGGATCACACCAAAGACCCATGTAGGCCAACACCTTGTTCCCCACATTGGCCAACCAGACGCCTATGGGAAGCCCACAAGCAGGACATGATGGAAATAATCCTTTCCTGCTGTTGTTTCCCAGCAATCTTTAGATGTTCACTGCCTCTTGTATTGTTTTTAAAAGGGTTTTAAGGATGTTCTGCAAATGTTGGAAGGCAGTATTCAAATTGACAAGTAATATTTATTCTGGAGCATGTAACCTTTTGCACAGTTCTACTTTTGTTTCAGTGGGGTTTCTGCAGGAGAATTTTCTGGTGGGTTATTCCCCGCCCACCCCAAAGTCAGATCTGTTTCTCTCCCACTACACTGCATTTAACTGTTAGCAAAGGAAAATAAATCTACACCCTGGGTTGGCCACCTTTCTTTACCTCTTAATAATGGGCAAGGAACCTAACAAAATGGCAGCTTTACCCGCTCTTTTTTTTCCCATTCTAGGTCCATGCTATTCCCCTGCGTTCATCCTGGGTAATGACTTGCGCATATGCTCCATCTGGAAACTATGTGGCCTGCGGTGGTCTTGATAACATTTGCTCCATTTACAACCTGAAAACACGTGAAGGCAATGTACGTGTAAGCCGTGAACTGGCTGGCCATACAGGTGAGTGTGTTTTTGCTTCAGTTAGTTCTACAACATGGGTTGGCAAACTAAGGCCCGGGGGTCAGATCTGGCCCAATTGCCTTCTAAATCTGGCCTGCGGACGGTCCGGGAATCAGTGTGTTTTTACATGAGTAGAATGTGTCCTTTTATTTAAAATGCATCTCTGGGTTATTTGTGGGGCATAGGAATTATTTCACCTTTCCCCCCCAAAATATAGCTTGCACCCCCCCACAAGGTCTGAGGGACAGTGGACTGGCCCCCTGCTGAAGAAGTTTGCTGACCCCTGTTCTACAACATGCCTTCAACATGTCTTTTTAAACAGTGTCTCTCTCTCCCCCCTCCCCCACCCAGTGGCATCTCTTGAAAGACTGCCTTTCATCTTGCTTGTGCGTGACACATGGCTTTCACCAACCTAGTGATATTTATTTCTGCCACCTTCCCCCTCCTCACATTTTCACCTTGAAAAACAAAAGCACAAAAGCTAGGGGACAAATAAATCCATAGTTTTACAGGCAGTTATGTTACTAAAAAGCATTAATGGTTTCCCTTGTCTTCTGTAAATCCTGTTGTCTAGACATTCCTCCCAAAACTGGTCTTTTAAAAAAAGCAAACATTGCCACATCCAACACTATATAAACTAAAAATAATCTTTATGTAGCAAACATTATGATAGGTGTTTAAGCATTTTGTTTCCTTATTTTCCAGTACCATGGCCAGGTTCCTTTATTTAATAGATGAAAATCCTGATGTATTCTCTTCTAAAGACTGAGCATCTGTTTCACTTTGGTCAAAGTTCCAAATGTATTATTGGAACTTTTATCAGGCTTTGGTTGGTCTGTGTGTGTGCTGCTCTATGCCCATTTTTCCACTATGAGCTAAATGGTTTGTGTGCCAGCTAACTGGCATGACTACTTCCAGGGAATCCTGAGTGCTGTAATTTGTTGAGAGGTCTGAGAATTCTGTGTTGAAGATTCCTACTCCACCCTCAAACTACAGTTCCCAGGATTCCCTGGAAAGGGGAATAATTGTGTAGCCGCTTCATGATGTAGATGTTCATCTGGACAGCAGAGGGAGATAGCAAAAGAGCTAATCTCTTAGATATGCTGAGTCCTTAGACGCTGGTGCTCCTTGGTGTACTTTTATGCAAATGGGCACCATATGTAACATTCAGTGAAGCCCCCACAAAGTTTCAGTTTGCTCCTGAAATCCGTAGTAATACATCAGATGAGCTGCAGAAGAGAACTGGCTCAGGAGGAATTCCATCTTGCAAGGTTACAGATTCCTGCCCCCTCCCCCCGCCACCTCTCCCAGAGCTATGTCACATTTTTACGCCGTCTTTTGTTTCTGTAAAAGAACAGAATCTCAAGGTGCGGCCAAGCACAGAGGCCTCTTCCTCCAGAGGTTGCCAGCTTGGCTCCGGAAAAACCTTTAACAGTTCTTAAGAGGAAACCTCAGGCGGGCTCTGTGTCTTGCTGGCTTTCCACCGCTGCAAGGCTTTACTGATACAGGCTAAAGGGAGCTCTCTGAAAACTGCTCACAGAGGGGAACTAAGGTTACTCGGCAATGAATAGTTATTTATAATCCAGCAAAGCCAAAGTGTTCAGAACTCTCAATTTAATGTAATGAATAACAAATGCCGTATTCAAACTGGTGTTTGTGGTGCATTTCTTGCATCGTCTTTTAGCTGCTTCATAGGAACTCTGTGCTATGAGCAGTTAAAACTGATTCTTGGCAGTTTTGATAACGCAGGCAAATCATGTTCACGAAAAAAGCTCTTCGTAGGAGGCAAAAGAGAAAAAGAGTGAATAGGTGTTGTGATGGGATTTTTGTTTTGTTTGATCAACCTTTTCTTTGAGCATAAGGAGAGGACACCTGATAGGCCTGTACTTCTGGTGAACTGCTGTTTGACACAGCGCTAGCTACTTTCAAAAGCGGCCGGAGCCTTTGCATTATGGAATTATGGTCTCTGCTGAATTGGTCTGTCCATATAACTAGTTTATTACAAACACAGTTCAAGGAGCTTGGGGTGAGGGCAAAGTGGCCAGTCATGTTAGGAACAGCTATGGGACCAGGCCTCAGAAGTTGATGTGTTTAATCTGTGATTCTAAGAAGCAATACTGCGATGTAGAGCAGGAAAAAGTTCAGAAAAGAGAAACCAAAATGATCAAGGGGCTGGAGCAACTCCCCTGTGAGAAAAGGTTATAACATAGTGGGGGCTTTTTAGCTTAGAAAAAAAGAAAGTAAGGCAGGGCATGATAGAGGTGTGTAAAATTATGCATGGTGTGAGAAAAGTAAATGCACTTCTTCGCCTAGCTATGAAATTCACTCCCCCTGGAGACAATGGTGGCCGCTGACTTGAATTATTTTGGCAGAAGATAAGGCTATCAGTGAATGCGATCCAGGATGGTTATGTACTGTGTCAAGAGTTTGAATCAGTATGCTCCTGAATACCAGTTGCTGAAAATCGTAAGTGGCGAGAGTGCTGTAGTTCTCAGCTCCCTGCTTGTGGGCATCTGGTTGGCCACTGTCAGAGGTGTTGAATTAGTTGGGCCCGATCCAGCAGGGCTTTTCTTATGTTCTTATAATACTTTACTGTGTGAAAGCTTTCCCTGAAATACATTTAAGATGTTTGGGGTCCCTTGGCCCTGGCCTACATCTTCGTCTTGCTGTTGAAGAATAGAAGGTGGAAGTTAACAAAAACAATGGGTGTGAGATGCAAAAAGGAATTGTCCATATTTAATCACATTTCTTTCTTTTTTAATCCTCTTCCTGCTGCAGGTTACTTGTCATGTTGCCGTTTTGTGGATGATAATCAAATTGTTACCAGCTCTGGAGATACCACCTGGTAAGGCGCATGCCAATAGTGTTACTGTAGAGATTGGCTTATATGCTAAACAAACTTGGGGTGTGCCTTTTCTCTAGTGTCTACTCCCTGCTTTGCTTGCTTTCAAATAGCAAGGAGATTTAATTAGCATTGATCTTTAGGACTTGCCAGTCTGAGAACAGGACAGCTTAAGCATACCTTTCCTTCCCATGAATGCTATTCCTGTTTGCATGTGTGAATGTAGCATACACATTTAATGTTAGGATAAATAGATTCAGAAAACTGAAGTTAAAAAACACAGCCAAAAAGAGTTTTGTAGACTAGAGTCAATATTTTTACTCCTATACCCTTGCAATCTTCACTGAGGTGGGTGCTCCAGCTGTAAATAAAACATATTTGTTTTGTTTGTGTGGGGGTTGTGTTCCAGGACATTGAGTGTGACGACAGAGCATGTATAAGCCTGCCCCTGCTCCCATTTCCTGTCACTTCTGGGTTCATGGCGATGCGGGAGTGCAGTGCACAGTTGTGCATGCCTTGAACGTGCGCAAAATGGTCACTTACCTGTATGCAGTTTCTTAGGGGTCTTAATTCCTTTGAGAAAGAGAGCTCTAACTGCAAAGAAAATGAGTCTCCCATCTGGAAAAAGTCTGCTTGCCTGTGTGTTAAGAATGTTTTCATTGGATCTTCAAAACATGCTGGCATCTATGGTGGCAGAGTCACTGTTTTATTTTTTATTGTAAACTTCCCACAGATCTTCATGTTACCCCTCTGTCTGTTATATGTTCATCTGAGTGTACTTCTTGTATAGTTATGCACCCTGAAGCGCCTCTTCCCACCCACCCCCGAGGATTTTTTTTTTTAATGGAAGAGCACTCCTGTCATGTGTGTCCTCACCTTTAATCTGCCCATATGAAGGCCTACCACCTAAGTGCAAGCAAGGCCAAAGTGAACCACTATTTTAGACCAACCACAGTGTCTCGGCCTTATTTTCCCTAGTGTTATTTCCTAGTATTGCTTTTCTTTTCCTTTCCTAGATTTCTGTTACTGAGTTAATAATATGTAAACAAACAATTGGAAGCACTATATAAATGCTTGCTTGTTTTACTATGATGGTCACCCTTTTCATTTTGGATTCTCCTTAAACCTTTTCTCCGCCAGCGCCCTTTGGGACATAGAAACAGGCCAGCAAACAACCACATTTACTGGGCATACCGGAGATGTCATGAGCCTGTCCCTCGCTCCTGATTCCAAATGTTTTGTTTCTGGTGCCTGTGATGCCTCTGCAAAGCTGTGGGATGTCCGAGAAGGGATGTGCCGGCAAACCTTCACTGGGCATGAATCAGACATCAATGCCATCTGTGTACGTAAGAACTTTATGGAGAGGAGATGGGATTTTGACAGTGTGTCTGTCTTCATGCATAGCATTGCCCTTGCTTGCTCTCCCTGTGCATGCCCTGTGTCCTCCCCACATTTGCTCCAAAGGTTTTGGGGAACCCCTAGAAGAGAAATAGCGGGGAGGAGAGTGGGGAAGTTTTATTGCACAAGTGGAAATCCTTGCATTGACAGAATGCATTACTATCCAGCTATGCTGGATACGTCATATTTCCATATGAAAAATGAACACATCCTTCTTGTTATTGCATTAAATTGCTCCTATAAATAACTCAACCCAAATATTTACATATATCTGCCCATTATTCTGGTATTGGAAAATCACGAGATCTTCTTGATGGAACCTGAAACAGCTTCCCAGCTGTTGTTGAAGCCTCTTCCAGACTAGATCATCTTTCCTGTGTGTTACATCCTTGTTTCTCTTTTTTCTCTCAAGTTCTTTCCAAATGGCAACGCGTTTGCCACGGGCTCTGATGATGCCACATGCCGGCTCTTTGATCTCCGTGCTGACCAAGAGCTGATGGTTTATTCCCACGACAACATAATTTGTGGCATCACCTCTGTAGCTTTCTCCAAGAGCGGCCGTCTCCTCCTAGCTGGCTATGATGACTTCAACTGCAATGTGTGGGACACACTCAAAGCTGACAGAGCAGGTAATGCTTCTAGTGTCTCTTGGACTAAAAATAGGGACTGGGGAAAGAAATGTGTGTGATTATGGAACAAGCAGGGTGCTTGAACAAAAGAGGGTGAAGTAAGCAACAAGATGGAGAAGAAAGAATAGAGAACTGAAGCAGTGCTCCCAATTGTTGAGTGGAAGTGGGGGGAATCAAATCCATGATCCCCAACTTCAGACACTTGCCCATTATTATTATTATTATTATTATTATTATTATTATTATTATACCAACATTCACCCTGGGCAGGTTACACCATTATGACACAATATTTAAAACCGTTTAAAACAAGTTAACAGTCACAAAAATAACGTGGGTCCTAAAAATACCTAAAGGATGAAAGGCCAGGGTCAAAAGGTATGTCTTCAACATTCACCAGAAACTGTATAATGAAGGTGTTGGACACACCTCTGTGGAGAGTAAGTTACACAACTTAGGGGCTGCCACAGAGAATGTCCTCTGCTGGGCTTGGACCACCACCACCCAAGCCTCTGAGGGCAGAGGAACGATCAAGAGGGTTCCTTTTGCTGCTCTTAGCACCTAAGAGGGTCTGTGGGGAAGGAGAGAATCTCTCAGGTATTGGGGCCTAAGTCATTCAGAGCTTTAAACACTGGTGTGAGCACCTTGAATTGGACCCAGAGACAAACTGGCAACCAGTGCAGCTGTTTTGAAATAGGTTATATGCAATCTAAACAGAACCTCAGCAGAAATCTGACTGCTATTGAAGGTTCCAAGTTGTCTTCAAGGGCAGCCCCACGTAGAACTTACTGCAATTTTAGTCAGATTAGGGCTCCCCATAGCATCCAAAAACAAAAATTAAGACAGCCACTCCCCTCTGGTAATTTGAGTGCTAACCTGGGGCACCCTAGGCTAGCGAAGGCATGGCAGTGGTAAAAATAACCCAAAGCCAAGCTACACAATCAGCAAAATAATATGGTTCAAATCTTTCTGAACCACATCACATCAGATGGTAGCTGTGAGAATCTGTATAAAAACATAGAGTACTTACTCAACCTGTCTATTCTGGGCAGGTAATGATCCAAATAAGATACAGAAATAGCCTAGATTCTACAAAACAGACACCTGAAGCTCATATTGACTGCTGATCACTAATTGCTTTGATGTTGTATTTCTAAAAGCTTTACATTCTTTTCAAATGCAGCACTTGGGATTGAATATATTAATTCCCATGCAAGAGCTTCAGTTGCATAATCGATCATTTTCAAACATTTTGGTAACTTGTGTGGTAGGGGAAGGCAAGGAAAGAAGAAATCAGAAAGTGAGCGCGGGGGAATAAGCACACACTTTGGACCTCGGAGAGTGAAAGGATGAGTGTGTGTGCTCGTGTGCATGTTCCATATTGCGGCTAACAAAATGGAAGTGGTCCACCATTGCTCCAAAGAACTAGCACCTGTGCAATATTAATGTTTTGACATTACCTCATGATGATGGATGTCAGGGAACTGACATCGGAGCGGGAGGCGAAGGGGAGGCTCCTAGATGATGCTGGAGAAGGACCCAGCAGCAGGGGGAGAAGCAGCTCAGTGGAGGGGGAAGCATTTAAGCGCAACACCAGGAACAAAGGTGGGCAGATGGGGAAATCGGAGAGAGGGCTCCCGGCCTCTTCACTGGAACTCAGTGAGGAGGGGACAGGTCCTCCGCTACCTACGCCCTCCCTGCGCAGAAGGCTCCCGCGCAGTGAGAGGAGGAGGAGACTGGGTGTCAAACAACTCTTATGTTGGAAGAGATTCAAGAAACGCCCACTGGCCGGATTCTGCCAGTGACTGAGGCAGTCATGATTAGAAAGGGCTGTGCAGTCAGAAAGGTTTAACAAGGCAAATTAGCCTAGAGAGGCACCAGTTTACGCACGAGTAACTCATACTCATCACAATTCATATGAAGAATTATCAGTTCTGTTGCATAGAAATACTTAACTGATGTTTAGTATTCACGCTGTGAGTTTTTTTGTTTGTTTGTTTGTAAGGTACCAGTAACTCAGTTAATGATTTGTAGCTGCTGATTTTTATGAACTTAAAATATTGCGCTCAGCAAAATACTCCCTCTCTTAATAGAGTTTATTTTATGTTCCTGCCCTTAAACATTGTTTCCAGAGCTTCCACTGTTCATGTACCTTAACTTGACACTTTTTCACACACACACACACCCCTTTGGTATTTACTAATTATAATGGTGGGGGATCTGTTGTGTACCCCCAGAAACCACACCCTCCCACAGCAGAGGAGCCAGTACAGTGGTACCTCGGGTTACATACACTTCAGGTTACGGACTCTGCTAACCCAGAAATAGTGCTTCAGATTAAGAACTTTGCTTCAGGATGAGAACAGAAATCGTGCTCCGGCGGTGCAGCGGCAGCAGGAGGCCCCATTAGCTAAAGGGTGCTTCAGGTTAAGAACACGTTAAGAACGGACCTCCAGAACGAATTAAGTACTTAACCCGAGTACTTAACCTGTACTTGTCTGCTTGATATTACTGTTCCAAAAAGAGATGTGGAAGAACAAGGAAAATTTCTTTAAAATTTCTTTACTATGCTACACCGTAACAGAGCAGCCCTTCCAGCAGCTGGTCCTTGCTAGATCTTTCGTTTCTTGAGTGAGCATACATTGTCCTCAGTCATAAACACCCTGTTCATTTTGACAATTATCTGCACCAAAATAGCTCCCTGCCATTTGGACCTGGTTTCTGTGTGGCAGCATGCACAGTGGAACCTCTGTTTGCGACCATAATCCATCCGGAGGTCAAAACAGGTTGCTGGGAGAGGCACTGTTGTGCGCAGGCACGAACGGTGATTGCCCACTTCTGCGCATTGGCAAATGGCAATCGCCGCTTCTGCGCATGTGCGAACGGCGGCAAACCCGCCGGTTACTTCCGGGTTTGCCGCAGTCGCGACTTGGAATGACCATAAGAAGAGGCGGTGGTAAGTAGAGGTTCGACTGTATTCTCCAACATGCCATTGGTCTCCAGGCTTTGGCTATCTCTCATAATGTGTAGGATTCTGGTGCTTGAGGCTTAGATGCTGCTGACTCAGACTTCCTTGAGGTTTCTGTAGCTGCCCTTTTATGCCTTGTGCAGACGGCTTCACTCTTTGGTTTTTTAGTGTGACAGCCGGCTTGGAACCATGATGGGCTGCAATTTGTACTCGCTTGCTTTAGCTGAAAGCTCTAGAACATCTCTGATTGAGATTCTGTGTACAAGAGTTTTTCTGCGAATGTCATAGTATGGGCAGCCCTTGATGTGCAAGGAGATATGCTTGTCCAAAGCTTTCTCCTTTCACTCAGTTTAGCAGAGAGGTTTGTACATCTGGGGCATTGCCATGTGCATAAAGAACCTCCAGACTGGAACAGCTGAGTAAACCTGTTGAAAAGGGAGCGCTTGTACATCACTGTCGTTGAAAGTTGCTTTCTCCCAATTACCAAAGAACAACTTAAATCCTGAGAGCCAAGTAACAAGCTCCACTTATACTTTTTTATTCTTTTGCATATTTCTTTTGACGTTGGAGCATGCAGAATCTGAAACTCTTTTGCTTTTGTTTCTCTCTTCAATTTCTAGGCGTCCTAGCTGGCCATGATAACCGTGTCAGTTGCTTAGGTGTAACTGATGATGGCATGGCAGTGGCAACAGGATCGTGGGATAGCTTCCTCAAGATCTGGAACTAAAGTCTGTAGGTACCTTAAAAAAAAATTGGGGGGGGGGTCCAACATGCTCTCTCCCTACCCCACCCCTTTCTCTCACACACTGAGGCTGTCTCCTCTTTCTAGGCTTCTATGATTGGGATGTGTTGTTCATGAAGTGTAAAGTGCTCATTGGCTTACAAAGCTTGATGGCTCCAGGATGCCAGTTGTTGGCTAACCACAGTGGGAGAGTGCTATTACCTCTCTTCTCCTGCTTCTGAGCTACTCAATAGCATCTGGTTGGCCTTTGTGGGAAACAGAATGCTGGACTACCTAGGTCTTTGGTCTGATCCAGCAGGACTCTTACATGTAGACATTCCAGGGTGTTCACATTGAAATATCTTTTTCCCCAACTCTTCTCACACCTAGGCAGGTGTGGGAGCTGTGTGTAGAAGCAGCCTAGTGTCCATAAAATGATTTAATCCAGAGTACATAATACAGATTAAATGTCCTTGTTAATGTAAATCCGGGCCTCTCTTAACATGCTGAGTTGATGCTTGAGAGAATTCCAAGTAGTGTGTAAATAAATGTGTTGTATCGTTACATAGCTGTGAAACTAGCTTTTGATAGGAAATGAATAGGGTAATAGATTTAATATCTTGAAAAAATGTTAAGTATAAATGCAAGGTCCAGGTTGGTTTTAAAATAATTTGGAAGAGAGGAAAAGGATTAGCATTAGAAGTTACTGATGATGATCATTAACAAAACCTTTTGTATGTGTTCTGTGTCAGAATAGCAGTGGACTCCACGCTGACTGGAAGACTTTTCCAACGGTTGAAAATTTAAAATAATGTATCCAATCCAACCATACTAACTTGGACACCCCCCTTTGCCTCCCCCCTCCCATCTTACCCAGCCACCAAAGGGCAAGATCTTTCACGTCTCCTACTGCTGAAATGAAGAGCACAATTATCTCTAAAAGAAGAATTTCTGTGGTTATATACAAAATAGAAAAAGAAGTAAAATTGTGCATTCCTTTTGGGACCACCTTTCGTCTAGAAAACTAAAGGAAAAAAACACACTTTGTTTAAGCATGTCCAGACAAAAAAAGAGAAAAAAAAATCATTGTGAAGCAGACAACTTTTAACTTTCACTGTAGTTTAAAGATTGCAAACCATTGATTTGGTTTTACTGACTTTATGAGTTGGGGGTGGGTGGGCCTTGTTTTATCTCACTTTCAAACTTTGAAGTCGTGTTTGTAGCAGGGTTGATATCTACTTTTTGTCCATATTTCCATTTCCTTTTTTTTTTCTTTCGTGCAATTTGATTTTATGGTCAATTGTTGAGCCAAGCCAAGACAAGGGAGTCCAAACCCAGATACATCTGGGATTGTTAATGCTGTAAATTTAGTCCCTGAAGTCTTTTTATTATTATTATTATTATTTCTGTCTTAGTGTCACAAATTGTTGCACAAATACTGCATATATAGGATAATGTTAAGATAACCAAGCACACGCTGTACATGGTATTGAATGTTTTTTTTAAAATCACCTTTTATGGGTAACAAAATGCAAACTCTAGTTTTTTCCACCCCACCTCACATGTTATTACTCTCTTATTTTGGCATAGTATGGATTTCTTATGCCCACTTGGAGGGTGCTTCATAGCCTAACACTACCCCATAATCTCAATAAACCAACAAGATTCTGTGGATTTGGGCTTTTTCTGGGGGGTGGGAGGTGTTGAAAAGAGAAACCTGTTCAGCGCTTGGCTATTCCATCAATTCTTTGTGTATGAAACAATGTACAAATTAATGTTTTTGGAAATAATGATCTTAAAAAAAACTTTCTAAGTTAAACAAGAACAATGGAAAGAGAGAAAATTTGTTTTGGTTTGCCATATTGGGTTGGATTACTCTTTAGAATCGCATGCTGTAGAAATGCTCAAGTGCATATGAGACTAATGTGTCCTTATGTGTTTTCTTTCAAGAAATAACCTGTTTTTTGTTTTGTTTTTTAATTTGGAAAAAAAAAGCTGTAACCATTGCTGATCTCCTCATTTACTGTTGCTACTCTGTGCATTAAAACAAAAGGATGGAAAGTACTGAGCTATGCACATTCTGGAGTAGTGTAATAGATAAATCACTATTCTTAATATGAAAGGAAAAGGGAAAAAAAAACCCCCAACCACTTACTTTAAACAATCACTGTAGATTTGATTCTAGGGTGGGGAAGGGAGAGGAATAACATGCTTTTAAATTCCTAACAGCCTGTTGACTTTAGTCAAAGGAGCCCTTTTTATCAGGTTAGATTTTCCTTTCCCCTAACAAGCAACCATTCCTGGCTTTGTGTTTTGAAAATGAAAGAAAAATACAAAAAAACCTAAACAGCGCTTTGGGCAGCAAATTACTCTGTCTAACGCTGTTCCTCTCTTTTTCACTGTACTGGAATTCTCCCCCCACCCCTTTGCTACAGCAATGGCTATTATCCATTTTGGGGTGTGTCTCTTCCTCTCCCCACCCTCCCTCTGGCAACACTCTGTACAAAATGTGCTGTAATTGTGCGTTTTTAGGCCTGGATTTGGCATTTCAAAAAACAACAAAAAATTGAAGAAAAAAACCCCTCTTCTTCCCCTGCGCCCTCCCCCCTTTATGGAACTATTCTCAGTAGAGCTTTCTCCACACCCTTGTATCCTTCACCTTTTGTATTTAATTTTAAAGTCAGTGTACTTCAAGAAAGCTGGATGCAAGATAGATACTATATTAAAATGTACTGTTATTTAAGATGTAATAAAGCAGTTTGACATGAGTTGTCTTGGGCCGCTTGTTTTTCTCTCCCAAGTTGGAACTGGGATCATAATGGTTCCAAAATGGCAGCCAACCTTATTGTACATTGCCCTCAACTCTTGCAAGCAGGAGTCAAAACTGCAACTTCAAATTAACTAAGAAATCCCCCACATCCGGAGTTGGGATGGAATATTCCTCAGGTCATATGAACTGTTGACCTGAAGTGGAGTGTGAGGAGGTGGTAGCTTGGTCTTCTAGAACATGGTTTATTGCCTAGAGCATTGTCATCCCTCTGCTTCAGAAGGGAAGGGGTTGGGGTAATGCTCTTTGCTCAGAGTATGTCTTTTGGATCCCCTCCAACTTCAGTTTTATCAATTTATACACAATATCTATGCCTGTTACCCGCCTTATGTCCTTGTCGTTAACTTAGTATTAATGGTGGTCACTTTCTCAACCCCCTCCAAAAAAACCCCCACAACTTACTAAGATCTGCAATAAATCCAGCATAAAGACAAAATAGAAAAATGTAAACTCACCCCAGAGATGCACTCCATTGTCTCCTGAGGCAGATGGATGCAGACAAAACAGAGGCCTGAAATGTCCCACCAACTGAAGGAAGCTGCAGATAATTAAAAGCCCAAGGTCTGGCTGAAAAGAAATGTTTTTGCCTGGCACTTAATGATGGTACCAGGCGAGCCTCCCTGGGGTGATATTTCCACCAGTGGGGAGCCACCTCTGAAAAGGCCTGTTCTCATGTTGCCACTCTCTGGACCTCTCCTGGAAGGGGGGCACACAGAGAAGGGGCTCAGATGACAAACGCAGGGCCCGCATCTGTTAAATATGGGAGGAGGCATCCCTTGAGGTATTGGTGTCTTGAACTGCTTAAGGCTTTATTGGTCAAAACTGACACTTTGGAATTGGGTCTGGAAATTAGCTGGTAGCCAGTGCAGTCAGGCTGGGGTGGGGGTTATGTGCTCAGACCATCTTGCTCCTGTGAGCAACCTAGCCGCACCACCACCTGTAAACCACTAAGCAGGAATAGAACCATCACTAGCCAGTCTTTTGTAGGTATGGCCTGGATTCTTGGTTTTTTTACAGGACCCTGCTAATTAGCTGAAATGACTCCCAGAGTGCCCCAGTAGTAGTTTTTGCTTTTTTTCAAGGTGGGGAACCTCAGGTACAGGCCACACCCCTTCCCCAAGGCCACACCCCTCACCAGCTCTACTTTGCATCCTCTAATGTTAATGCCTGGCTGGAGTGTGCCTCCGATCTCTGACAATGCCTCTTGCTTGCCTGGATAGAGGAGAGAGAAGGGCGTGTACAGAAACTGGCCTACAGTACAAAAGGTAACACTTAAAATGATTGATTCACGCACCACTGGCACCTGGCCCCTCTAAAAGATTTCCCAGGCAAGAATTCAGCCCTCTGAGACTTAGGGTTGTATCCAGTGTTAAGCCTACTGTAATGTAGACCCATCAATATTAGCAGCTAGCTAAGTTAGTCATGGCTATTCGTTTCAGTGGGTCTACTTTGAATAGGACTGAAGGTAGGCTCCGACCCTTAAATTCAGGTTGGCTAGAAATGTGCACACATTTCACCTTGCGTGTTGAAGAAAGCAGAAATCCCTTTTATAAAAAATTAATTGCGTTGAGAAGGGGTGTTGAGCCTTAAAAACACTGAATGTGGTGGAGCTCTTGGTGGTGGTAACGGTGCCCAATGGTTTCAAAACAAAAGCGCCGCTTCTTCCCTTAATTATTCATCAGTCATTTGCTTTAGATTAGTGCTGCCTGACACGGCTGACCCTCGAAGGCGATTACCTGGGGAGCTGGAAGTGGAGAGCAAAGAATCTGTTTAATGCAACAAATCTGTAAATGGCACCATCTGCTCTGGCTGCCCCTTGGAAAATGATGGGTTTTCAACCCTCCCACGGGTCCACAGCCTCCACTTTCCCCTCCACAAACTGCATTTCAGTGTCAGAAGATGTTAAGAATGGCTCTTTAGGAATAGCAATTTGAATCTGCCTGATGTGGGGAGGGGACATGGTTTGGTGTTGGGGCACCTGATTTTCCCACAGAAGGCTTTAAATCTAACTCTTGGCAACCAAAGACAAAAATGGCCCATCTCTGCTTGGGAATCTTAAGAGATACGGTCAGGGTAGAAAACGATGGGCTAATGGTCCTCTGCTCCTCTAAGAGAAGGAGCATAGCTCAATTGCCACCCCTCCATGCCGATGGTCCAATGTTCAACCCTTGGCATCTATAATTGAACGGGAGATGAGAAAGACGTTCTGGCAAAGACAGTCAAGGCTGATCCATTTAGGCAAATGGGACACTGCCAACCCCAGCCAGTTCCTGCCTGCCTCCCTTTCTTAAAACCAGCCCAGGCAATGGACTCCACTACTGCCTTAGTCTCTTGAGTTCCCCTTGCAGAACTCAGCAGGGAGAGGATGGGGACTAAACCAAAATGCATTGGCTTTGTCATTGTGTCTGGCTCCCACCCCCTATTTCTGCGGCTCCTTGCCTTCCACTCTAAGCAGCCCAAATAGGCAATAGGCAGCACTGCCTCAAGTCGACAGTTCTACCGGGCCAGAAAAACACATTTGTAACCCAGCCCCTGTAACCTACGAAGAAGAGCATACATCAAATAATCTTAACAAGGAAGCTGTCAAAAGGCAAATGTGCTACTACATACCGGGCTTTCAATTCCAGCGATCTATCAAGAATTAAAAATGTTACAAATTTAGTTGCTATTTTCCAGTTGGTTGGTTTCCTCCCCAGCCCCCAAACCGCAGAGAAATCAATCCTTTTGGAAACCAATTAAAGCACCATAGTGAACTTGGAGACAAGTTCGAATAAGAAAACACGTAACTCCATATTAAAGAGGGATGACTCAGACTAGCAAAACACCAGCCACACGCAGCACCTCCCCCCTCCCTCTTCTTGCCCTCTTGAATGTTTTGCTGCTGAGTTTTGGGTTTTGATTTCCCATGAGAGACAACAAGCAACCTCCTGCCCCCTCCTGAAAAGACCTCACGAGAAGCTGCAGAGGTTGGATTGAGCATCCTGCTCCTTGAAGTATCTCCCGGAGACCTACTTTATTAATACCAGACTGGGCAAAGGAAAGGGCATCTGAAAGGTATGGTCAATGCAGGTTGTGTGATGAACGTTCAAGGGTTGCATCAAACTAACTTGGGGCTGCAGCTCGGTGGTGGGATATCTGCTTTTCATGCAGGAAAACCCCAGGTTTCAAACCTGGGAACATTCCCTGTCTAAAACCCTGGAATATTGCCACCGGTCAGTGTAGACAATGCTGTGCTAGATGCCCTAATGACTCAGTACACTGGCAGCTTCCTCTGTTCCTAACTTCTACTTACAGTAGTAGACCCACTGAAATCAATGGACATAAGTTAGCTATGCCCATTAATTTCAATGTGCTTGTTTTGAGTACAACTAGCATTAGAAACAACCCTTGCTGCTTAACTATGTTTTTATTTCTTCTGGTTTGTTTCCTGAAAGTTGAGGAAAGAAAAAGAAATTTTTTTTAAACACTCTGTAAAAGCCCCGTTAATAAGCCTGTTAGTTACCCAGTGGGGAGCCTGATTCCAGTAGTTGAGCTTAAGCAGACAACACAGTCCCTGCAACTATAATAGCTTTATGTGTGTTGCAGGTTTGACAAAATAGTGCATGGCTGTAGCTCGGAGGCAGAACATTTGCTTTGTATGCAGAAGGTCTCGGGTTCAATCCCTGGCATCTCCAGGTAGGGCTGGCAAAGGCTTAATGTGTGTAGAGCTCCTAGAGAGCTGCTGCCAGTCAGTGTAGACATTACTCAGCTCAGATGGACCAAAGGACCTGACTCAGGAGTTTGGCAGGCCAGGCCAAAGCACAAATCGAGCTGAAAAAGGAAGGAGGGGCTGGCATCTCAGTAAGTGGGTTTGGAGATGGCACAAACCATATAGAGGCTGGACTCTGCTGCAAAGATGCTTAATTAAACCTGAGAAGGCAAGACGGAGCCAGACTTCGCTCCTTTTGAGTGGGATGGAGAGGATTCTCCCAGGAGCAGCTACCAGCCACTGCTTGGCCGCAAGCTGAGGTTTCCAACTCCGTCAGAATCAATGGGCATCAAAAGCATTGCTGGCAGCTGCTCTCGATACATTATTTAGGGTCTCTTTTGTGCTTGAATGGCTAGGCAGCCCCGACTCCTAAACAGGAGTTAAAAGGTCAGGTCATTTCTCCTGGGGGACGGGGAAGAATAGTGTTGGCCTAGTTTTTGCCCCACACTTTGGGGGGATGATGCTTCCACAGCAGTTTACAAAGATAGGTCATAGATGTACAAGCAGGGCCTGCCTGCAAAGTGGAGTATTCCTGTTCAGCTAGCCATGCCCCTCTTCCAGGACACTCCATTACATTTTCCTCTCCCTAGTTTCCCATCATTGACACACCCTAAACAGATGTTCAGCATGTCATGGTCACTAAGCATTCTCAGCTGACTGTTTTGGGTTGTATATTCATTTCCTTCCCTCTTTGGTCCTTTCCTTATTTTCTCCTTACTTCTGCAAACCTTAGGGTTCCCCCAAGCAGTGAACCCCCCCTCATTTTTTACTAGTCCCATTTCGGTGACATAACTACAGTGGTACCTCACAAGACGAATGCCTCGCAAGACTGAAAACTCGCAAAACGAAAGGGTTTTTGGTTTTTTGAGCTGCTTCGCAAGACGATTTTCCCTATGGGCTTGCTTTGCAAGATGGAAACGTCTTGCAAGTTTGTTTCCTTTTTCTTAAAACCGTTAATACAGTTGCGACTTGACTTCGAGGAGCAACTCATAGCACGCAGTGTGGTAGCCTTTTTTGAGGTTTTTGAAGACTTTGGTGATTTTTGAAGCTTTTCCAAAACTTTTCCGACACCGTGCTTCGCAAGACGAAAAAAACCGCAAGACGAAAAAACTCGCGGAACGAATTAATTTCGCCTTGCGAGGCACCACTGTATTGCAATTCAATACCCCCCATTTGCCATTTTGATGGTGCTGATTATATTGATGAAATATTTATAATGCATTAGTCTGCTGAATTGTTTAATACTGATACTGATTATTTAGTATTACTTGGTCTTACAAGCTTGTTTTGAATAGTTTTTGAGTTGTGATTTGTGGCTTCCACTAAATTGTTGTGCATTGAATTTCTGCATTGGTGCTATTTTGCACCTTAAGAAAATGGAAACTGAGCATTTTACACAGACACATAAAAAAAGAAAGAGAGAGAGAGAGTCTGATGAACCCCTTCTGCAGAAACCACCTTCTTGACTGTTGGACCCACTACAGTTATACCTCTTGTTGCGTTTGCTTCACGTTGCGGCTTTTCGAGTTGCGAACGCGGCCAACCCGGAAGTGTATACTTCCGGGTTTCGCCGCATGTACAGAAGTGTTCTGTGTGCTTTGCACATGCGCAGAAGCGATCTATCGTGCTTGCGCAGAAGCGCCACTCTAGTGCAGACTTTTCGGGAACGGATTGTGTCCGCAGCTAGAGGTACCACTGTATTGGTCTCATCTGCTCGATATGCCAGATCCTGTCTTTGCACGCAGGGGAAGTCCCTAACTCACCAAGGGTTTGAGACCCATCACTACCCACAGCTGGTTTAGCCAGCCAGTTGAAGCTGTTCTCAGGGTGTGGCTGCTGTCGCATGCCGACAGCTTTTTGGAGCCACAGGTGAGAGCTGAGTGCAGGGTGGGGACCAAAGGTGGACAAACAACCCCAGAAACAGCATAACATGTCTCCCACCAGAAGGTGTTAGCCATCCCCTAACACCCCAGGTACCACACACACACACACAGGCATTTATTTATTTTACTATGCACGGGTTCAAAGGAGATTACATGATTCTTCACCTGCCCTTTAAAGCTCCACCCTACTCTTCCCCTCTAAGGAAGAAATAGAAAGATGCCTTATACAGAATCCCACCACTGGTCCACCTAGCTCATTACTGTATTATTGTTGCAGAGGTTCTTAAGCAGCGGTGGGGGAAGCTTTTTTGTCCAAGGGCCTATTTCCCTTCTTGGCAACCTTCTGAGGGCCACTTGCCAGTGACCGGGGAGACTAGAGGCAAAAGTAGGTGGAGCAATGAGTTGAATGTGTGCTCATCTGGCGGGACAAATGCCCCCCCCCCGCTCTATGACGCTCGCATGTGACAAGGCAAGGGCTGCTCTGCTACCCCTGCAGTCTGCACTGCTGATACGCTCTCTTATTCATACTGCAGAGATCCTGCATGAGCAGCATGGGAGGGTGGGTGGCAGGCAGGGAGGAGCTGCCTCTGGCTGTAAATAGCAATGATGTGGAACTTGTGCCACTGGGCTCCGTGTTGTGGGTGGGGATCAAAGGCAAAACAGCAGCTGCTTCTGCCACCTGCTGCCCAGTTGGAGTATAGCAGTTGTCTTTTCTCTCTTTTTAAAAAGGATAGCTTCTCAGATAAAGATGAATTTGATGTTGTCGTATGACTCTCTGTTGGCTTCCCAGAGGAATCTGGTTGGCGACTGTGGAAAAAACAGTGCTGGACTAGATGGATCTTCTTATGTTTTAAATAAGAACATAAGATGCTCCAAAACATTGATTACGCTGCAATCCTAACCCCACTTTCCTGGGGAGTATGCCTCAGGGAAACTCGGATAGTATTTACTTCTGGTTAGGGTTGTGGGAACAGTCTGCACCACACATTTAAAGCACATTCAGTGCACATTTAAAGTGCGTGACTTTCCCCCAAAGAGTCTGGGGAACTATAGTGTACTAAGAGTGGAGGGAATTGTAGCTCTGTGGGACAAGGGACAGGACTGAAGTTCCAAGGATTTTGGGGGGAGAGGGAAGCAAGGTGCTTTAAATGTGTGTTGGACGTCTTTATGGCATAAGCTGCCAAAAGATTCTAGCTTGCTTTTACAGTGGTACCTCAGGTTACATACGCTTCAGGTTACAAACGCTTCAGTTTACAGACTCCGCTAACCCAGAAATATTACCTCGGATTAAGAACTTTGCTTCAGAATGAGAACAGAAATTGTGCGGCCGGCGGCGCAGCAGCAGTGGGAGGCCCCATTAGCTAAAGTGGTGCTTCAGGTTAAGAACAGTTTCAGATTAAGAACAGACCTCCAGAACAAATTAAGTTCTTAACCCGAGGTACCACTGTACTACAAAAGACAGGTGAGGTTACGATTGCTCCCTTATCCCACTAGGGGGTGCCGCTGCATAGTATTTCTTAATAGTATGCCAGTATTTGGGATCTTCACGGGTGGCACTTGTGAAACAATTTTGTATTTTTCTTCCAACGTTTTCCCCATCTCCAGAACAAAACAATCTCTACTCTGGGTCACTGAGGGGATTATACACACATGAAGGTGATAGATAGTTGATGAAAGACCCTGAGTGAGAAGAAGAGAAGGGAAGATCTCCAAGGCTGGGAGATTGGAAAGAAGGAAGGGAAACTCCCAGGTGAGAACTAGGAGGGTTCACCCCTTTCTGTGTGAGGCAAGGGTTAAGATCTACATTTGAGAGAGGGCTTTGCATTTCCCCCTTCCCCTTTTCCTTCCTTCCTTCCTTCCTTCTAGTTTGTTTTTTATTGTACTGTATCATGAAAAAGCTTTTTAAAAAATTATTGAGGAGGGAGGACTAGGCACCCTGATTAGTCATTTTGTCTGGGGTATTTTATCTAAACTCATGGGCAGGGCTAAGTCAAAGCGCCTAATCCTTTTTTCTTGACTCTACTTAGCAGCAAGGATTTTGAGCAAAGCCTTTCCTGCTTCTTTTAGAAACCAGGAGGCAGTAAAGGAAAGGTAAGAAGTTTGATTATATTTTTTCTTTCTTTTGGACGCTTTCCCCACCCCTTTTGTTTTTTGGTCACCCTCCAAACCAGGGAGAAGCAGCTTTTTTTCTTATTTGGGTAGGATTTCTAACGCATCTGTGATCTCGGCCACCTGGACCTGGCAGGTATAAAAATAGGTATAAATGAAAAGAATATTAATCTGCGAGGAGAGAGGCGATGAAAGGGGAGAGACAATGAAAGCGAAGCTATTGATGTTCAGTACATTTGCAGCCTCTCAAATATCTGTTTCTGATAGATGGCAGATGAAAAGAGCGTCATTTAGCATAAATACAAGGGAAATAGAATTTAACCCAGTTTTCTAGGATCCAGCAAAAAGCAGGACTCTTTCTCTTTTAAAACATGATTTGTCCTTCCCCCCCCCCCAGTTTCAACCCTCATTTCAAGGAATGAGCCCCTTTGGAGAATGGGTGGGATATCCTTTATAAATTGCTGGAGTGAATATTCTCCAGGTACTTGTGGAAATGGGAGCAGGGAAGGACTGCAACGGTGGCCAAGCATCTGCTTTGTATGCAGAAGGTGCCAGGTTCAATCCCTGGCATCTCCAGGTTGGTCTGGTAATGTCCCCCTGCCTGAACCCCGGGTGAGCCGCTGTGAGTTAATGTAGACAATACTGAGCTAGATGAACCAATGGTTTGAATCAGTATACAACAGCTTCCTATGTTCCTAAAGGCAGTATATAGATACAGTGGTACCTCAGGTTACATGCGCTTCAGGTTATATACACTTCAGGTTACAGACTCCGCTAACCCAGAAATAGTACCTCGGGTTAAGAACTTTGCTTCAGGATGAGACCAGAAATTGTGCTCTGGCAGCAGGAGGCCCCATTAGCTAAAGTGGTGCTTCAGGTTAAGATGAGTTTCAGGTTAAGAACGGACCTCCGGAACGAATTAAGTACTTAACCCGAGGTACCATTGTACACACACTAAATAAAGGTTTAATCCCCCTTGAAAGCTGTCAGCGTGTCTTGTGAGAAGTATCATTTTCATTATGCGTTGTGTGAGAAGTGCTTCCTTTTTTTGAGAGTCCTGAACTTTTTTATCGGCCTAATTTGGTCTCCCTGCCCTGTATTATGAACAAGGTTTAACAGTGACAGTCTATGAAAAGTGGCTTTCCGATAGGACCATTATGGGAGACACCCTGACCTTTTCCCCTTACGGCTTCCTACGAGATTTGTCCGACCACCAAATCTTGGCTTAAACTGCCCCTAAGAAAGTTTACTTCAGATTAAATCCCTTCTTAATTTGGCTCTGATGTTCTTGCCGGTCTTATGAAATAAGTGCAACTGGTATGGAATGAAGCGTTGTTTCTGTTTTCAGAAAGGTTGCACTAAACCTGTCTGCCATAACTGCATTTAATCCTTTTTAAAATAATAATAATATGCAAATGTCACAGAATGAAAAGAAATGTCGGCTACCATTAACAGTAAAAATAATCCATCAATCCTAATTTAAACCTATCTATTAATCAAAGCAGTTCATTTTCCCCAATTAGATATCCAAACAAAATCGCAGGAAGGGCCGTAAGACTGCTACGTAATGGTGGTTGGGTTTTAACCTTCCAGCGTAGAAGCACAAGGCTCTTTGCAACCATAAAGCAATTGCAAGGTCCTCTTTTGTTGCCTGTCTGCTTGTCCCCACGTATCACAGGGATGTGTGAACATCCACAAACCTCAAGGATTTTTTTCCAAAACAAAGTTAATATGAACAACTGCAGCTGACCAAAAAGAAGATGTCACAGGACACATCCACAGCATATGCCTCAAAGAGGCACTGCATCACCAGCACCTATCGGAAGATGAGATAAATAAGCACATAATAATTGCCTTGCTTGATCAAGCCAGTGGTCCATCTGCAGATGGCAGATGAAAACAGCATCATTTAGCATAAATACAAGGGAAATAGAATTCAACCCATTTTTCTAGGATCCAGCAAAAAGCAGGATGGCTGTGCAGTGGTAATGCTTCTGGGTACCAGTTGCTGCACGGGACGCAGGTGACGCTGTGGGTTAAACCACAGAGTCTAGGACTTGCCGATCAGAAGGTCGGCGGTTCGAATCCCCGCGACGGGGTGAGCTCCCGTTGCTCGGTCCCTGCTCCTGCCAACCTACCAGTTCGAAAGCACATCAAAGTGCAAGTAGATAAATAGGTACTGCTCCGGCGGGAAGGTAAACGGCGTTTCCGTGCGCTGCTCTGGTTCACCAGAAGTGGCCTAGTCATGCTGGCCACATGACCCGGAAGCTGTCTGCGGACAAATGCCGGCTCCCTCAGCCAATAAAAGCGAGATGAGCACCACAACCCCAGAGTCGGTCACGACTGGACCGAAAGGTCAGGGGTCCCTTTATATTTTTACCAGTTGCTGGAACCCACTGGAGGCAAGAGAGCTCCTGTGCTCAGGTCCTACTTGTGGGTTTCCTACCAGCCACTGACCTGGTATCAACTGCAGCTCTACACTGGGTAGTTGAGTATAGCTGCACTGGAATTCCCCACAATGCCTCAGAGTGATGTCTGGGCATTGTGGGAAATAAATGTGGCAGCTCAGAATCTGGGACATACATATTTTTGATGAGTGGACCAAGGCAGTTATCATCAGTGGGTTCTTCTGGGCTCCAGCAGATGCCCAGGGATGCCATGTGCCAGCCCTTCTCTGGGGCACAACCAGTACCACTTAATTATTATTGCCTCGAGGTTCAGGACTAGCACTTAACCACTCATGCTCCAGAAAGTAAGCAAGCGTCCCAAAGTTCATTACCAAGGTCATATCCTTTGGAGGTGGCTACAGAACCATTGAGCTCTCTAAAAATAGTGTGCTTGTCCGTTGAGCCACTGTGCCTAATCGCCATCAATTAGGATAAGTGTTCATCAAACGCAGGAGGTCATCAACGCAGCGGGTCATCTGGTGGTCCTTGTACAGGTAATAAGTGCATTGCACTAGAACTGCATCTCTCCTTGTTTGGGGGAAGGGGGGGAGGCATCCTTTCCGTAAAAGCAGTAGATGTCCTAAAGAAACTGGCTATGTAAAAATGTATCCTCTTAGCAGCTGTGAAACTGACCTTGTTGCTTGCTGGAAAGAGAAGGGCAGGAGCGTGAATCACAATTATTTTTCTAGGATGAGGAATTTCCATTAGGCCTATTTAAATAAAATGAAAGATGCTTCATGAAGAGCTAGTACAAAGCATCTGGGAGTCTTGATGCAGAAAAAAAACACAGGCAGCTGCCTTATACTGAGTCAAACCATTGGCTCATCTAACTCAGTACTGTTGACACTAACTGGCAGCAGCTCTCCAGAATTTCAGGCAGGGGACTGAGATGCTGGGGACTGAACTTGGGACATTCTGCATGCAATTTACAGGCCTTCTTCAATTCAAATGGTCCCCACCCGCACCTCCTTCATGTTCATTGACACAAGGCAAAATTGACCAGGACATTATCCTGTGTACAAGCCTACTTGAAATGAATGGGGTTTCATTTCTATGTTTGTTCCAACCAGGCTTGCACAGAACAGGAGTCTCCTGCTGGATTATAATGCAAAAGCCAGGACAGTCAGTAGCTCATCACGCTTCCCAAAATCTAAAGCAGCTACCTCATGACATGGCCCACCTCTGGCTTTGTTGACTTGTTTTCAGTCGACTTTTTGAAATTCCAGCCAACTCTTGCGACAGGGAAATAGCACCGGATGTTACACTAATGCAGCCTTCAGCAACCAAGTGCCCTCTAGTTGCTTTGACTACAACCCCATCAGTTGAGGCTGCAAGTGGCTTTAGGCAAGATGGCCTCCCTAGGTCTCAAGCCCCCATCAGAAGTACTGTTAATATAAAAATGCTTTGCTTTCAGTTGGGATTTCCCCTTTAAAAAGCCCTCTCTTGCAAACAGGCTATCTGCATTTCTGGGTTAGTGTTATCCCCCACACCCAACTTCCTCATTCAGATTCCTCCAAGCTGGTGCAATAGGAGCATGAGGAAACTCTTGACGGAACACAAATACACTCTCCTCCCTCAGGCACCTTGCTCAAAGATACTGGTACTCTGAGCTGGAATGACTCCTTAAATGTCAAATATCACCCTAACCCTAAATAAATCTTCCTAAAGGTTAGGTTTTTGGAAGAGTGGGCTAGTTTAAATCGAACACCCCTCCTTCTGTGCCATTTTCTGGATTTTTACCTTCCCAGACACCTGTTATTAGCTACAGAGTATGTGGGGGGTGGGAGGTATTTGATTGGGAGAACAATGCAAAGGCTCAGTCACCCCCTTCTTCAGCACCACATTCCTCTAACGGAAATGAAGAGCCCTCTACATCTGCTTTAAACTCTGGTTTTTTAAAAACACTATGCACCTCCCCTTCCCCATAGAATTGTAGAGTTGGAAGGGACCACAAGGACCATCTAGTCCACTCCTGTGCAATGCATGAATTTTCTTGCCCAACGTGGGATTGCTGACTGAGCTATCCATCATGGGCATAAAGGTAGGTAGCTGAGGCTGAAAATATAATGACTGGTCCATTGCCACTCAGTGAGCTTCTGATGCGAGTTTGAACCGGAGTCTTCCCAGTTCTAGTCCAGTACTCTTTAACAAACACACAAACACACAGGCTCTAGTTAGTTCGAATCCTTTCACAGCACAGACACTTTTTCTACCTTGCCTTGTTTTTTTAAAAAAGAATCCCTCCATGCTGCTTCCCAGTCTTGATCTCATCCTAATAAACATTTCCAAGTTCCATATGCACTACCATATTGTGCTTATCTAAATGTGCATTTATTTGAAACATTTTATACTGCCCTTCATTTAAAAGGGGGGGAAAACAAGCTCCAGGGTGGTTTGCAACACATAACAATAAAGCAGTCCATCCAGTATCCAATAAAAACAGTAAAAACAAACAGTAAGGAATCACAGTAGCAAGATGACACTTAGCTACTGTATGACAATTCTAGCTGTTATGGATGAAGCAGTGCTGAGGAAGCTCCCTGGGCCCTGATTCTGTGTGCAAGTCATGCCTACTCGCTCGTATCCTCCTCCTCATAAACTTCAAAGGTATGATCCTGGGCTGCTTTAGTGGGATGGAAGAGATTTACTCTGCATAAGCTCGGGAGCTCTCTTGTCTCCATTCTTCCATGTTACACTTCGTCAGAAGCCCCAATCCTGAATTGCGCCAAGTGCACAAAATCTTTATTCCAAATTAAACTGCCATATCGCTTAAAAGGTGACACAAGACCCTCTGCTCGTCTTTTGTTTGTTCCACAGCCCACCTCAGGTTTTGAAAGAGAGATGTGGGCCGTGAGACTTCTGCAGAACAAAAGGGAAACCACGTTGTATCTGAACTTATGCAGAGTGCCTTCTTGTCAAAGCTGCGCGCAGCGGGGCCACTGGCACGCACTGCGCACGCGCGCTGAAGTGGCTCGGCCTCGCTCTATTTTCCAGCGGGCCTCTTTTTGTGCGTGCGCAGAAGCTCTTACTTGAGCTGCTTTCTCTTCTGAGGGATAGAGAAAGAAAAGGGTAGAGTGGCCTGGATACGGAGTTTCTGGGTTGCTGGAAATATAACACCACGCTGTGCCACTTGCGGTGTTGTATTTGAGGGGCCCACCTTATTTCCGTAATCTTAAGCTTGTTTTAAACTTTTTCTTAGTATTGTGTAATTACTGCGTTTTAATATCAGCGTTGTGTTTTAAATTGTTGCAGTCCGTCCTGGGACCTTAGGGTGAAGAGCGAGTAATAAATTGTAACGATAATAATAATGGTCATCACAACGCCTACGTTAAAATTCTGGGGTTCTTCCTTAATTTATATGGGAGTCTACAGAACCCGGAAACTAACACTGCGCGCCGTTCTACCCTTTTCCTAAGTCTGCGGGCCCAAGTCCACAGAAGCGCCCGCCACAAACACAAGCCGCGCATGCTCCCCTCACGGACCGAATCCCTTCCCTCAAGCCCCTCCGGGCTCGCTTGGCCTTGGCCTCTTCGCCGAAGGGGCGCATGCGTAATAGCGCTCTCCTCGCTCCCAGTCCCGCTCCTCCCTCTTTACCAGGTTTTACCTCCCTGAGGGGAAGGAAGGAGGGACGGGCCGAGGAGGATGGAGGAGGTGCCTGGCGGGGGTTGCCGCTGCCGCCGTCGTTGCCGCTCTTGGCCGCGCTCGCTGGGCCGGAGGAGTTGCCGGCCGGCGGCAGGCCTCTGAGGCCGGGGAGCGGGGGTTGGCCTCGCGCACCTGAGGAGGAGGCGGAGGCGGGGCCGCTTGGCGCGCGAGTGAGAAAGTGAGTGACGCGAGGCGGAGGGGGCGGGGCCGGAGGGCAGGGTTCGGAGGAGGAGGGGGCGCCCCACTCGAGAGGGGGGCCGGGGGGGGGAGCTGTGTGAGGAAGGTGCAAGAGGAGGGGAAGGGGGCATGGAGGTGAGGCAAGAAAGGCAGGAGGGGCCGGCGCAGGCAGAAATGGGGCTGTGGGGCAGGAGGGGCTGGAGAGTGAGAAAGGAAAGCGGCATGGGGCAGGAGGGGCTGGTGAGTGTGCGGGATATGGGGCAGGAGTGGGTGGGATGTGTGGGGCAGGAGAGACTGGTTAGTCTGGGAGGATATGGAGCAGGAGGAGTGGGGTGGGGGGTATGGGGTAGGAGCGGGTAGTGAGTTGGAGTATGGGGCAGGAGAGGCTGGTTAGTCTGGGAAGATATGGGGCTGGAGGGGTGGGGTGGTGGTGTAGGGCAGGAGGGTCTGGTGAGTGAGAAAGTAAACGACAGGAGGCACTGGTGAGCGTGTGGGGATATGGGGCAGGTGGGGGTGGGGGCGTTATGAGGCAGGAGGGGCTGGTGAATGTGGGAGTGTGGGGCAGGATGAGTGTGGGGTGTTGGGGGTATGGGGCAGGAGGGGGTCGGATGTGGGGAGTATGGGGCAGGAGGGGTTGGTGAGTGTAGCAGGGGTATAGGGCTGGAGGAGTGAGGAGCTAGTGAGCAAGAGAAAGGAAAATGGAAGTATGGGGCAGGAGTGGGGGTGAATTAGGAGGGGGTGAGAGGAAAGGTGGCAGGGTGTGAGAGAAGTGGGTGTATGGGGCAAGAGGGGGCAGGCATGAAGAAAAGGTATGGGGTTGGTGAGAGATAGAATGGGGGTACAGTATGGGGCTGGAAGACCATGAGGGGTTAGGAGGGGGAAACGAGATAAGCAACAAATGATGAACACTGACAGGGAGTATGACAGAATAAGGAGAAAAAGAGAATGGGGAGAGATCTTACACCACAGGGTATGTGGGTGCAGGTGGGAACTTCTAGAGAGTTTGGGATGGGGATTTGAAGATGGAGTGGAGCTGAGGGATGAGCTTGGATGTTGAAGAAACTTGAGTTTTATCTAAATTTAACTTTTGGCACTATTGGGTGGATTTTTCATTGTTACATAAATCAAGAGAAGTGGAAAAGAGCCACACAACTGTATTTAACTGTGTTTTCTAGTCAGCTCAGTTTCTTTTCCCAACTTTTTGGCTCTTGATTTTTTTCCATTCCTGACATCTGTTGGCTGTGCCCATAGAGGGCTTGATAAGTTGAAAACTGCTTTCTTGTTGTCTGCAAAAGCAGTAGGGTCTTGTGACAAAAAACATCAGTTTTTGTTGGTAAATGTCAGTTCAAAGATGGAAATTTGTCAGATTTTTTTTTCATTTTGACAAGGGTGCAAATTTTACAGAAAGGCAAAGTAAAAATGGTGACAAATTATCAGCATTTCACAAGTGTTCAGACCTGTCCTGCTTGGTAATGGCATAATGTTGGTTGGTTGGTTGTATTAAATGTCTAAACAAACCCACAGCTGTATCCAAAATTCATTCTTGGCTTATTGCTCATGGTTTGTTTGGAGAAAACAAATCATGAGCCTAGGTGCGGACAAAACATGGTTAAATCAAACCATGGTTTAGCTTCTGGCAGTATGGTCATGATTTTCTCCCTGTGCACTAGCACGCTTGCTCATTCATGGTAAGCCATGGTTTGTTTTTGCGTTACAAGCAAACTGGGTTGGTGACTCTTTTCAGACATTAAGCCAAACCATGGTTAAGGAAGCTTAGTAATGGTTTGGCATGGTGTCTGCACAGGCAAACATTGTTTGTGATCAGATAGTAAACCAGAATGGAAAACCATGGTTTGTAATAGGTTTGTGTGGTTACTCCTTTGATAAGACATACTTACAGCCATAGCTCTGCTTGTGGAGCAAACTGAATTTATTTCAAGGCTTGCCTGTTGGGCAGTACAAACCATGGTTTTGCCTGCATACTGCTCATTTGATTTTCATCCTCTCTCCACTCCTTCTATTGTACAACTAACTCCAGACATAGCACTTTGACTATAACTAGTTTGCCAATTCAGACATTACATCAAACCATTGTTAGCAAAACTATTCTAACTCTATAAATTATATCCGTTTCAAACCAAGATGTGATAAGATGTTCAAACAGAGCCACTGACTTGCTTTTGAGATCACTAAGTGAACTTTGGGAGTCACACTTCATCTTGAAATAGGAGAACCAACCCTTTTTTCCTTTGCACCATTCTGGCTTCTAAAGTTTGCAAAACATCAGTGGTTACATGACTTTAGAAGCCCTGATGCTCTAAGACAACAACACTGGAATACATTTTGGGAAGTTACTTAATTTGAGGAAGGGCAGCCTGAAACCATGGTCTTGTGTTTTCTGGACTATTGACAGCAACGTTTCCTGTTTCTTATCTCTTATGTAAGAGTTCAGTAAACTGGCAGCAGGAACAGGAAATTTTGAATCTGCAATGCATTCAGAAAAATTGTTTCTGTCGTGCATTTGGAATGTACAAATAGCATGGTCCAGCAAATCCAAAACTTTACTTTAGTTCTTCAAGACCAGCAGTGGTGTCTGGTGCCCATTGGGTCTGGTAGGGCAGTAGGCAGGGAGACCAACAGTAGGTGGCGCTGGAGTTAATGGCAGGCAGAACCACCGCCTGACTGATTGTAAGAAGACAGGCAGGTGAGGACTGGCTGAGGGCAGATTGAGGTTGGTGAGGCAGTGCCCCATTTGCCCTCATGAAGCAGCCTCCCCTGAGGACCTGAGATCAAGTTCTGCCTTTACTGAAATGTTACAGGGTGACCTCAATGTTGTGTTTATTTCAGCTCGCTCTCAGTGTAAGGTCAAATGTAGTGAAGTCTTGAAAGTGTGGTTTAAGCTAAATTACTGTGATAGAGAGACAAGGAAAAAATAAAATTTAAAAGTGTATTTTAGCTAGCATTCTCATATTCTGTGTGCTGAAAAGGGAAAATGTTTGGGTTCCTGAGAAGTAGTGTGTTAACTACTGAATAAAGCATTTTATTTGCAAAAAGGGAGACTAAGAGCGAGATAAAGCGCTTTCTTGTTCTGCTTTCTGAATGCCCCACTGTCCTCTTGTGTTATATGAGTTATGGTGAGTTCTTAATTGTGTAATGTATAGGCCGACGTCGTACAGGGTAATCTAGTTCTTCTGGCCAATTAATGATGGCATGAGCAAATGGCTGTCAGAAATATTTTGAACCCTCTATGTGGTGCCATAGTATATCATGTGACCTCCACTCTGCAGGCACAACCTGAACATTTTTGCTCATCAAGTGAAATTACTGAGGGAGAAAAATGACCTATTTCTTAACACTTATATATTTATTGTATTTCTATCACACCTTACCTTCAAGGAACTCAGGGTGGCCCAAATAATTCTTCTCTCCCTCTCCCTTTTACCCTCACAGGAACTCTGTGAGTTAAGTTAGGCTAAGGAAGACACAATGACTGACCTTAGGTCACTTCAGTGAGCTTTGAGACTCAGTGGGGATTTGAATGCAAGACTTTCTGAGTATAGTCTTATACTCTAACCCAGATGTTGGGAACATTTGGCCCTCCAGACATTGCTCCCATCAGCCCCACCATGCATGGTACTTATAGTTCATCAACATATGGGTTTCCTGAATGGCTCACTTTATTGTTCTTCCAGGCAGCACCTGTTTGTTTTCTCCCCCCTGGGTTTTTATTTGCTATTCTATAAAGCATTCTGTAGAGTGAAGTTTCTGCATAAAGTTTCTTTTAGTAGGGTAGGAAGCCCTCTTTCTTCTACAAATTCCTGTAGAACAGTAAAATAAGCCCTCTTTAGGTTGTTGGTCCTACAAACTTCTGTACAAATTGCACTTGGCAAAGAACTGTCAATGCCTGCATTCTTGTCCTTTGTTTACAAAGTGGTATGACCCCCTTGTAGCATCAGGGAGCTAGTCTACCTGGCTGCAGCATCGCCCCTGTGCTTCTGCAGTCCTCCTGCGTAATGCAATATTGAGTTGAAGACTACTCTGAAAGTTGGCTAGGCTCCATATAGTGATATACAGTGGTACCTCAGGTTGCATACGCTTCAGGTTACATACACTTCAGGTTACAGACTCCGCTAACCCAGAAATAGTACCTCAGGTTAAGAATTTTGCTTAAGGTTGAGAACAGAAATCATGCTCTGGCGGCGCGGCGGCAGTAGGAGGCCCCATTAGCTAAAGTGGTGCTTCAGGTTAAGAACAGTTTCAGGTTAAGTACAGACCTCTGGAACTAATTAAGTACTTAACCCGAGGTACTACTGTAATTCTGGCCACTTTTGTATGATGTCCTACCTGATCTGAAACTTTTCAAGGCTTTCCCCTCAGATGTTGCCTGCTCCTTGAACTTGGGAACCATCATGCAAAATTTCGTTATGGTATCCGCAGAAATGTCCAAACGCATAGTGAGCAACAACTTTCCAAAATACATTGCAGAAGTATGAAAAGCAGAATTTGGAGATGATCACCTCTCCACTTGAACATAAAGCCATTTCCAATATAAAGCCATCAGAGGACTACTTCATTAGGCTCTTTATTGGACAGGGATGAGGAACATCTGTGGCCCTCCAGATGTTGCTTGACTCCCAGCACCCATCAACTCCTGCCAGCATGCTCAGCAGTCAGGAATTATGGGAGTCATGGTTCAGTCACATCTGATCGGCGCCTGGTACACCAGAGTTTGTTTTTTGGCAGTCTCAGAAAAATTAACATGATACGCCTCTTTAAGGGACAAATAAAAAAGAAGTCTTTATTGACTTTGCAGCAGGGATGGCTGTCCTCAGCGGAACCCCCGGCAGGTGCTCTCTGAGTTAACACCATACCCTCCAACATTTCTCCATTTAATATAGGGATGTCCCATTCCATAATGATAATTTTACTATTTATATCCCACACATCTTACTGGGTTGCCCCAGCAACTCTGGGCAGCTTCCAACATACATAAAAACATAATAAAACATTTTTAAAAACCTTCCCTATACAGGATTGCCTTCAGACAGCTCAGGGGTTGGATAACTCCATATCCTCCAACATTTCTCCAACGAAAGTAGGGACATACCTGGGATCAAATAAAAAACTGGGATGGCTTCTCTAAATCAGGGACATCCGTGGAAAATAGGGACACTTGGAGGGTCTGGTTAAGAGAGGACCAGTGGGGCCTCTCTTTCTTGCCCTACAAGTGGACTTGGAGCCCTTTTTCTTGGTTTGGGGGTTGCTTGTTTTGATGACCCTGTGAAGGAACAGATTAACCCATAAGGCAGGGCTCACCAACGTTTTTGGACCAGCGGGCACATTTTGAAGTTTGAGCATGTGCTGGGAGCCCCAGTCACAACATGGCTGCTGTAGCAGGTGGCAAAACATAAACATTAGAGAGATAGCCATTCCCAATAGCCTTTTGTTTACCATGGGAAGTCAGCTATGTCCTGCTAGTCTTGATTGTGGGGGTCACACACTGTTGATTTTACTTGCAGACACATACACATACACACACACACACACAGGCTGTTGCTGATATAATAGTAATAATAATAATAATAATTTATACTCCACCCACCTGACTGGGTTGCCCAAGGCACTCTGGGTGGCTTCCAACATAAAAACTAAACATCAAGGATTAAAAAGCAATCTAGGAACAACAGGAAGTGTTTCTCAGTACCAGGATAAATATACAAGGTGGCCACACTTCACTTACTCTCATTTCACAGAAATCTCTTAGAAAGTACTTGCACTTTTTGCCCCATAACTTACTTTGTAGCAGAGCTAGAGACTTTTAAAAAAATGAAAGCTCAGAGTTTGAGGCACCAGTAAAAGCCTTTGTGGATGCTGGGCTGGTGACCTCTGCTATAAGGTGTGGTTAAAATATGATTAGCTTTCCCTGGTTTAATTTTTGTACATGTACCACCTTCCTTTCTCCTTTGATTTCTTTGAGCTGTAGCCAATTAACATCTACTTGCAGCAGTAGACCCATTGAAATTAATGGACCCAAGTTAGCCATGTCTATTAATGTCAATAGATCTACTGTCATTGGATAAAAATGTCACTGTGCCAATACATTTTTATTGTATTGGTTTTTGGGGTTTTTTTAAGCTATGGAACTATAATCAACACTTCCCCACCCCCCAAAAAAACCCTAGTATCTGGAGGGCCACAAGAACATCCGGAGAGCCACAAACATTCTCACTCCTGGCAACGCAGAATATGTGCTCTTGTTGCAAAATTGACACTAAAGAAAAGCTTTAACCCACTGGAGCGGCTTCATTTTATTGTGATTTATATATGGTGTGTGTGTGTGTTCTTACCATAATTTGTAGTTTCAAAAGGCCACTGGCTCAATATATTTTGCGCAAGTAGCACAGAAAGCCTATTTGTTGTTTTTAAGAAGCCCACAATAGTTATTTCACAAATTATGAGGCTGAAACAAGCCATTACAGAACTGCTGACATGAGCTGGAATCACTTCATGGTTAAGCTGTGTGATGATGATGAAGAAGCAGAAGAAGAAGAGGAGGAGCAAACATTGAAATAATAATACTTTTGCCTCCCCTGCTAACATAATGCAATATATTCCACTCAGGCGTAGCACGGTTTTGCTTGCATTTAAACATACCTTGGCTGCTGCTGCCTTTTCCTTTTTCAAAGTATTCATAAGGCTGTACAGTACTTCTCAGACTGTATTGGAGAGGGACCAATCAGAAGAAGGTCAGCTTGTTAAATGAAATGGCAGAAATTCTTTTAAAACTTGAAATGCACCAATCTCAATGAGGCTAACACCTGTGTGTGGTCTGAAAATTTCAGAATGCTTATAGCCGAGACCGAAATCCATGTGCTGTTTTAATAGTCAGAATTTCCACTGCCTCCACCCCTTTTTTATTATACATTGTAGATTTTTGTATCATGCTTATTGAAATGTCGACAGCACCCACTTCCCCATTTCAAGAGCTTGACCCAAGTAATAGCTTTTAAAATGAAGACTCAAAGGAGAATTTAAGCTTGGAAACAAGAGGATACATGCTAGGAGGAAATGATTTCTCTGTATTTTAACTGAAGTACACTGGTGCCCTATAGGGATTGAAGAAGCAAAAAAAGTCTTAAGCCGTCCAAGCGCCAACACTCCCAGCAACACTCAGACTTAGTTATTACTTCATTTATAACCCACTTTTTCCTCCAAAGAGCTTAACATACATGGTGCTCCCTCTCCCCATTTTATCCTCACAACAACCCTGTGAGGTAGGATAGGCTGAGAGGCTCAAGGTCACACAGGGAGCCTCATGGATGAGTGGGGATTTGAACCCTGGCCTACCAAGTCATAGTCCAGCACACTAACCACTGCACCACTTTGGCATCTCCTTAAGGAGAAGAGGGACATGTTCTGCCTCCATGGTCAGAGGCACTATCCCTTTGCATGCTAGGTTGCTGGGAATATCAAGTGGCTGTTGTGCTCAAGTCCTGCTTGCTGGTTTCCCAGAAGCATTGCGCTGGCCACTTCTTTGAGAACAGGATGCTGCACTCGATGGGCCTTTGGCCTGATCCAGTAGGCCTCTTGTGTATATATAGGCAGGTGACCTAGCGAAGGTGTGAATTTTTGCCCTCCTTGTGTAACATCCAGCCAGGCACAGCATCCCTATAACAAGAGAGAGACCCAGAAAACCAGAGGGAGGCTTGCTTTCACACACACACACAAAAATGTAAATTGGACAACCAGCTCAGAAGGCATCAGGAACGCCTTGTACCCTTTTCTCATAAACTGTTTTAGGAAACTCAGGGCTGTGTTTGGTGAAGCAAGGGCTGAAATGTATACAAAGCTGTAATAAAAAATGTAATTGATATGAATGCAGTTGCGCTCAAGTTGCATTGGGGTGAGAAGGGATGCCGTGAAGGGAGGGAGATGATTCGACAGCAGGCAGAGCTCTATCCAGCCAGGCGAGCAAGAAGAGGCATTATCAGAGTTCAATGACACAGCCAAGCAAAAGCACTTGAGCTGAGCCAGTGAGGGGTGTGGCCGGGGAAGAGTCCTGAGGGCCAGATGGAGATGCCTGGAGGGCCACATTCAACCCCTAGACTGAAGGTTTACCCAGCAGTGCCTTAAGGCCTCATGGAGGATACAAAACTATACAGTGGTACCTCGGGTTACAGACACTTCAGGTTACAGATGCTTTGGGTTACAAACTCCGCTAACCAGGAAGTGGTTGCTCCAGGTTAAGAACTTTGCCCCAGGATAAGAATGGAAATCACGCGCCAGTGGTGCAGTGGTAACAGGAGGCCCCATTAGTGAAAGCGCACCTCGCGTTAAGAACCGTTTCAGGTTAAGAATGGACCTCTGGAACGAATTAAGTTCTTAACCCAAGGTACCACTGTATTCTAATATGATGTGTTCGTGGCATGATTAGTACAGGTGGCTGTGCTCAGAGCGGACCCATCTGAAATCACTGGACCTAAGTTAGTCCTTGTTGCAAATTTCAGTGCGTCTACTCCAAGTGGGACTAATTTTGGATGCATCCTGGAGGCAGCATATCTCTGGGTACCCAATCAAGGGCTGGATCCATGTGTTTGAGAAAGACTCTTGCCTTTATGGCTACGAAACTGAATGCTGGGTTAGCTGGTCCTTGGGCTTCCATCCAGCAAAGTAGCTATTCTGTGGGTCTTGACCTGTCATTGGTTTTGAAACCTAACATTCACCTGAACCCTGCTTTTTTTCTTCCCAGGAAAGTTATTTTCTGAGGATGGAGATGGAGCCGGAAGCCTTCAGCCCTGGCGGGGACGTTGCCAGCTCAGACTCCACCTGCTACCAATGCTCCTCATGTCGGGCCGACGAGGAGCGGAGCTGCGCCAACTCCATGCGTGGGCGGGCCAAGACGCGCAGCTTGTCTGCATCTCCGGCCCTAGGCAGCACCAAAGAATTCAGGTATGAAGCCAGAGGCACTGAATTGACTCACGTAAATCTATGCCATCTGCTGGCCGCTAAGCTACATTTGTGCATGTGTGCCAGAGGTTGCCCATTGTCAGAACTCCCATAGCTTTCTGACGGTAGGAAAGGAACCCTGGCAATCATCTCCTGAACATCTGAAGATCTTTGCCCTTTGTTAACAGGGATGTCTGTGCAACAAGATCCTGTCCAAACACTGAGAGAGGTGGTATTTTATTTTATTTTTAATATTTCTGTACCATTTATATTAAAAGATCTCTCAGAGCGGTTTGTAAATGTTTTGTAAAAAAGAAAGAAAGAAAGCATATTTAAAACAATTTAAAATAGAGAAACCAAATTGCAGAGTCCTATGGCAGAAAAGTTACAGGGAAATGTCAAGCAATTAAATCGGGTTTTCTTCTCTTATAACACTAGACCTCACAGACATCCAGTGAAGCTGAATGTTGGGAGATACAGAACAGATAAAAGAAAGGGCTTCTTCACACAGCACATAGTTCAGCTATGGATGCCCACTAACTTGGATAGCTTTTTAAAAGAATTGGGCAAATTCATGGAGGTTAGGACTATCAACGATTACCAGCTATGATGGTTATGTTCTGGCTCTATGGTTAGATTGCTTCTTGTCCTTGAATCCTGCTTGTAGGTTTCCTAGAGGCATCTGGAGAGAGCAGGATGCAGGATTAGATGGGCCAATAGCCTGGTGCAGGAAGTTCTTATGTTCTTACTAAACAATGAAGGCATCCAATAGTTCGTGCCTCCTGAATAATGGAGAGGAAGGCATTCCAGAAGTAAGGGACCACCACAAAAAAGGCCCTGCTTACATGCTTCTGCCAGATGTCTCTGTAGGTCATGGCTTCGCAAGGCCTCTGATTACCTTTGTGATCTACTCAGCTGGTATCAGGGAAGCCTGTCCTTTAGGTAATCTGGTCCCAAGTTGTTCAAAGCTTTATTTGTTCATAACAAAATATTGGATTGCTCAATAGGCTAACAGGCAGTCTGTGCAGTTCTTTCAACACTGGTTCTTTCAACACATATGCATGACAAGAGGCTCCAGGTCAGTATCCTAGCTGCCGCAGTTTGCACCAGCTGAAGTTTCCAAGCCTCAATGGTAGCCCCATATAGAGCTCATTATGAGAATCTAATTGGAAGGTGCCAATGTAAGTATCATAGTGGTCAGGCTATCCCCATCCAGGGTAGGCATACTAACCATAGGTGGCAATATGTGCTCCTTGCTGTTTGAGACAATGTGTGTCCCAAGTGACAACGCTGAATCTAGGAGGACGCCCCCACCCAAACTACATACCCATTCAGGATACGCAAACTTCCCAACTTCCAAATCTGGGAAACCAGTTACCCACAGAGCCTCCACCACCCAGCTCTTCACTGCAGGCAAGCCCTGGTTCAGGTCATGCACAGCCTCTCCTGATTCAGATTTTGCCCAGAAATAGAACTGGATGTCATCAGCATATTTCTGGCACCTCGCCAAAAGAATAAATAAATCTCCTAATGACTGCTCTGAGTGGTTGGTCCAATAGGTGTTAAATAGCATTGGAGAAAAGTTGGTTCCCCCTGCAGCACCCCGCAGTACCCTTTGTCAAAAGATCACAAGGTGGCCCAGAACCTAGAACATAAGGAACAGTGTGTGTCAGTGCACAACATAATAGCCTTATATAGCAAAACAATTAAAAGTTAATAGTAATAAGCAGTGAATGTAGTACACTGGTCACGTAATGCATACTTACTAAGCAGCAGTGTCAACTTTTACACAGTATCGTCCTGTCAATCTGGAGTGCAATAACATCAGTTATTACCTCTTTTTTTGGGGTGCAACTATAAAGCAGCATATCTAAAGCAGTATATCTAACAACAGCCTTCTGAAAAAGAAGTGAGCAGGCAAATCAGTAGCAGGCTATCTAAACTGTATAAAGTCCTTCTAAAGTGTATAGTCCCACCATCTCTCTCCCACTTTCATGGGAGTGCAGTTCTTGCCCCCTAATGGTAACCCAGGAGGGGAGACACCAAAGGGTTAAGTACCTGTGGCATCTCCCTCTTGATTTTTTTTATACAGCTTTATAGTTTTGCGATGACCTATACACACACACACACACACACACACACGCATATACATGATGGAAGCCTACCAACTTGTTCTCAGACAGCCGGGATGGAAAACAGCTTTTCACCAAGACACACAACCAGGAAAAGAAGGTTGTAAAAATCCACTGTAGCTCAGTGGTAGAGCATCTGCTTTGTAAGCAGAAAGTCTCATGTTCAATCTATGGCAGGCATGTCCAAAATCCATTTCGGGGGCCTAATCTGGCCCGTCAGCTGATTTAATCCGCCCCCCGTGGCAGTATATGTCCCGGGGTAAAATCCTAAAAGGAATGTGGGTGGCGCTGTGGGTTAAACCACAGAGCCTAGGACTTGCCGATCAGAAGGTTGGTGGTTCGAATCCCCGTGACGGAGTGAGCTCCCATTGTTCGGTCCCAGCTCCTGCCCACCTAGCAGTTAGAAAGCACGTCAAAGTGCACGTAGATAAATAGGTACCGCTCCAGCAGGAAGGTAAATGGCGTTTCCGTGCACTGCTCCTGTTCACCAGAAGTGGCTTAGTCATGCTGGCCACATGATCCGGAAGCTGTCTGCAGACAAACGCCAGCTCCCTTGGCCAAGAGAGCGAGATGAGCTCCGCAACCCCAGAGTGTCCGCGACTGGACCTAATGGTCAGAGGTACCTTTACCTTTACCTTTACCAGGCTGGCCTAGCTATTCCAGTAATTGAATCTGTGCTGGATCCAGAAGGATTGATTTGTGTTTTGAGAATTATAGGTCTAAGATATAAAATAAATGTACCAGGCAAACACATACATAAATATATAAACCACATGTCTGAAACAGTACAGGAAAATAATCCTGAAGTCATTTCGACTCTCCCCGTGACCTCAGATATTCCTCTGCTGTTTGGATGGAAATGGGAAAAGCCTCCCCATTGTCTCTGTGCTCACAAATCCTGCCTTAAGGGCACATTTGGGTATGAATAGGGTGAGCCTGTGACCTGGACTCAGGAATTAAGTATTTATCATCACAAAAGAATGGCCAGGCTCTCAAAGTAAACTCATCAACAGGTTTCTTCCAGTCAGGATTCTGCTGTAGATGGCCCCTTTTGTGATGTATGTATGATGTATTGGGGGGTGGTCTTGGGCTCCAGGGTGGGCAATTTCAAAAGTCTTTATAACGGGCTTGCACACCATTGTTCCGGGTTCCTCCTCCCTCCTGCATGTGGTGAGTGAGCACCCTGTTGCAGCAGTTAATAAAGATCAGGCTTGCTAGCTGCTTTGCTTCTCAGTATTCTCTGGTTGGCCTCTGTTATTTTCTCGTACCGATAGAAAACCTACATAAGGACTCTTGGGTGCCCCATAACAGAAAAGGAGCAGGTTTTTTTCTTATAACAATTAGATTTTAACATTTGCTGGATCCAGGGATTAGAGGGGTCTGGCACACCCACACACTCATAACAACAATAATAATGAGCTTAAAGATAAAGTCTGTCTCACTGCATTCAAATGAGGCATCAGGAATTCTATATTTCTTAAAATGACAGCTGGAAAGTTTTTAAATACCAGGCAGTTTTGTTTCCCCATTAAACAGAACCAACAGTTGTGTGGTCTCTTGAAGTAGCTTTTTGTGGTTTCAGCTGTATGGTGACTAATGATGGTGCAAAGGTAACTCGCCAGAGATTGCTTTGTTGCTCCACAGTATGCAAGTGCTGCCCATTTTCTATCTGATTTGCCAGACTTAATGGCTGTGAAAGCTTGTCACGTGGACAACTGGGACTGCTGGTAATCTGTGCAGGGATCATTGCCCGGGTTGTCATCACAAGAAAGGAAGGTGCTGCTTGCTCGATCGCCAGAGTGCCTGCCTGTCACCTCTGTACAGCTTGAGACCATGGAGTTGCTTAGCAGGTAGAATTCTCTCTCTAGAGTGATAGACGATGGCTGCAATGTGGAGCTTTAGAGCTTAAATGAAGGCAAGTTGAAGCTTGGATCTCTTAGGGTGGAAATCTTAATTGTTTGTGGGCCATTGCCTTGCAACAACTCTTAACTTTTTAGCACATCCACCTTTGTGCTACCCTCTCTGTTTTCCTCTTGTCTTTGGTTCTCCTTTCTTCTTTCTGTCTCCCCCCTTATCATACTTTAGAGAAGGAAAAGGGGAGGACAATACTGTTGGTGCAAACCATTTTAGGTGCAATCTGGTCATCAGCTGAATCCCACTTGCTGAAAACCACTAATCTAGGGGAAGAAGGGTTTGTGTGCACACGTGTGCGTATACTCTCCAGGGTTCTGCAGTGCTGGTTGTAGAAGGTATTTTTCCCCAACCAATGTAATCAGGTTGATGCTCTTTAAGGTAGAAATTGGCATCTGGCTGGCTTGCTCCAAATGTCTTTCTTTACGTGGGGAAAAAGAAACAGAAAAGTAGATAGGAGAACCTGCAAGTGGGTGAAAGGCAGTACTGAAATTTGTGGTTGCAGCTGAGGGTGTAGGAGGTGGCTAGATAAGGGAGTGTCTTGTTTACCTTGAAAGTAAGTCTCACTCACTGTGTATAATGACACTTCTCCCTAGTAAGAGTGTTTTACAATTGCAGCCTTAGTTGCCTAACTTGAATAAAACTTTATACTTGGAGAGGGATCGGGAAAGAGATCGTGGCCTGCCTTCTGGTGTCTCTTGTAAAAGTGTAATAGAAAGGTGCTCCTGCTGTCTTGTCGGTGCATGCATTGGGGCGGAAGGGGAGTATCAGGACAGTTTTTTAAAAAAATGATCTGATTTGTCCTAATCAAACCAGCTTAGCCACCTTTGCAACACCCAGTACATTAAATCTAAGTGAATCTTGCTAGCTGGCACCTTGCAAAAGAATCTGTTTTCCTTTTTGCCTTGAGGTGACATGACTTGTGTCTTCTCCTTTAGTACCTGAATTGCAGGTTGCCAGACTGAGCCTTCATCCTGGCATGAGTGAACCCACGTTTGATAGAATTGTAGAGTTGGAAAGGGACACTGAGGGTCTTCTCTCTGCAATGCAGCAATCTTAACCAAAGCATCCAAGACATATGGCCATCCAACTTCTGCTTTAAAACCTCCAAAGAGAGGTAGTCCACCACCTCCTGAGGAAGTCAGCTCCAGTGTCAAAACAGCTCTTACTGTCAGAAAGTTCTTCCTGATGTTTAGATGGAATCTTCTTTCTTGTAACTTTGAAGACATTGCTTCAAGTCCTACCCTCCAGAGTAGGAGAAAACAAGCTTGCTCCATCCTTCATGTGACAGCTCTTAAGATATTTGAAGATGGCTATCATATCTCCAGCCAGTGTCTTTTCCAGGCTAAACATCCCCAGCTCCTTCAACCATACCTCATAAGGCTTTGTTTTCCAGACCCTTGGTCATCTTGGTCGCCCTCCTGTGCACACGTTCCAGCTTGTCACTGAACACACTACTCCAGGTGTGGTCTGACAAAGGCAGAATAGAGCGGTACAATTATTTCCCTTGATCCGGACACTATACTGCTGCTGCTGCTGCTGCTGCTGCTGCTGCAGCAGCCTGGATGTGCGTTAGCTTTTTTTTGCTGCTGCATCACACTGTTGACTCATGCTCAACTTGTGGTCTACTACGACCCCTAGATACTTTTCACATGTACTATTGACAATTCAGGCAGGGGCGTAGGAAGAGGGGATGGTCGGGGCGGGCCGCCCCAGGTGTCATCCATGGAGAGGGGACAAAATCCCCCCTGGGCGGATCGCTGCCCCACCCCCCTGGGACCAGTCGCTGCACCAATTGCCCCCCTGGGTGCCAATCTCCCCCAAAGGGCGCCGATCACCGCACTGATCGCCCCCAATGGGCGCCAATCGTGCCCCTGGAGGCCAATCACACCCAATGGGCGCTGATCACCGTGCCGATCGCCCCCTGGGTGCTGATCACCACGCCGATTGCCTCCAATGGGCGCCGATTGCCATGCCGATTGCCCCCCTGGGTGGCTCGCCCTGACCCCCAGGTGCACGGCATGTGCACCGCTCCGGGTGCCTGAGCAGCTAGTTCTGCCGCTGAATCCAGGTGTTCCCCATCTTATATTTGTGCAGCTGGTTCTTTCAACCGAAGTGCAGAATTTTGCATTTGTCCCTATTGAAATTCATTTTGTGAGTTCTCCAATCTGTTAAAGTAATTTTGAATCCCTATTGTGTCTTCTGTGACATTAGCTCTCTCTCCCAGTTTGGTGTCATTTGCAGATTTGATGAGTGCCCGCTCTATTACTTCATCCAAATCGTCTATAAAGACATTGAACAACAACAGGCCCAGGACAAAACCCTGCAGGTCTTAATCCGCATCTTGGAGCAGTTGCTTCTGTACAGAGTTAGGGTACATATAGATGCACTTCAGTTTAGCTGTTGAGGAGAGACGTGAGGGCCTGTTACTTTAGCACTGTTCCCTTTTATGGATGTGTGTGACAATGTACCGTGTCACTTGATGGTTTTCAGCATAAAACAGTATAAAATATTCATTTAAACATAGGAATAAAAACAGACTTTAAAGCAGTAAACACTTTGTATTCAGCTAAATCCTACCCAGAATAAACCATTGAAATTAATGGGCCAAAGTTATTTATGTATTGTTAAGTTCTCCTTTCTAGGTCCTAGTGAGACACTAGCCACTACACCGCTGGCTTAGCCACCTCTGTTAGGACAATAGCTCCCACTGCCATCCTTCAGGGTGAACAAACTGGGCTGAGGAGAGCTAGAACTTGCTCAGCTCTTACAAAGCTAGTAAAAATAAAAATAAGATAAAATCACAGACTAGGTAGCGTTTGTGAGCTTATTTACACAGCTGCCTTAAAGTCCATTGTTCCTGTTCTAAAACTCTTTCTTCCCATCCGCCATAGGAAAGCATAGATTCTCAGAGTGCTGCATCCACTAATAATTCTGTGAGGTCGGTTAGGCTAAGAGGCAGTGGCCGGGCCAAAGCCACCCAGTGGGCTTCATGGCCAAGTGGGTATTGCAACCCTGGTTCTCCTACGTCTTAGTCTCACACTCTAACCACTACACTGGCTTTGAATCTGGAGGTCATTTGGGCTGTGGCAATACATGAATGTGGAGATGAGGATGCAGGCAGAGTCGATTTGAAGTTGCTAAAGTTCATGGGACTGTTTAGTCACTGTTCTAGGTACCCGTGATGATGGGGATTACTGCTTAAGTAATGATGACATGGTTATTGCTATAAATACTCAGAAGCCATAACCATGCCACTGTTACCTAAGGAGTAATCTCTGATGATCTTCCTTGGGTGGTGATTAGAAATAATGATGTTACTTCTTTCATCAGTGATTAAGAAAAAATGTTTTTACATCCTGTAATGGAGGTAACACGATTTTACCTTATGACCAGGTTTTATTTATTGAACAAGATTTATATACCACTTGACCGTAATAAAACTTCAAAGCAGTTTACAGAAAGAATAAAGCAACACAATGATTGGGGGGAAAACAGATAAAAACAACTATTTAAAACATTTTTAAAATGGTTAAAATCAACGATGAGCTAAAAAGAGATTAAAAGCATGTCAGTATTCTACAGGTTTGGATAGCCTTGCCTAAACAAAAATGTTTTCAGCAGGTGCCTAAGAAAGCGTCTGCCTGATGTCAATAGGCAGGGAGTTCCGCAGTGTGGGTGTGTTGCCGCTGCTTGTTGGCATGCTCACATTTTCAAAGGGCAGATATTGTTACTGGACACAGCATTCTGAGAATCTATGCTTTTGTTCAGTGGAAAAAAGAGATAGTTTTAAAGGATGCAGAACTCTTGAGAATCTGTGCTTTGATTTAGAAACAATTATGAAGCATGCAATACTCTGAGAATCTATGTTTTCGTTCAGGAAAAAAATTGGTGTTTTAGAAGAGGAGCCATGGGCTTTAAGGCATTCTTTTAGATAAGCTCGCAAAAGTTACCTAGTCTGTGATTTTATTTTACTTTTATTTTTAATTTGTTTGTTTGTTTGTACCCCGCCCATCTGGCTGGGCTTCCCCAGTCACTCTGGGCAGCTTCCAACAGAAGATTAAAAATACATTAAAACATTAGTCATTTAAAACTTCCCTAAACAGGGCTGCCTTCAGCTGTCTTCTAAGTGTCAGATAGTTGTTTTTTCTTTGACATCTGATGGGAGGGCGTTCCACAGGGTGGGCACCACTACTGAGAAGGCCCTCTGCCTGGTTCCCTGTAACTTCGCTTCTCGCAGTGAGAGAACCACCAGAAGGCCCTCAGCGCTGGACCTCAGTGTCCGGGCAGAACGATGGGGGTGGAGACGCTCCTTCAGATATACTGGGCCAAGGTCGTTTAGCGCTTTAAAGGTCAGCACCAACACTTTGAATTGTGCTTGGAAATGTACTGGGAGCCAGTGTAGGTCTTTCAAGACTGATGTTATGTGGTCTTGGCTTTCTGTCTTTCTAAGAGGTGGTATCCTACATTACCAATCATTAGCAAGGGAAGACTTGCCTCTTTCATGATCTCAGCAAGTTCCAGCTCTCCTCAGCCCAGTTTCCTTGCCCTGGAGGATGGCAGTGGAAACTGTTGGCCTAGTTGAGGTGGCTAAGCCCATGGTGGTTCAAATCCCCACTTGGCCAAGGAACTCACTGGGTGTGACTTTGGGCCTTCTAAATGTTGTTGGACTCCATCTCCCATCAGCCCCAGCTAGCGTGATTAGTGTGGTAGGAGATGATGGGAGTTGGAGTCTCAACTTCTGGAGGAGACCTTGTAGAGAGTGGCCTTAAACTTTCATAGAATCATAGAGTTGGAAGGGCCAGTGAGGGTCATCTAAGTCCAACCCCCTGCAATACAGGAATCTCAACTATACATGACAGATGGCCTTCCAACTCCTGCTTCAAAACCTCAAAGGAAGGAGAGTCCACCACCTCTCTTAGGAGTCTTTCCTATTGTCGAACAGCTCTTGCCATTGGAAAGGTCTTCCGATGTTTAGTCAGAATCTCCTGTCTTGTAACATGAACCCATTGGTTCGGGTCCTAGTCTCAGGAGCAGGAGAAAGCAAGCTTGCGCCATCCTCCATATCATAGCCCTTTAGATATTTGAAGATTGTGTGTGTGTGTGTGTGTGTATCTATTTGTATCCTGTGGTGTCTATATTCATGCATTCATTTCACACTTTTCTGGAGGCAATGTTCGTTTGCCCCAGGTGATCAGGAAGGTGTGTTTTTATTTCTGAGACTTGCCTGCCAAAGTGAATTTGCCTCCAGGCTGCCTGGTTGGGAAGCCAAGGAAGACCAGCCCTCTTATTTAGCTTGTTGCATTATGCCACGTAGGTGTGTTCTGGGCAGGAGGACTAGTAACTTGTGATGGCCGATTTGCGACAGTGCATTAGTCATGCATTTCTGAAAGCTGAGCTTGTGGCATATAATAATGTTGCACCTAAGAGAACTTAGGTTGAATAATGTTGAAACTAAGAGCATTTCTTGCAGTGAGGTGTCGGACCGTTCTGACAGGGCGTTCTTGGTGGTATTTTAATCTCCAGAAACTCAGCACACTGGGTCACATTGCTGAACACATCAAAAAGGACACACCAAAAATGCAGGCTGGCGCAGATACTTCTGGACAGAGCTGGTTCCAGACTTTAGGGGGCCGTTCACATGGTGCTGATGATCCGCCAACTGATGATTCCTGTGAAATCTACCCACCCCACAGATCCATGGAACCAGTAAAATATATAGATCTGTGGGCCTAAGCATTACATTTTGTGTTGCTTAAAAATGGATAACGCCTGCCGTTGATGGGAGCGGGGCTTGGCCCCCGTTCGAAAGCGTCACTGCTGAGAAGCATCCAGGGGCCCGCATTGCAGGGGGAGTGGAGAATGGCAGCATGGCTGAGTCTGACCAGCATGTGGGGCCCTCCCAAGGCCAGTTCCTGAGCTGGACAACTGCTGGCACCAACCCTACTCACGGAGGAAGTGGTTGTCAGTGTCCACACCACCTCTCTCGAAAGCACTGTTTGCATCGTAAACGTGGGAGACCGCAAGGAGCTCCCCCTGACCCTTCGGCAGTTGTCTTTCACTAATTAGCATCCCAACCAGGGCTGCTTGGGAGAACCAGGGGTGGGAAACCACCCTCCAGAACTGCTAGAGGGAAAACACTCTGGCTTCTGCTGCGTTTTGGAATTTCCTGACTGTGTTGTGCTTTGCTTGGCTTGCCTTGCAACAGCCGGGAAGTTCCACAGTGCTGTGGCGCCATCTCATGCCATGTTCAGTTTTACTGCTCAGTGCAGGGGTGGGGGTTAGAGGAAGAAGAAAGCTGGGGGATTTTGCTGTCCATGGCAGGACTCCTGTACCAAACTGCTCTTCCACCTTCAGATCATGCCGCTCTACTGGGGACTGCAGCATAAGTACAGCACCCTGCTGCCTTGGTATAGGTTTGCCTCCAATTTCAAAGAGGAAAATGGGTAATGTGACCAGAAACCTATTACCTCCAGGGTGTGTTAAAAGTTGCTACTGTTTATGACTGTAACAGAAAATTGTAAAGTGGTACCTCGGGTTACATACACTTCAGGTTACATACACTTTAGGTTACAGACTCCGCTCACCCAGAAATAGTACCTCGGGTTAAGAACTTTGCTTCAGGATGAGAACAGAAATCGTGCTCCGGCGGCGCGGTGGCAGCGAGAGGCCCCATTAGCTAAAGTGGTGCTTCAGGTTAAGAACAGTTTCAGGTTAAGAACAGACCTCCAGAATGAATTAAGTACTCAACCCGAGGTACCACTATATATATAAAAGAAACCCGTATTGCCACACTACCTCTTTTTTATCATAGGCCTGTAGTAGCTTATGCATTTGGCTTTGCTTCCTAGCCTGTTTGTGTGGCACAGTTTCATGGCACTTTAGAAGCTCACTTTTTGAGCTTCTGGTTTAAAAAGTGAAGAAGGAAGTTTCTAGCCCAATTGGGGGCCTTGTAAAAGAGTCGCACGAAAGTTACTAGCCCACAATATTTTTTACTGCCCTGATGGGGAGGGAGGCTGGCAGAGGAGGGGCAGAAAGCTCTTTCCATGCTGCAGCAGCCCACTGCATTTTTTGTTCTGCCCCTGCTCCACCAGCCAGCTCATTCACCAGCCAGCAGTTTCTTGTTGCCTGTGGTGACCAGGCTAGTGCTTAGGTAACACATAAGATTCACTTGGAAGAGTGCAGGCCATGCCAGCAGAAATCTCAGAAGGCGAAAGGGGACTTGCTGAACAAAGTTTCCAGAGTTTGCGGAGGCTTCAAGCCCTATGATCCCTTATATAGTTAGGTAGAATAGATTGTGCAAAATAAGCATAACTGGGCAAATTGGTTCGATTTATTCAGGGTGAAAAACGCAGTGCATTTTTTTAGGGGGGAGTGGGATTGTCACAGAACTTGGATTGTCATGGATGCATAATTTTAAAATACAATCATGTTGTGTTTAAAAAACTAAGCCAACTAAGTTCTACTCAGAGTAGGCCCATTGAAACAAAGAACCTAAGTGAGTCATGCCCATTAACTTCAGTGGATCTGTTCTGAGTGGGGCCAGCATTGGATACAACCCTTAAGCATGGAAGATTCACCGTTGCGAATGTACGAAATGTCCCTCTCCAGCTCTAATGATATAATGCCATTCAGGCGGACTGTGTGAGTGTGTTAATGATTTACTTGTGCTAGGGAAACGTAGGATAGCTAAGGCGAAGTGCGTCTGTTAGTCATTCAAGATGCAGTTTGCATATTATGCAATTTGTAAGCTTCCTTCCCTTGCACAAATCACTCTGGAGGCTGTCATAGTTCGTAAAGGGACATGATACAATAACACCGCCCCCCTTGTTACTGCTTCAGGACTTCTAGCTCATATCCTGCACCAGGGAACTCAGTTCAGCTCCATTTGAGGAATCTTAGAAATGCTTCTTAGGAAACGAGGGCCATAGCTGAATATGAATCCTGTGTTATTATCATTATGCTTTTGTGCATGAAGTTGGGGCTACCTTAAAAAAAACAACGCTTTTTGAAAAGTCTCTCCAAGAACCTTAGATAATCCAGCAACTTAACTAAACTGTCTCCTTCTTCTTTCAGGAGGACGCGCTCCTTGCACGGACCATGCCCAGTGACCACATTTGGACCAAAAGCCTGCATGCTGCAGAATCCCAAAACTATCATGTAAGTGCCTCCACCTTCGGGGAAAAGGTCCTGATCCCATTCATCTTGATTCTCTGCTGTTAAATAATTAAACATATTCATTCATTCCCATACATACTTGTGTCTTCTTCAGCTGCATTCATTCATAGATTTGGCTGCCCATTTATGGCAATACAGGGTGCTGTGCTGAAATGGAGTTATACTGATGTGCTTGTGTGTTTGCAGTTACCATTGAATTGCTTGTTTGCTTTGGCTATTATTATTATTATTATTTTATTTTAAAAAGCCATTATTGCCTGAACTTACCATGGGGTGTTCTGTTACAGGAGCTTTATTGCTTTGTAAAGCATGAGTAGGTTTACCCTGTTTTGATGTAGCATCTTCATAAATGGACAGCTGAGGTGCAAAGGCTTTTGAGGGCTCCCAGGTTCTGATCCAATAGAGGAGGAGGCCATCTCTCAAAAGGTAGCAGGTGTTTCCTTGGGAATAGGTGTCGGCCATCAGTGGTAAACAGATGATGTTATGCTGCAAAGCTGGTTCAGAAAGCTTTCTAGAGATGTCAGTCCAACTGTGGTCTTACCTTGCAATCTGCTTTTGGGTTCTTAAATCCAGGCAGTAGCCTACCAAACTGTGTCAGTTTAAAATCTGGGGTGTGTTAATTGGATTTGTTTTATGGTGTATTATAATTACGGGTATTTATATTCTAATGCTTGTATAATCAGGTGGTGTTGTTTTTAATTAACTTTTATTGAAAAATTTCAATCGGAAATAATTAACAGCGCTACTTATTTTGGCCATGTCTGCAAGTATTACGCACAATTAACATCTGCATCGGTCTAAGCCACGCATGTTACTTTCAGTCATTGACCAGTGAATGAAACATGGATTGCACAGAAGAGCTGATCAAAACTGTATGGCAAAGTTCTTCATACAGTTATCCAGGCCTCCTTTAAAGTTTTCCTTTGGTTTGTGGGTGTCTTCAGTGGTATACAACATGGAGCCCATGTTCTTACTTATTACATTTCACACCCAAATTTCATCTTTTGCATGCAGTGGGAAACAAGTAACGATTTATCATACTTGTTTTACCACGTCCCTTTCTAAAGTGTGTGTGCGGGTTTTATAGAATGGGTGACACCTTTGTGACCAGGATGTCAAGGAATCGCATAACATGCGACAGGGGAAGGGCCATGACTCAGTAGCAGAGCGTCTGCTTTGCATACAGAAGGTTCAATTCCCAGCATCTCCAGGTAGGGCTGGGAATGTCCCCTTCCAGAAACCCCAGAGAACTGCTGCCAGTCAGTGTAAAAAAGGTAAAGGTAAAGGACCCCTATGGGACGCAGGTGGCGCTGTGGGTTAAACCACAGAGCCTGGGACTTGCCGATCAGTAGGTCGGAAGTTCGAATCCCCACAACGGGTTGAGCTCCCGTTGCTCGGTCCCAGCTCCTGCCAACCTAGCAGTTCAAAAGCACGTCAAAGTGCAAGTAGATAAATAGGTACCGCTCAGGCGGGAAGGTAAACGGCGTTTCTGAGCGCTGCTCTGGTTCGCCAGAAGCGGCTCAGTCATGCTGGCCACATGACCCAGAAGCTGTACACCAGCTCCCTCGGCCAATAAAAGGAGATGAGCGGCGCAACCCTATCGTCATCCACGACTGGACCTAATGGTCAGGGGTCCCTTGACCTTTTAAAGGACCCCTGGACGGTTAAGTCCAGTCAAAGGCGACTGTGGGATTGTGGCACTCATCTTGCTTCAGGCCAAGGAAGCCGGCATTTGTCCACAGACAGCTTTCCAGGTCATGTGGCCAGCATGACTAAACCGCTTCTGGCGCAATGGAACACCGTGACGGAAGCCAGAGTGCATGGAAACGCCGTTTACCTTCCCACCAGAGCGGTACCTATTTATCTACTTGCACTGGTGTGCTTTCGAACTGCTAGGTTGGCAGGAGCTGGGACAGAGCAACAGGAGCTCACTCTGTCACGAGGATTTATACTGCCGACCTTCCGATCAGCAATCCCAAGAGGCTCAGTGGTTTAGACCCCACAGCACCACCTGCATCCCTAATGCCAGTCAGTGTAGACAACACTGAACCAGATGGACCAATGGTTTGTATAAGGCAGCTTCCTCTATTCCTCTGTCTTAAGCAAAGGGTTGCTGCCGATCAGTGTAGACAGCAACTGAGCTAGCTGAATATAAGCAGCTTCCTACATGTCAGTCAGCTAGTGGTTGCTTTTAAAACTAATCATGCTAGCTGGGACTGATGGGAGTTGTAGTCCAAAATATCTTGAGGGCACCAGGTTGGTGAAGGTTGTTTTAGATCAACTTGGGTTCAGTCCTGATACGGGTGTTTGAAACATTATCCCCCTGTTTGCTTTCGGCAGACCAATCTTCCCCACCCCTCACTTTGTTTAATTCTGGTCTAGAGGGATGGATGGGAGCAAACACCATGCAATTGGGTGAACTCGTTTAGTTAATGCCACCTCGAACATCACCTGCCAGGAGACACTGTTAATATTTGTCTAGCTCTAGCACAACGCTTATTGAACGGAGCGCCCTGCGCTCTTAATTTTCTCTCTCTTTTGTGTCCCATCCCTCTTCCTCCATGGTCTGTACTTTCCCAAACCAAAAGAGGCAGGGTGTGGGTGAGTCCACTTCCTCTTCCAGTTGCTTCAAGGTGTGGCTGACCGTCAGATTTTTACAGATGTTGGTCCTTTTTTTCTAAATCGCATTATCTTCTGCTTAGCACACCCCCGGCTCAGCCACTGCCCCACCGTAATAGCCAAAGGCAAGCTGACCATTCAGGGAAGTCCCGTAGCTCAGTGGTTAGAGCATCTGCTTTGCACACAGAAGGTCCCAAGTTCAAAACCTAGTATCTCCAGGTGGGGCTGGGAAAATCCCCCAAGTCTGAAACCCTGGAGAGCCACATTCAGTGACTATACTAAACTAGATGAAGCAATGATCTGACTGCATAAGGTAACTTCTTATTTAAATCAACCCTTTATTCAGAAGCGTGAGGACTAGAAACTTAGTTTATCCTTAGGGAAAAGGATGTCCCAGTGGTAGAGCATCCATTTACTGTAGCATGTAAGAGGCAGTGCTAGAAATTAGCCAGGGTCCAATTGCGACCACGTGAAGATCTCTGGAGACCAGGTTGACGACTTGGGAAAGCAAAATGCCACTTAGAGAAGGATGTGAAATATTTTCCCTCAAAGCTTGAATTTGTTTTATTTTGGATTGTTTTATTTACTTTTTTAATGTGTTGTAAACTACTTTGAGATTTTTTCTTTAAAATGAAAAGCTGTAGAAATGAAATTAATAATAATAATAATAATTAATTGCAAAAAAACAGCACCCAGACATTCCACTGTGGCGACCGTAACCTAGGTTTAATTTGCCATTTGGCGATTAAATTAGATATCTGAGATTCTAACACTGCTAGAAGGTCCCAGTTTCAATCCCCAGCATCCCCAGGTAGGGCTGGGGGGGAATACCTGGAACCCCGAAGAACTGCTGCCAGCCAGTGTAGGCAATCCTGAGACAGACGTTCCAATAGCCTGACTTTGTATAAGGCAGCTTCCTGTGGCTTCTCTCTCTTGCTCCCTCCATTCCTCTCTTGCCCACCTGCCAATTTTAGCAGACAAGGGAGTGAGGGGAAGAGGTTCGCTGACTGGCAGGTGAGTGGACAAATAACTTGTCCCGTGCAGATGAGACCTAACAAATCACCTGCTCTCTGTTTATCACATCCCTGCAGAGAGTATCTTGCAAGCACACTCCTCTTCTGTTGCACCCCGTGAGGATTCAGTCTGCCTCCTACGGCTTGGGAGCCGAAGGGTTAAGGGATGATTGCCACTTACTCAACTTTGGACTTACATCATGCATTTTTATCACCAGATTCTGGCAGCTGAGCAGCCGCTGCTGCTGCTCCTCCCTCTGGGGCGAGCAGGGATATAATGACAGCATGTGTTGAGATTAGTCCAGCCCAGAGGCTTTCCAGGAGGCACTTAGAGCTCTTTAATTGCCCAGACAGACAGCAGATCGTAACCCCAGCAGTCTAGAATAGCCTTCAAGCTAGGGAGCCGCTTTGCCAGGCAAGAAGGGAGAAGGCAGCTGAGCTTTTAAAATTCTACCGGGAGATCTTCATCCTTCTTCAAAACTTGCCTTTTTTTTTTTTTAATACATGTAGCTTCAAAAAAATTTTTTTATTCCCCACCCCCTGCACACACACACACACACACACACACACACACACACACACAATTTGAAAGCTGTGCTCTCTCTCTCTCCTGTTGCCTTTTAATAAGAGGAATTTAACAAAATCCAAGATTAAACTTGCAGTGGCTTCCCAAGTGTTGCATGAAGGCACACTAAGCCGTCTGGTGTTGATTAAACCTCTTTTGTGGGGTTTTCTTTCTCCCCCCCTTTTTTTGGTAAGCTGTTGTTTTGCAGACTGACCTGGCGGAAAAAAATTGAACATTTAACAAATACGCTAAGTTTTTGCTGCTCCTTTTTCTAATCTGGTATTTTTCGGGATCCACTTGTTTAAGCAACTTTTAGCCTCCTTTTTATGGGGAACTGCTTCTTTATGAAATGGCAAGGCTGGTTTGGTTTCATTTCTTTTTGACCAAAGCAATCTGAAAACAGAGGCTATCTGAACTTGGCGGGCGTGATGGTTTTTGCAAGGTAGTAGTTCGGCTCCAAAAGATTATTTCAAGGCTTCTTTTTCTGCTGTTGAGTCTTGCTGTGGGTTTCTCTCTGACTTGTGCAAAGAAAAGCAATGAAGATATTTCAGCGTATTAACGATCGCTCCTTTGGAAGCTCCGCTTGGAAGTGGTGAGTAGACCGGGGGGAAAGAGGTTTTATCCACCTTTCATGTTATGAGCCAAACCTTCGGTTAGTTTCAATGGTGGCTTGGATTTCTTTAAGTGGGGCATGGAGCTATGTCCAGTGCTATTCAGAGTAGACCCAATGAATGGACTTGGGTCCATTCATTTCAGTTAACTTAAGTAAGGTTTCATTGGATGCAACCCATAGTCGCCGCAGAGCTGATACGTAGCTCTACAAACTGATCCAGATAGGTTGAGCAGATTGTGTTGAAATCCTTTATGCTTTTCCTGGTCCCCCAAGTATGAGGAAGGGGTGGTTTTCTCGTCTGAAACCCACTTTACGGCAGCAATGCAAGTTCCTGGCACGGCAAACTGAACTCTGCCGTGGGAATCTCCCTTTCCTTAGGGCGTTCTTGTTCTCACCCCGGCCAATAAAAAATCAGTCACCAAAGGACTCCTTCCTTCAGTTTCTTCCTCTTTTTTGTACACAATAGTTTTCTTTTTAGATGTCTTCATGTGCATTCCCGCCACCCACCCAACCCTTCATCAGGGCTATTCTGCGGTCTGCCTGGCATTCTGCATTTTGCGCAAGAGTGGGGTATCCAGCAACGTGGGGAAGAAACTGTGTAGAGAATAAAAGAATAACATCAACTCGTTCCACATTCTGGATTCAAGACAGAGTTGGCTGGGGTTGTGGTAGTGGTGGGAATTTGCCCCTTTTGTATCCTTAGCTCTTCCTCTGGGGAAGGGTGGGCTAACAGGTGTCCCTCCAGATGATGATGATGATGATGATGATGAAGAGCAGCACTGGGTAGCTCAGTTGGTTAGAGCTTCGTGCTGATTACTCCAAGGTTGCAGGGTCAATCCCTGTATGGAACAGCTGAATATTCCTGCACTGCAGGGAGTTGGACTCGATGATCCTCAGGGACCCTTCTAGCTCTACATTTCTATGATTCTAAGAAGATGGTGATAACCATTTATTATCGGCTCTTCATGCTGAGGTCTCAGGGCAGATCACAACAATTAAAACACAACATCAATATCGAAACACAATATTGGACTGCAGCACCCATCATTCCTGACCGTAAGGCATACTGGCTGGGTCTGATGCGGAGGCTGGGAGTCCAATGTTATCTAGAAGCCTACAGGTTTCCCATCCCCTGAGCTCGGAGCTTAAGAGCGGCAGTCTCACAGCAAACCTTGTGTCACGGTGAGGTTAAAACAGTCTGCCTAAGGCCACCTAAGGTAAGGGTTTTTGCAGGGCGAGAGCTGGTGGCGGATAGGAATCCACCCAGTTTTTCTGCACAGAAGGCTAAGGACGTCTGGCTTCTGTGACGGTGCAGGGTTGCCTAGGTTGACTCCCGCTGTGCTCGGTCTCTGAGGTCGGAGACAGGAGTTGTTTCTGAATATCAGTTGCTGGAAACCACAAGAGGGGAGAGAAGTCTTGTGCTCGGGTGCTACTTGCGGGTTTCCAACAATGGGCATCTGGTTAGCCACTGTCAGAATAGGATGCATGGGCCATTGGCATGAGCCAGCAGGATATTCTTATGTTATGTTCCTATTATTTTTTAACAGCGTTGCTCTTCTCAGAACAAATAAGAGTTTCTTATAATTAACTATTAACCACAAATTTAGATACTTCTGCAAAATCAAAGTAGTGTAACAGTGGTTTTTGAAAGGAACAATACCGGAATTGAAGCAAGTTCCTATACATTTCACCAATGTTCAGTAATGTCTCTAGAAATCTACATGATTCACTGAACCACTACTTCCCGGAGGCTTTCCTCTTGCAACAGCAGGGTCAGTTGGCAGTTTTGGGTTTTGTTTTTATTTTTTAAAGGCAATGAAGCTGGAAATTAAGTAATAAAGACCATGTTCAGGGACCAATATACAACCAGTACAGGGATACGTGAGTGGACTTGTATGTATAAATTATGACGTTCAAGTCAGTTCTTGAGGTTCTTGGGTAAAGATGTCTGCGTATGCTGACCAGAGCTTTAAATATATGTCCTTCCACCCAAGTTTGTGATAAAATACTACTTATTATTGATTATAAAATCTTCCCACCCTTCCTCCGAGGAGCTCCCCTGTTTTTATTTTCACAGCATCTAGTGAGGTTGGTTAAGGGGAGAGATAGTGACTGGCCCACGATCATCTAGTAGGCTTTGAGATTGGCTGGGGATTTTGAACCCATGTCTCTAGCTCGCTAATACTCAAGAGAAATGCCAACTGATTGGAGGGCACCCCAGTCAACTGTAGAGAGCCCCCCTCTCCTGACATATTCTGGATTAAGGAGGTGGCTCTCCAGCAAGACGGAAGATCAAGACTCTTTGGCTTAAACCTAATCTGGTGCTCTCTAGATGTGTTGGACTCCAACTCCCACCAGCCCCAGTTAGCATGGCCAATGGATAGGGACAATGGAAGGTGAAGTCCAAAATTTCTGGAGAGAACCATATTGGCTGCCCCTGCTCTCAACTTAATGGATTGGATGGCTTTCCCCAGTGCCTCCGTTGCAAGCTTTTGTGGTCAAGACGTTTCCCCACCACTGTATGGTCTTGGAATTCTCACCCTCTGAAAGCTGGTGGGGAGAATATTAGGGTCTTTGAGATCTAGAAATGGGATAGTGCAGGGACTCCAACTCCCATCAGCCCCAGCTGGAGTGTCCACCGCTCAAGGATGATGGGAGCTGTAGTCTAGCAATGTCTGAAAGGCCAAAGGGCTCCGTCCTTGAACTAGGCCATCACTTGCCTTTCCTGCCCCCAGCTACTGCCATCACAGCTCTGCCTTCTTTTAAAGCAGAGATAAGGAACCTGTCACCCCCTGGATGTTACTGGACTCCAACCTCCATGAGCTCTGTCCATCGTGGCATGATGGAAATCATGACCGGGCAACGTCCGGAGGGTCACAGCTTTCCACATTCTTGGGATACTGTGTGTGGAGGCAAGTTCTGCCTTCCTCCAGTCTCTTTGGAAGGTGTTGTGGATAAAATGCAATCAAAAATTGCATGATCTTCAGAACAGCAGGACTGGAGGAAGACCTTATTTGCTTGAATAAGGAAATAACATTGGAGGCGCATATTATAGTGGGGGGGGGGAGATATACACACCAAGTATGTATCAGAGGATTGCCAAAGCATGTGCCATCAGGACACAACATCATTAAAGCTAAAAGTCAGGCCATTCGTTATTCAGATCTAGAAATCTCCCACCTTACTTTCTCATGCATGCACTCTTGGGTTGAGGCAACAGGCTAAAATGTTTTAAAATGTTTTAAACGGTTCTAATTTTGGTTCCTCTTGTTTTGTTTTTGTCGGGTTGTTGTTGGTTAAATGTTCAATTGAGGTTGGCAGTTATTTTAATTTGGGTATAACTGTAAGCTGTTTATTATTGTTGTTATTATTGATTTCTATTGATTTATTGGGTTGTTTGTTGCTCATATAGGATATTTTGGGGTTTTTTAATGTTTGATGCTTTGTTGTGTTTTTTATATATGCTATAAGCCACCCTGAATGGCTGGGGAAACCCAGCAAGATGGGCAGGATATGAATTAAAAGAATATAATTATATTATTATGGCACTCTTGCAAATTGCATATGGTGCTGGAGTGGTGCAGGAGAAACCCAAGCAGCTGTTTAAGAGCTGTCATATCCTTCTGGCTGCCGGTGACGCACCTTGAAATCCTAAGAATTGACTCCCTTCCCACCAAGCATGACCGAGATACCTTGACAGCACCTCTGCAATTGCATGATGCACCTACCTGCGGTGGCAAGCTTTGCTGCCCTAATAAAAGCCCAGCTCTTTAAAGATGGGGAAAGATGGGTGCGAGGAGGAGATTAGGGAAAACAAAGTCCAGAACAGCATTGGGACATCGGTTGATCTGAAGGTAGTTCAGATAGTTTGGCTGAGCTTAACTCCTTAAGCTTTGCTTGTTGAAGGAGCGCTTACTCTGATCCAACCAAGCAGGTCAGCATTTTGCCTGGGACAAGTAATGCCCCCCCTTTTCTACAGCTTGTTACACACCAGGCAGCTCAGGTTGTCGAGTGACACGTTGGCATTTGTGCAGAGGGGGCCTGCAGTGGTGTCTGCAAGATATAAGGGTACCAAGACTAAGTGTAAGGTAAAGGTAAAGGGATCCCTGACCATTAGGTCCAGTCGTGGCCGACTCTGGGGTTGCGGCGCTCTTCTCGCTTTATTGGCCGAGGGAGCCGGCGTACAGCTTCCGGGTCATGTGGCCAGCATGACTAAGCCACTTCTGGCGAACCAGAGCAGCGCACGAAAACGGCGTTTACCTTCCCGCCGGAGCGGTACCTATTTATCTACTTGCACTTTGACGTGCTTTCGAATTGCTAGCTTGGCAGGAACAGGGACCGAGCAACAGGAGCTCACCCCGTCGCAGGGATTCGAACCACCAACCTTCTGATCGGCAAGTCCTAAGCTCTGTGGTTTAACCCACAGCGCCACCTGCGTCCCAACTAAGTGTAGTGCCTGCCAATTCCCTGTAATTATTATTAGCATTATATCTTATTAAATTTCTGTTCTGCGAGTTCTCCCCAAAGAAGCAAAGCAATGCAGTTAAAAGCAAAAGCATCTTAAAAACACATCTGTGAAGCAGGCCTTGGGAGGTGGTGTTCTCATCTCAACCAGCACCCAGGTGTGGTGGTGAGGAGCAGCTTGAATCCTCTGCGTTGTGCAGAAGAATGTATAAACAGGCTTTTGAGCATCAGAAGTATGTTAACCCATGGTAGTACCTAAGCAAATAATATTTTGGACCACAAGTTTTAATGTTTGCATCTGAGCAACCATAGCTTAATGATTTCTGGACAGCTTTCTTTTAGTGTCCAAGAATAAGAAATGAAAGGTGGGTTGTACCCGGGGAACTTCAGCCAAAAGGGTGGGGCGAGGAGAGAAAATACACATTGCGTTCTTCAGTACTTACAGAAGAAGCTGCTCAATTGGACCATTAATCCATCTAGCTCAGTACTGCTTTCACATACTTGCACTTTCTCTGGGAGACCTACCTGGATAAGCCAGGAGCTGAACATATCTTCTGTATGCAAAGCAGATACACTATTACTGACCTACAGTCCTTTCCTTAAGACATAGGAACATAGAAGCTGCCTTCTACCGAGTCAGACCATTTGTTCATCCATTTGGTATTGTCTACACCAGTGTTTCCCAAATGTGGGTCTCCAGCTGTTTTTGGACTCTAACTCCCATCATCCCTAGCTAGCAGAACCAGTGGTCAGGGATGATGGGAACTGTAGTCCCAAAAACAGCTGGAGACCAGCACACTGGTCTACCCTGACTGGCAGTGGCTCTGCAGGGCTTCAGGCAGGGAGCCTCTCAAAACCCTAGTGGGAAATTCCAGAGATTGAACCCAGGACTTTCTGCATACAAGGAAGATGCTCTACCATTTAGTTATGACTGTTCCCTAACATTTCAAATAATATTTTAAAAATAATAGTAATTGTCCAGTAGCACCCTAGAGACCAACTAAGTTGCATTCACACGAAAGCTTATACCAAGAACAAACTTAGTTGGTCTCTAAGGTGCTACTGGACAGGTTTTTTATATATTTTGACTGCGTCAGACCAACACAGCTACCTACCTGAATTTCAAATAATACTTAAATATGCCCTAATAGTTTTGAATTGCCTGTGCCACTACAAGGTCATTGGTCCAAAAAGTTTCTTTCTCTGCTTCTGCCTCTGAATCTTGAGCACAGAATTCAGGTATGAAGCCTTCTTCCCTTCCCAGAACGCAGCTCCCCGGGCTGAAGGTGTTTAAATGCTTCCCTTAAGTCCTCTGCACATAGAGAAAGCAGCCTGTCAGGGAGAAGGCTATGCCAAACACTTCTTCAGCATCATGCTAGGGCTGCATGGGCGAGGGTCTTGTTTTCTTTTTGTAGATGATGAGGAGGAGTTGTGGCAGTGTTTTATCACATGCCACCAGGAATCGACAGGATGAATGCCAGTTCCTGAGTCTCACAAAGGCTCTTCTTATGTTCTTACCGTCTTCCACCTGCAACCGAAGCAGCACACTCTAGGAAAAGCTTGCTGTCTCTCAGTCGTGCCAAATGCAGAGCCAAGTTGGCCGGTCGTTTTCTCGTGAGGAGTGCTAACGTGATTTGTCTCAGGAACTTCAACCTGTTTCTTTCCTGGCTTTGTGTTTTTGCAGGCACATTCAGGACCCAGCAAGCCAGCGGTTGACATGGAACAAACCTCCGAAGAGTGTCCTTGTTATAAAAAAAATCCGGGACGCCAGTCTCCTGCAGCCCTTCAAAGACCTCTGCATCTATCTCACAGAGGTAGGCTGGACTTCTCTGCCTTAGTGAGCTCAACCAGGATGGCCGAAGAATTTTAGTGGGGTGTGCTTTTTAAAGTGGGGTGTTCTTACGGGCTACAGAGATGTGTCTTGAAGCATGCTGACGGTGCTCAGGAAAGTTCATCCAGAGTCAGGGCTTCCACGACCTATATCTCAGGGGTGAGGAACCTGTGGCTCATGTTGTTGAACCCCAGCTCCCATCAGCCTTGGCTGGCTTGGCCAGTGATCAGAGGAAGCTTAAACCATTTCCAAAACCCATAACAAACCAACCTTGGCTGCAAATAAATGCCAAGAAGAGTTTGAGGTGGCCGGCATGTGCCATTTCTATCTATCCAAGAGGATTTCACCGGCATGAACTGTTTGTTTGGGTTTGGGGTTGTCAGAAGACTGCCTCACACATAGGAGCTTTTTCAGAGTTTCAAACTAAGTCCAGCTGAAAATTTGTATTGCTGTGATCTCCTTGGCAGGGATCACTTCGCTCCTTCACGAAACCTATTGTTCCTATTGTCCCTTCAGGAGGAATCTCAGAGTGGTTAAACTGGTTTTTCCGTTGTGCTCTTGCCCATTCATGTCTTTCATCTGCTTTCAATGTTGTGGGAGAGCCTGGCAACCCTGATCTCCTCTCTCTCGTACTCAAATGGTCACTCTGCTGATGTGATTCCTCCTTACCTTTTGAAAGTTACTGCACCTGTTTTATTACTCACAGATAAAATAATATAAGGCAGCTCTCTGCGGTAAAGGGGAAAAGCCATAGCTCAGTGGTAGAGCAACACATGGTTTTGCATGTTGCACAAGGTCCATGTGCAGTCTAGGAAGGGTTGGGGTAAACTGTGTGAAGCCTGGGAAAGTCACTGCCAGTTACTCTGCTTTATTATTACATTTCCATCTGGCCTTTCTGCCTAGGAGCTCAAACTGGCCTACACACTTATATATGAAAAATATTTGAAAGATGATTAACAGCGGCTACAAAAAAATAAGACCACATGTAACTCCTCCATGTCTGGATAGGCTTGCCTAAACAAAAATGTTTTAAGCAGGCTCTGAAAAGAATACAGTGAAGGTGTCTGCCTGGTGTCAATAGGCAAGGAGTTCCAAAGTGTAGGTAGAGTGGTTTTTATCTGAGATTATAAGATGCTTTGTAGGTGTCAGGGACTGGTCTGGATTGGAAGACTGGGGAATGCAGTCGCAGGAAGAGCAGCTCCTGCCCGGACACTGAGGTCCAGCGGCGAGGGCCTTCTGGCGGTTCCCTCGCTGCGAGAAGCCAAGTTACAGGGAACCAGGCAGAGGGCCTTCTCGGTAGTGGCGCCTGCCCTGTGGAACACCCTACCACCAGATTTCAAGGAAATAAACAACTACCTGACTTTTAGAAGACATCTAAAGGCAGCCCTGTTTAGGGAAGCTTTTAATGTTTAATAGGTTATTGCATTTTAGTGTTTTGTTGGAAGTCGCCCAGAGTGGCTGGGGAAACTGAGCCAGATGGGCAGGGTATAAATAATAAATTCTTATTCTTATTCTTATTCTTATTCTTACTAACAGAAGAGGAGGGGGAATATTCGGGGGGCCCTGCTTCCGGCGCTTCTAGAAGCAGAGAGACAGGCAGACACAGCTATGAGATAGTAGCTAAGCAACCAGAAGGGAGGGAGCAGCTGGGCGATACATCAATTGAGAGTGAGGGGGGGACCCCCTCCCTCTCCCCGAACCCGGAGGTCTAAGCATGTCAGAGAACAAAGGAGACGCGGAGGAAGAGGGACTTCTCTTTGGCGCGCTTCTTGCTGCGGAAGTGAAGAGGAGTCAGAGTAGGCAACTGATATCCTTGCGGAGGGTTGCCTGTTTGTGCTTGTAGCATAATGCTGAAATAAAAGGACTATAAATCTACCAAATGCTCATTAATTCTTATCGGTGAGCCAGCAGAAGGGAGAGGGGAACTCCCGTACTTGACAGTAGGAGAATTTCCTCAAAAAGTGGGGTATATTTTTAAAAATAAATACATATTAATGTCACTTGTTTCAAGAGGTCATGCTTCTATTTTTCACTCAGTGTTAAGATAGTTTTAATTTAATCTTTTCCTCCCCACCCTTCAGGTGAACAACATGATTGTCTACGTAGAAAAGAAAGTGTTGGAAGACCCAGCCATCATGAACGATGATAGTTTTGGACCAGTGAAGAAGAAATTTTGCACTTTCAGTGAAGGTAAATATATATATATATAGTGAGAGAGGTTGCATTTTGCATGTAACTGGAGCTAGAGATGCAGCAGAAATTTGGTTTGGTTTGCATTTTAATATACAAACTACCTAATGTACAGTTCCTGGAAAAATCTATGAACCGAAACACAGCTAACTGTGTCAAAATCCACTCTTCTCTGAATTTTGTGATCAGTTCTCCAGTCAAACGATGTGGTACAAGCATGCCTGTATCAGGCAAAGGTGTGCATAAACTGTATATATTAGTGAAAAGTGGTTTGTTTGTTTTGCTTAATAAACCACACTGCACACAAACCACATGCCAGAGCATGCACAGCCCAGCCTCTCCCATTTTGCCCCTTTCCTTGAGTAAGCTTTCTTGGGTTGCCAAGAAAGGGCTAGCATAGCGCTGCCTCCAAGCCAGGGGTCATGGTTCATTTCCTCCTAACAAAGCACAGTCAGTGCATCAGCAACAAGCCATGGTTTAAGCTCCACTAGCGATCGTGGTTTGTTAGGGCAGAACAACCCAGAATCCTGCATTTGGCTGCAATGCTAAGCTATTGCCTTCTTTGATTCTTTACCTGCTTGTACCAGGGGAAGAGCGAAGCAAGAGCACAGGAGCACAGGAAGCTTCATTATACCAAATCCAGCCATTGGTCCATCTAGCTCAGTGTTGTCAACACTGGCTGGCAGCAGCTCTCCAGGATTTCAGACAGAATACATTCCCAGCCCAGCCTGGAGTTGCCGTAGTTTGAACCTGGGACCTTTTGCATGCAAAGCTATGCCTCTGAGCTATCACCCTTCCATGACCTATAGCAATTGAGCTGGGTGCGCAGTATGGTTTATGAAGCTTGTAACTCTGACTTACTGCAACATGCAAATTCAGGCGCCGTGTCTGTTTCCTTAAAGAAGGAAGGCAAGAGCAGTCAGATAAGAGCCAGAATGAGCAGGTAAATGGGCTAAAGGAGGGTCAAGCGAAAAGCCACAATCTGTTTATACTGCTGTATTTCTGCCCTTTTAAACAGATAGGATTGGAATTTTAAAAAATCGTATTCTGTGTTTTCAAACTCTTTTTCTTTTTTAGACTACGATGATATCTCCAATCAGATAGACTTTATCATCTGCCTGGGAGGAGACGGGACCTTGCTTTATGCCTCTTCACTCTTCCCGGTGAGTTTATCTTCACCATCCTTCCCTTGCCTGCAATCAATCTCTTATGAAGTCCACATGGGATGCTTCGTGATGGTTGCGTGTTCTTCCACAGGCCCTTAACACTAACTTTTGGCTCTTCCCCACTCAGTATTCACTTATGTGCCTCCCTTTCTGCCCTGCCTGTTTATAAGGGCTTGGTGTGGCTGTAGTTAAATATAAGTTGCTGCTTTTAAACGTGTCCTATTATTGTTATTGTTATTATTATTATTATTATTAAAAAGAGGGTGGGAGGACTAGAGCTGGGCCATATCTGGTTGTCAACATCGCAATATATCACCAGCTGAACATCACGATATATTGATATATCACAAAGTCTGAAATAAGGATGGAACTATGTAGAGGCGAACAGTAGGGCTGGGCAATATCTGGCTTTCAACATTGGGATATATCACCAGCTAAACACTGTGATATACCAATACATCATGATGTCTGAAATAAGGACGGAGCTATGTAGATGCATTGGCTGGCTTCACGGTTTTTCTTGCGTTGTGTTTTTTTGCATAGCACACGCGCACACATATCATGATTTGCGATAGGTTGTCAGGCCAAAAATTATGAAACTGCTATCACGATATGGACTTCAAACTGGTTTTTGGATGATATATTGACATATCACCCAGCCCTAGGGAGAGCCCTATGCAGAATTTAATACACACAGGTTTGTTGACAGCCTGGTGTTGAGTATAGACTGCCCAAGATTCCCCCCCCCCCCGCCTTTGTTTCCCTCCTTTCCCCCAGAACTTGGACTCAAGGCAGCTCACAAATATTAAAACCAGCACAGATAAAACACAGAGGGCTAAGAGCATATAAAAATAGTAATTTTAAAGTGATTAAACTCGGAATAGAATTAAAACGAGGTGAAAATAAATCTATTAAAATGCAGATTGTTTTTTTAAAAAGCACGGCACTATTACAACCACTTTCCTTAAAAGCTGCCACTTCCCCAAAGCCTCCTGGAATAGAACAGCCTCCACCTGTCAGTGGAAGGACAAAGAGGGAGCCACTACAGCCTCTCTAGGGAGTTCTAGAGTTTGGGGCAGCCATGAGGCAGCTCCTGCGTCTCACCCAAACATGCCTGCAAGGGTGGCAGGACTGAGAAAAAGGCTGCCACAGCTATACAGTGAAGCTCCACCAACTTTGGTTCTCCTTTTAGTCCAAGAGTCACCCAACATTTGTAGGTCCATTAGGATTTTTGAGTGGGAGCTGTGCCCTCGCTGATCACTTCTCCTCCCACCGCACCAAGGGAGAGGCAGAAAGAGAGAGATAAAAGGCAGAGTTTGCTTCTCCAAGGCATCTGTGCAAAACTCTGATCCGGTAGACTTAATCTGAGCCTCGATGAAGCCCAAAGAGCTGGAAGAGGAAACCAGAAAGTGCCACTTCTCAAACTTCCTCCTTCAGCACTATGTACTTTCCGAGGGAGAAGAAGGTAGCCGCCTTTGCTGCCGCATGACCAAGAGGGTAGAAAGGGGAAATCACCAAAGGAAAGTTTGAAAGATTATTGGAGGTTAGATACTCAGGAACAGATTTTAGATGAAGATTGGGAAAGAATCTTTCGACAACCACCCTTTGTTGCGACCTCTAGGATAATCCTGGAACAGGGGTTGAAGCTGGTACAAAAATGGTCTTATACACCAGTAAGGTTATATCATATTACAAAATCTGGAAGTAAGAATTGCTGGAGGAAATGTGGAGTGATGGGAACATACAGTCATATGTGGTGGGATTGTCCGTTAGTTAATGAATTTTGGAAACAGATTGGTATAGAAATATCGGGAATTGTGGTAAGGAACGTGGAAATAACTGAATTAATGGTTCTTATTACCCTGAGTAGTATCGAGTTAAAAACAAAAGAGGAATGCAAATGGGTAAAATTGATGGTAATTGCAGCCAGACAGGTTATAGCGAGTAATTGGCAAAATGCAGAAGAGCTAGGGGTGAGCCGATGGCGGAAAAAACTGAATAATATTATAAATTTGGAATACCTAACTGTGAAGATACATAGAATGAAAGGGTTTAAGGTCAGTGAGAAAGAGGAGGATTGGTTTGAAAAGATATAGAATTATTTGAGTAGGTTTGAACAATTTAGGGCAATTAAAATGTTAAAAGTTTAATAAACCTGGTGGAAGGAGGAGTGTTAAGGTATATAGAAGTGTACATATAGTTAATTTGAATATGTTATTACTGAATATTATTGAATATGTATATTATTGAATATGTATATTATTGAATATGTATATTATTGAATATTGTATACCCAATGTATCGGCCGTCTGGGGGTGGTTTCACTGTTTGTGTTTTGGTGGTTGGTAAAAATAAAATATATATTTTGGGCATCCACATTTTTGGCACGGAACTGTTAAAAGCGGAATGTGTTGAAACTGTTAAAAGCTTTGGCTCCTGAACGCCAAGACCAAGGGCAGTTTGTGCCGCTTCTGAATGCTCTCCTCTCCCCCCCCCCCCTTTCCCCTCCAGGGCAGCGTACCTCCCGTGATGGCTTTCCACCTGGGTTCCCTGGGATTCCTTACCCCATTCAATTTCGAGAACTTTCAGTCCCAAGTGACTCAGGTTATTGAAGGTAAGGGTTTGTGCTGAGCTGGTCACTTGCACTGCTTATGCAGAAGTAATGCTGACAGCATTTTTATTAAAAAACCCACAAATCTATAGTTTAGAAACCTCTGCTGCTTTGTGGGGTATCTTCGGGAGAAGAAAAGGCTCAGAAGTAAACACTATACAGATCAGCAGTTGAGTCCTAAGGCGGTTGGATGGTACCTTGTAGGTCTCCTTCTGGCAACTCCTGCAGCCCAGCTGGTGCCAAACGTATTGCTCTGCTTTCCTTTGGACCACATCAGTGAGGCTGAGAGAGGGTTATTGTCATCTGCGCAGCCCAGGACCTCTATACACACTGCCTAGGCTTGCGCCCCCAGGGAGGTCACTTCAGTGCAGCAGTTTCTTCACCCCTAGAGGTGCACTGCATTGTCTTTTGAGCAGACGGGTGCCAACAAAGTTTATTAGGGTTGTTGCAATCAATCAGTACCTCCCTGATGAGATTGGGTACACTTGACAGCGCCAGGCTAGTGCTCCCAAATGCAGCCAATCGCTGCTGCAAACACTTAAGACTAGGGATGTGGGAGGGAGTTAGCAGCTTTGCATGCAGAAAATCCCAGGTTTGATCCCTGGCATCTCCAGGTATGACTAAGAAAGACCCTCACCTGAAATTCCAGAGTGTGGCGCTGTGGGTTAAACCACAGAGCCTAGGACTTGCCGATCAGAAGGCCGGCGGTTCAAATCCCTGCGACGGGGTGAGCTCCCGTTGCTCAGTCCCAGCTCCTGCCAACCTAGCAGTTCGAAAGCACATCAAAGTGCAAGTAGATAAATAGGTACCGCTCCGGCGGGAAGGTAAATGGCGTTTCCGTGCGCTGCTCTGGTTTGCCAGAAGTGGCTTAGTCATGCTGGCCACATGACCCGGAAGCTGTACGCCGGCTCCCTCGGCCAATAAAGCGAGATGAGCGTCGCAACCCCAGAGTTGGTCACGACTGGACCTAATGGTCAGGGGTCTCTTTACCTTTATTTCTGGTATTAGTATAGACAAGAGGTGAGGAGCCTTTTTTCAGCCTGAGAGCTGCATTCTCTTCTGGGGAGGCCTGATGACATTGGTGGGCGGAGCCAGAGGCAAAAGTGGATGGAGCAATGGATGCAAAATACCTTTGCATGATAGGCTTGGTTTGACATACCATCTCGCTCCCCTCTAGCCTCCTTTCCTGGCCTGGGGAGAGTCCCAAGGGCCAGATAGAGAGGCATGGAGGGCCATATTTGGCTCCTGAGCCTGAGGTTCCCCACCCCTGGTGTAGACAATACTGAGCTTGATGTCAGGGCTTGAACCTGGGGCCATCTGCAGCTTTCCCCTGGATTTTCTGGGCTTCACAGCCCTTTGGCCTTTATATGTTTATTGTAGCAAATATATTTTTATTATACAGATAAGTCTCTGGGGTTGGTAGGGACTATGCTTACTGTATCTCCTAAACTGATCCCATGTTGGTAGGTCTTTTTATGTCCTTTTACTTAGAAAGGTGTGGTTTTTCACCCTCCACCCACCACAGGCAATGCAGCGCTTGTTCTCCGGAGCAGGCTCAGAGTGAAAGTGCTCAAGGAGCACAAGGAGAAGAAGGCAATGATTCAAAACGGGATCGAAGAGAATGGGCTGATTTCTCCGAGCCTAGAGAAGGAACTGTTCAAGCAAGCCACTCAATATCAGGTTCGTGCATTTGGTGGGCGAGGTTTGCTTTTCTTCCAGGAGCAGCAGCAGCAACTACAACAATGAAGTTAATCTTAGTGAGTTACTAAATTTATATCCCATCCCTTCCTCCCGAAGGAGCCCAGGGCGTCAAACAGATCCACTGTTTAAAAAAAACAAAGCAATAGCATTCTAAAACAGTTAAGCGTTATAAGGGCAATGACGGTGAAAAACATTCCAAAAACAGTTACAGTCAGAAGCATTATTCCATCCGGTGTTCTGGATCCGGGAATGGTATGCTTCAGCCACCCAATGCCTCACTGGAGAGGGAAGTTTTCCTCCTGAAAGTTAATAATGATGGAGGCAGGCACAGCTCACTGTGGAGCTCATTCCACAACCAGGAGCCACCACCGAAAAGGCCCTGCAAGGGGGTCAGTGCCAACCAGGAAGCCCCTAATGGGACTGCCAAGTCCTCACCACAGTGATGGTTTTGGTAATATAGTTATGAGCATGACAATATAATATTGATGATGATATTAATAATGGTAATGTAATAATACATTTAATATATTACATTTATGATTCGCTTCCCATGAAGCATCTTGAAGTGTCTTTGTAGATATAGAAAGCCAGCATAACGTAGTGGTCAGTGTTGGACTATGACCTGGGAGACCAGAGTTCAAATCCCTACTCAGCCATGAAGCTAACTGGGTGTGACCTCAGGGCCAGTTCACTGGGTCTCAGCATCTAACCTACCTCAGAGGATTGTAGTAAGGATAAAATAGGGAGAAGGGCAACTTGAGCTCTTTGAAGGAAAGGTGGGATATAAATGGAAAAAGAATTAAAAATGGGTCAAGGGTTTCTGGCCCTCAGGCCCACCAGACTTCCCTGTTTGTCCCACAAGGCCACTTTGGGCAAGCCATGCCCACTGTACACCTGATGTCATGTGTGTGGCAGATAAGAGCAGAGCTTCAAATGAATAATCAGGAACTTAAAGTGAGCTGTTGATGGTTCTTTCATTGAAACAAGGTGTGTTTCCATCTTCCATCAGCTGATGGGCTGTGAGATCACCTTTTGGGGGGAGGGTTTCCATTGAAACCATTGTTAAAGTGAAGGGGAGGAGTTCCATTTTAGCAGTGGTTTCCATGGGAACCGCTTCTCTCTTCTAGCATTGCTCTTTGAACGTTGGAAAACTGGAAATGTATAGAGCAGTGTGGGGCTGTTTGAAAGCCCTTTTGCAAACAGTCCCACACTGATCTTAGAACCACCAGTTTTAAGAGAGTTAAAGAGCAGCATAGGGCTGGTTGCTATTATTTATTTTTATATTTGTGGTTATTTTTTAAAAAAAAACCAAGCACTTTTGGAAAGTGAAATCGGGGGCGGGGGGGGGGGGAATAGTCCACCAGACTTTTTGGATTACAACTCCAAATGACGCTGGCTGGCCCATTAAAAAACATTTAAGGCTTTCTTTCTGCATGCTAAAAATCGGTCATAAAGTCATAAAGCCAGACCCTTATAAACCCTGTAGAAACACAACAGATTTTACTACTTCCACACAAACACAATACAGTAGATCTTAAAACAGAATGACTCTGGTTCAGAGTTCTAGTCAGCGTCATCAAATATTTAACCTCTTTCGAAACAAACAAACAAAAATGGTGTATCTGAAGAAGTGTGCATGCACACAAAAGCTCATACCAATAACAAACTTAGCTGGTCTCTAAGGTGCTACTGGAAGGAATTCCCCCCCCCCCCCGACTACGGCAGACCAACACGGCTACCTACCTGTAACTTAACCTCTTTCGTAACTGTTCCGTTCCATCATCTGCATTTCCTGTCGGCAGGTCCTGAATGAAGTTGTGGTGGACCGGGGCCCTTCCTCATATCTTTCCAACGTGGACGTCTTTCTAGATGGGCACCATATCACCACAGTCCAAGGAGATGGTAAGCACGTTTTCTGTTTGCCAGAGAGCAGAGCGGGGCCCCTGCCTCCTTTGGGGGCTGGAGAGCATTTTCTTTGCATGCCTGGCATCTCGAGATGGGACTGAAACCCCTCAGGAGCTGCTGCCAGTCAGTGTTGGCAGTTGTTAGCTAGATGGAGTCTGTCTCAGGATAAGGGCACTTCCTATGCTAAGGCGCCTTCCTGTACCCCTTAAGAGCATTCATAGCTGAGCTCTGTTTAGGTCCTTAAATGGTTTGCCCCCAAGCTGTTTACTGGAGCGGCTGCACCCTTACAATTATCCTGCCTGCACTTCTAAGATCTGCCTGCCCCTAGGTAGGTAAGGTTGGTTGGCAAGTTCCACTTCCCTTCCCTTCCCTTCCATTGCACCTGCATCAAATTCCTACATGGGAGGCTTCTCAGAAGGCCCCATGGCCTTGCAGGCAGGACGTCCATTAGCTGGGTGGTTGAACTGCCTCTGCCCCACTCCCCAGCTCTTAATAGACTGTTGTTTTTAACTGCTTTGAATGGGTGAGTGTCCCAACAATATTGGTTGCACAGTCCTGTTGAAAGGGATGTTCCCAGTCCTAAGCCTATAAAGAACAGGCAAGGCTATAATTGCGACTTGCGCTTGCTCTTTCCGCTCAGGTGTCATCGTCTCCACACCCACGGGCAGCACGGCATACGCCGCTGCTGCAGGCGCTTCAATGATCCACCCGAATGTCCCTGCCATCATGATCACCCCAATCTGCCCACACTCGCTCTCTTTCCGGCCCATTGTCGTTCCTGCTGGGGTGGAGCTGAAGGTGGGTCCTTAATCAGTTTCCTTTCCCTCTCCAAATTCTGCTAGTCACTGCGAGATCTCTCCCCCTGAGAATTGTCGCCTGAGCTTGCCTTTTTTTTCCTCCTTCTCCCTCCCAGTCCTTTGTTCCTTTTGTGTCGTGTCTCTTAGACTGAAAAGCGGGAGGGATAAAAATGCCTAACGATTAATGAATTAGAAAGCTTTCCCGCCCACCAAACAAACAAGCTTTAAGCTGCCTGTTATGTAACCAAACAAAACATCGGTATAAAATCCAGCTCTCTCTCACACACCCGCCTTCCCTCCTGGCAGCCAGAGAGGTTATTGCTTTCTTAAGCAATGTGCCAAAACATGTTTAAACCCTACTGAAAGGTCAGATTCTGCTGAAGCAGTTTGCTGCTTTGTTTGAAAGGCGGTATGGAAAAATCAGTTTGCCTTCCCCTGGGCTCGGCCTTCTGCCTCCGCTGTTGGAGGTGCCAATTGCTGGCAATTTCAAGTGGGGAGAGTTGCTGTTCCACCCAGATTGTGCTGGCCGGCTTCTTGTGGGCAATCTGGCTGGCCCCTGTGAGAACAGGCCTATTGGCCTGATCCAGCAGACAGAAATCTAAAAAATTTAGATCCCGGAAATCAATGTGCTTTCCCCTTCTCCTCAGATCATGCTGTCTCCCGAAGCCAGGAATACAGCGTGGGTTTCCTTTGATGGGCGGAAGAGGCAGGAGATCTGCCACGGGGACAGGTGAGGATGCCCTTCTGAGTTCTCTGTGCCACTCTTCTGTCGCTAAATATATGAGGAAGAGCGGGAACGCCTGACTTGAGTCACGTCCACACCATGCATTTAAAGCACTCTTACACCACTTTAGCAGTCGTGGAGAATCCTTGGAACTGGAGTTTGCTATGGTGCTGGGAACTGTAGCTCTGTGAAATCTTCACCCTTAATAAACTAAAGTTCTCAGGATTCTTTGGCGTAGGGGGGAAGCCCTGACTATTAAAGTGGTGTGAGTGTGCCTTAAACGGTGTGGACGTGACTTCAGCAAACATTCTCATTCTTATTCTTCATATCATTTCTATAGCACTTAATATTTTTAAGGGGGGAAATCTCAGAGCGGCTTACAACTCATTCAAGCATCCAATAGAGTAGTCCGCAATAGAACATTACTGAAGAAAGTCAAATATAAAGTATACATTCAAAGCAACATCATTAATGGGAAATGAAGACAATATTTTAGATTCCTGTTAATGACGTTTCTTTGAATATATACTTTATATTTCTCAAAGAAAGCTTTACAAAAGGAGGTCAGCTACAAAATGCACATTTTAACACCCCAAAGTTAACAACAACAACAAGCCTTAAACATTTCAAAAGAAAACATTCCTAAAGGAAGACAACATCTGCTTTATCTAGAAAAGCTAGTGCCCAACAGCCAATCCTGCTTTATTGCAGAGGTGGGGGGAAACTGGTCCCTCCAGATGTTGGACTCCCAACAAACCCATCCAGCGTAGCCAGTGGTCAGGGATGATGGGATCTGTAGTTGAGCAATGTCTGGGGTAGGCACAGCTTCCACCTGCTTTAGTGCAGTCAAATTGCCTTGGGAGCAGGCTTTCTTCTTAGGACAGTGGTACCTCCGGTTGCAGACGGGATCCATTCCGGAGCTCCGGTCAGATCCCGAGGTTTCCGCAACCGGAGGGACCGCTTCTGTGCATGTGTGCATGGCAAAACACTTCCGGGTTTGCCGCTTTTGCAACCCAAAGTTTACGTTACCCGAGGGTAACGTAAGACAAGGTGCTACTGTACCTACAAAGGCCACGGATGCCTGGCAGAATTATAAAGGCATTCTCTGACTAGGATGACTCTGACTTGTGTCCACTCACTTCAGTGGGTCTACTTTGAACAGGGCTCGTGTTGGATACAACCCTGTGCAACTTTAGGGTTGGTGTCCATCATTCAGACCCATCGAGGAAGCAATTCACAAGTGGAATAAATAAGCTTTTATCCTCCATTGAACCTGTCCTGAGCTGAAGGCCAGCCCTAATAACAATTCTGTCTCTTACAGCATCAGCATTACTACCTCCTGTTACCCCCTCCCTTCAATCTGTTTCCAAGACCCCGTAAGTGACTGGTTTGATAGCCTGGCCGAATGTTTGCACTGGAACGTCCGGAAAAAGCAGAACAACTTTGCTATAGATGAAGAAGAGGAGTTTTGAGTGTTGGCACTAGCAGAGGATCATGGGAGGCCGAATCCCTTCTGTACAAAAACATGTTTTTAAGCCTGTAGCTCTGGGGAGTAGACCAATATAATATAATATTATATAAATATATATATAATAACTTTTTTAAATACAGCAATGTACCTCATATCAGTCTGTTCTGCTGATGACCAGATATCATGTCGTTGTTTTTCTGTCTGTCGGGAGAGCTTGAGGTGAGAGAGAAATGAGCGGAGATACTTTTCGTCGGGGCACATTAGAAATGTCCGATGTTTGTTCGTCAATGTGCAATGTGTTTTCCGCACAACGTGTTTCCTAGAAAGAAGTTTTTGGTTTTTTTTGCAAAAGCCTTATTAAAAACGAATGATGTTTCCTTGGACTTTTGTTCCCGGTTATCGGCAAATCCCCAGATTCTCTTTATTGGCCACTGTGTGGGTCGGGCAAATGTTGGTTAAAGGGGCACTAAAAAGTTTTCTCTTACGTTTTTCAAATCTTCAGTTCTGTGCACTTATTTCTGGCAAAGTGAAGAGGATCAATCCGTTCTTGATTGCCACTCTTCCCCCCCCCGCCCCCTACTTTTTTCTTTTCTTTTCTGGCTCACAAGAAATGTGGTTTCATGGCTGCTTAGAGCAGGGATTCCTACCCCCACCCCAGGATATTTTCCCACCATCTTTGTTTAAATGTGTTTGTAGGAACTTTATTACACCTCCCTGATGGTGATCAAAAATAAGTAGGTCTTGTTGGGGGAGGGGGTTGGAAGGAGGGAGACAGGTTTTGAATTGCAGAAATTTGTCAAGATGAGTGTTCATAGATCAACTCTAGATGTGATCAGCAACATTAAGACAAAGGCGGCCTCTGTATGAAAGACGAAGTTGGGAATTGGTTGGACTGGGACATGCAGGCAGTTGTCACCTGTTGGGTGAATAACTGGGAACGTCAAATGCCTCCTTAAACCATTGCTGGTGAAATCACAAGGCCTGTGTGCCAAAAGCACTTGTGTACTTATGTGTACATACCTTTTGGTTTCAGCTGGGCTTGCACAGATGTTTCCTCTGAGCTGTGCAAAATCTGAAGGTTAAAACTTCACTGTCACATGAGAAATGTATTGGGATTCTTTAAAAAGGCAAAACAAAACCAGTACATTTTGGGGTTTCTACAGTTTCCAGACAAGCAGCCATTTTTGCCTGGATGGTTGACTCTCAGAAAAGCCACCCAAACTTCGGGTGTATCTTTTTTATGTGGCAGTGAGGGATTTGGAAAGTCTTATGCGAATGTGCTGGTGGGTGGCAACTTCCCCCTTTGCTGCTCTTTTGGGTCCTGGTCTGTGGATTTCTGCCAAGAACTAGGAGCTGTAGGCCGTAGTTTGCTGGGGCTTCCATTTCCATGGGGTTTCCAGTTTGCTCAGCCACACACGGAGGCATCGCCTTAGTGGTGAGCTTCGCAAACACAGCTATGGTATATAAGCAAGTCTGCAGGCCCAGCAATGTGTGTGTTTTCTGTGTCTTTAAAAACCCAACAAGGAGCAGTCGCCAAGCACCTATTAAATGACCCAGTCGGCAGAGATAGGCCAGGAGTCACAGCTGCCCTCAGGGAATGCAGGCTGGCTTGGCTGTTGCCTTTTTGGACCAGGGTAGCCAACGGAGTGTCTTCCAGACATGAAGGACTCCCATCTCCCATCAGCCCCAGCCAGCCTGATCAGTAGCCAGGGATGAAGGGAGTTTGTGTCCTCAGCATTTGGAGGTCATGACATTTGCTTACCCATGCTTTGGGCCACTAAGCCTTGCTTGCAGCTGCTTGGGATGGGGCCCTGAGTGCCTCTAGGCTAGAATGATGCTGGAGTGGGCGGCCATCATGTGAGAAATGTCCAGGCAGAGTATTAAGGGAGTTGTAGTACAGGAGTTTCCAATCAGAAGACCAGGAGATGTTCCTGGCACATTTCCTCTTCTTGTGTGGCTTCAGCACACTCTGATGTTGTTTGTTCATTTGAAGCTTTCTCATGGATCTACACTTCTAAATATATATTCCTGGCTTTTATGAAGATAGTTCAAAGGGGATGGTAAAATCTATTTATTTTCTGTTTTTGGACTTAGGCTTGGGTCTACCCCTTGCAATGGTACAAGGTGGTGGAATAATAGCTCGATAACTAAAGGTTACTGCTAAAGGGTTGCCCATTCTGACAGCCCTTCAGATAAAAGGGGGGGCGGGAATACAATCATGTGAACGGGAATCTGACCTGCCAGGGTTGTAGGGCTGACCTGTCACGCATGTTACTTTTCTGCTTGATGGTCTTGTGATCTGGTGTCAAGTTTTTTTTAAAAAAGGATCGCTCATGGTGCATCCTCCGCTTTGAAGTGGAACAGCCAGATCTCTGCCACATCAAGACTATACCACCTCGTGCCTCTGCATGTGTGTAGACTAAGCCGCTGAGGTTTACATGCATGTTCTTTAGCAGTATCGCCATCCCATGCCTCCTGCCTTATCCAAGCGCTTCTGCAGAGATCTTGAGAGCAATCGGATGCACTCAGCCAGTCCTTGTCTGTGGCACAAAAGCTTGATGGAAAGGGAGAGAGAGATTGCATGCTCCCTAAATGAATGTTGGGGTTTCGTGGCTGTCTTAGCATTATGGAAAGTGTGTGTTTCACCCACCCCTTTTGCAACAGGGATGAGGAGCCTGAGGGCCTGTAGATCCTGTTGGGCTACAACTCTCTGACCATCAGCCACTGAGGGTCTCAGGCTCTACAAACGGGTTTTACAATATACACCTGCGAGTTTCATCCAACCAAGTTTTGCTGAGAGTAAGCCCGTTGAAATGAACAGCCTTTAGTTACATCTGCTAATTTCAGTGGGTCTGCTTCTGAGTAGGAGAGAACCCTGAATGTTTTCTCTTTCCTCCCAAAGCAGATTTTCAGCTCTTGACGGTAGCGTCAACTGCACTAAATTGTGTTACGTGTATGTTATATATTTGTGAAAAGGCGACTGTTGTAAATGTTTTGTGTACTAGAATATTGGATTTGGGTTTGTTGGCCGGTTCTGAAATTGGGTCTGAATCAGGCAAAATGTTGTTGGCAACATTTGGGAAAGACGTTTCAACCAGCTTTTTAGATGCCTTGGTTTCGCTTATATTTTATAGTATGATTATGTTACCACTGGGTTTTTTAAGTCACGGGTTTTCTAGATGGCAGAGAGTGCACTGTTTTTGAATCACAGTCTTGCTTTCTAATCTGTGAAAATAGAGCTTTGCTTTAAAAAGGCAATGACCTCCCCCCCCCCCGACACCCTTAGATGCAAGAATTAAGAAAAGGAACAGAATAAAGGACTTCAGGTTGTAGCCAGCAAAGCCCTCCTGCTCAGAGTAGACCCACTGAAATTAATAGACCTAAGGTAGTCGTGTCCATTAACACCAATGGATCTAACTCAAAGTAGGGCTGGTATTGAATAAAACCTTTTGATATGAAGTCTGTTGAAGGATTAATATGCTGAGGAAAGACTCATTTGCAGATGACATGACAAAATAAAACAAGCCTTATTTAGAAAATCTGGGAGTTTATTTTTTTGGTAAACTCCCCCCAACCCAAAATAAAATAATTTGGCATCTTTACTGCTTCTTATTATTTAAACTAGTAATGTTTCTCAGAATATTTAAAAAAGCAACCCTGGATTCTTTTGTTTTAAGTAAAGATTTTATATAAGGTCTCCCCAAAAAGTCTTGCATTACTGCCTCCAAACTTGATTCAGTTTACGAATGAGATCTTATAGTGCAAAGGTGAGCTTTAACTTGCTGTGCTGGGATCCTGAGCAAATATCCCCCTCCCCTGTTTTCCTGATTTAATTGGTTGTCTCCTAACCTAATTGCTGCAGGCAGGCCGACGGGGGAGCAGGCAACAGAACCTCTCAGAAAGGCAAGCAGCCTAAAAAAATTGTACCTGGACCTTCTGGCTGTACTGTTGCAATTAAAGGTGGTATCCTGGGTGTGGCTAGAGGTGCATTTTTGCTCCCTCGCTTTCAGTACTAAGGGGTGGGGGACCTTTAGTCCTCTGGGTATTGCTGGACTACAGCTCTCATCAGCCCCAGCAAGCATGGTCAGTGGCCAGGGATGTCAAGAACTGTAGTTCAGCAACATCTGGAGGGCCAAAGCTCCTGCCACCCTTGCAGTGCACCATTGCCTTAAGGCAGTTCATGGGGGCCTCATCTGGTCCTTGCATCTGCTGTTGGGAACTGCTGTCTGTCCTCTGCAAGGTTGAGAGTTTGGCTGGGCGCCATCCCATCATGTGGTTGGGCACTGAGCAACAAGGCCTGTTTGATTTTCTGCAGTTCTTGCAGGTCTTCCTCTTTAGCCGCTGATTGGAAAGGAAACTGGTTCCCAAGCCAGTTTCTGTTCAAGCGAAGGGCTCCCATAGTAAAACCCCATTTAACATTAACACTACAGCCATCGCTTCTCCTGGGAAACAGACAATCTGCCGACGGTTGTCGGTTGCGCAGAGCTTCATTCTACATGCTACCTGCCATGGGGAATATTAAAGCCCCGTTTTCTAGGCTGAGAAAATGAGTAAGCAGAAGGTGTAGGCAAGGAGGGAGCAGGAGAAGTTAAAAGCTAGGTTCTCCTTATTGCAACTCCTCCTCAACACTGTCCTCTCAAGGAAGCACCAAAGCTGAGGTCAACAAACACCACCTTCCTATATTCTGAGTTCTTGTTTCAGCTAAGTAGCTGGTGGGGTTTTTTGACTTGTTTTTGATTTGCTAGGTATTTAGATCTCAATCTCTCCCTGCCCACCACCCCTTCATGGGCAGGTTGGATGAGTAAAAACAAGCAGCTAGCAGAATGGTGAACCGATAGATCAGCTTGCCGGGAAAGTTGCAGGATGGGAGTCCTGACCGGAAGGTGGAAGTACAGTCAGGCGAGGGGACTATTCACAGGGAGTCACCGTAGAATCATTGCCGAGTTGGAAGGGACCTTGGGTCCCTTCTGCACTGCAGAAATAAGTAGGTGTGCTGAGAATATGGCATGTCGGTTGGATCTCCAAAGAGGTCCTTGGCTTTTGCTTTAATTCAGTGTTAGTTAAAATGTCGGGGGGGGGGGTGTGAACAGGTCTGATCATCCACCAATCCAATAGGCTCCCCACTTGTCTTGTGTGACTTCTGCTTGGAAGACCTGCTGACATCCCTGGCCTAAGCCTGCTCCTTTTCCTTTACAATGCTTTGCATAGGTGCCCATTCCAGGCCTCCTAAAACATGGCAGCCTTGTTGGGTGTAGCAGAGAAGGGAATACACAGTCCCACAGATGCTGCTAGAATCCAACCTCCCATCGTCCCCAACTATTGGCCTTGCTGGCTGAGGCTGGGGGGATTTGGCGGGGGGGGGGGTTGTATACCTACTCAAGAGCAGACCCCTTGAACCCAAGTTTGTCAAGGTCATTAATCTCGTTGGGTACAACTCTGGGAGTCTAGTAACACCAGGAGGTCCACAGGTTCCTTAGCCCTGGAGTAGGCCTGATGTGGTTCATTCATTGTGTGTCAGAGGTCCCCCGCCCCTCCAAAGAGGCAAGCCTTGTTTTACTCTAAACTTTAAAAGTGTTGATGACATGGCACACCGCCCAGCGTTCCGAACTTTATAAAGGAAAAATTAAAAAAGCCTATTGTTTCATATTGTTACCGCTTTGAAAAAGACTTGTTAAATATTGCTGAGAGAGCAAAACTATTTTCCAGACCTTTTCAATAAACCATTTTTTTTTCAAAGTTGGTGTTTGTGCCGTAGCATTTTTTAAAATAAAAATTATTTGCTCTTTGCAAGGCATTAAAACACAGTGCCTTGTTGCAGGGGGCCCACAAGTAAAGGAAATAAGAGTTATGTCTTGGTTAATCTCAGAGGTTTGTAGAAGGGGAGAGAGAGATCAAGACTGGGCCTACTGCATCAGTCCTCTTAATGTCCCATCTGCTTTCATGTTTTCAGCAACGGTGAACCAATCTGCCCTTCAAATGTGCTGGGCTCCCAACTTCCCATCATCCCTTGCCACCATGGCCATTCGTCAGGGATGACCAACCACATGGGCTATCTCTGGGTTGAGAAGCACCATGGAAACTAGAGAGTGTAAGAGGAATCTGCTGGATTAATCCAATGAGCCACCTATTCCAGCATCCTGTTCTCACAGTGGCAAATCAGATGCCTGTGTAGTAGAAGAGTGCTCTCCTTTCCTGCGTTTTCCACCAACTGGTATTCAGAAACTGCCTCTGACCATCATGGCTAATAGCCACTGAAAGCCTTACCCTCCATGAATTTGCCCACTCAAAGCCATTCCAGTTGGCGGCCATTTTTCTTGTAAGCGGAAGCTCCCATGAGGGTTAACAGTTGGCGGGAGTGCCACCATTTTGAAAGATTAAAGGGAAGTGGAAACATTACAGGGAACATGGGTTGGGAATGAGCCCGCTTTCCATTGAGGAAAGGTTACCCTTCCAATAGACGGATAATTGTTCGTTTTGTCACAAGTATGCCATGGTGTTCCTTCTAAAGGGCGATGTTTGTGCAGAGTTTTTGGTGGTTGAGATATAACAGGCGGGAGCAAAGTAAATAGAAAGGAGAGATGTGGAAAGAACTCTTAAAAATAAATAAACGGCAATCTTTTTTGTGGAATGGGAAGGGAGGAGATTTTTTCTACGCAGCTCGTTGGCTTTCAACAAGAACTGAGTCGATCGAGGCAAACAAGGATTGAGCAAACCCCACTGTGTGGCAACTAACAATGAAAGTAATGGGCAGTATGTAATCTCACTATGTGCAAATTTAATATTTTGGGGTTCTTTTTAATTGCTTCCTTTTTGGATAGGCATCGCTGAAAAACAAACAAACCCTCCAATTGGTGGCATTGACACTTTATTGAAAAATACAAGGCCAGTAACAAACCTCTTAATAAATTAACAAAGCTTTGAATTACTGTATTAAACATTCTTTTTCCTTAATTAAAAAAAACCACCCTCACTGCTGTTGAAAAGCGCATCAGTTAAGACACTCACATAGGCTTGGTTAGTTTGAAAAATTAGGACCAAAATAATAATTTAGGGTGTGAGGGGAAGAAATCAGGTTAGGAGGCAGAGAAATTATTTGGGATTTAGCAAGAAGTCAGCCACACGAATACCGACAGAAGCAAACTGCTGAAGCTTTAGCAAGTGGGAGGTGGAAGCACTGTCCAAGCAGCTTGTGGGCAGCTTCAAGGAAAGTGTCCCACAGACACACACACAACTTGGTGCCTTCCAAATATTCAGGGCTACAACTCCTATCAGCCCCAGCCAGCACAGCTGGGGTTTGTAGGCCAGAACATCTGGAGGGAACCAGGTTGGCAAAGGCTGTCCTTGAAACAAAGGCTTCCAAGGCAAAGCATCTCGCAGGCACCAAGACACCCAGCTCTGGATGCATGGTTTCCCTAAACGGGCAAAAAAACAGCCTGTGCCTCCGTGGGGCTTGGGGAAGGTCTACCTTCCCTTTGTAGCACTGCAGGTTTTGTTCCATGGAACAAAGCGGCAGACTCCCATCGCTGAGGGTTGATGTGTGTTCAGCTGTCTTTTTGAGGAAAGTGGGGTAGACAAGCCCACAAGGGCCTCTAGGGGGGCCTATTAAGCCAACAGGAAGACTGGGGCCAGCGTCAAGCTGGCCATGCTGCTCCAGTTTTCTTGAGAGCCCCGTGTGGAAGGAGAGCTCTCCCCAAAGTGCTGTAGGCCGAGCATTTCCAGGGTGGGGTAGGATTAGCAAAGGCATGGAGGAGCCTGTGGGACCCGCCCCCCCCCCCCCAGTGTTCTTGCAACACTCAATAGCCCCAGCCAACAGTCAGGAATGTTGGGAGCTATAGTTGAACATATGGGGAATTGCCACAAGCTGCTCACCCCTTGCTTTGGTGCAGGTGTGTGGGGAAGCCTCTGGTTGTTTGCTGAACTACAACTCCCACTGGACATTCAAGCTGGTGCTGATGGGAGCCGGGAGTTCGGCACAGCTGGTGGGCCAGAGCTTCCCCACACAGCAGCTTTAGTGCCACCTTCCAGATGCTGGTGGTCAGGGATGGTAGGCACTGGGCAGCAACATCTGGGGAGCCACAGATTCCTCATGCCTGTCTGAATCTCTCTCCTGTTTTAAGGCACAGACATACTCCTTGGAGTCAGATTCTGGAGTTGGCTGGGGTGGGGGGCAGCCCTTCTCCATGCAACCTTTGGGGAAGGTGCCTTCCCTTTGCCCCAAATCTTCAACCATTCTGATGGTGCTGAATCAGCCACTCTTCCTGGGGCAAAACTGGAACTTGAGGCTCTCCTGTTTCTCAGGCCCTCGACCATCCACCAAAGGGTTGGGACCAGAGGCCAAGAGTGCCAAGACACGTAAAAACAGTGTGTCTTGCCACTGTGAAGGTCTTCAGCAGCACGGAAGCCAGCAGGTAACTTCAGCACACACCAACATCAGTACTTGAGTACCAGGGCTATAGGTTATAGGCTAGATGGGGCTGGCCAGAGGGGTCACGGTGGTTCTGCAGTTTGAGCCCTATTTCCAGTTTCAAACCAAACACACCCATTTGGATTTGGGTTAATGGCAGGCAAGATGGCTTTGCAACCGCAGAGGCGCTGGGTTTCGAGCGGCCTTTGCTGAGCTTGTGCCCATGAGATGTTTTGGACTACAACTCCCATCAGCCCCAGCCAGCGGTGCCTGGTGCTGATGGGAACTGCAGTCCAGAACATCTAGAGGTGGTGCGTCCCAAAGGCTGCATGTGGTCCTCGCACAACTTTTTAAGTAGCCCACGAAAGCATCAAGCTGCCTCTGGTTTTCTTCTGCTAGATTTCTAATCTTTGGTTCTTATGTGGGAGGCATAAATTTCACTGGATGGGGCTGTCATCTTAAAACAGATAAAACTTTGGAGGATTGTCAGCTCCTCATTTGCCAGGATGAGGCTCTCGGCAGTGAAATACGGCAAATGAGGGCGTACAGTGCTGGGGCTGTCACTTAGGCCCTCCCCGCCAGGTTTGCAATGCCCAAAGCTAATCTAGGTGTAGGATTGCGCTTGAGGAAGAAAGCACCAAATGAATGGTCCGTTGGCAACACTCACCCTTGGGAGGCAAGCCACGGCAGGAGGGGGTCGTCGTGGCAGCTGTTTCGAAGGCGGGGTAATGGGTGAAGTGGTATCTAGCGTAAACAAACAAACACACCGGAGGAATCTTGACAGGGTTGCTGCATGCAGGAGCTGTTTGGCAAAAGGACTCAAACTTGATGGAGCAGAGTTCCCGCAGCAAGCCCCAGGAGGTGGAGGGTTGTGCAAACATCTTCTGTTGAACTGTGGGCAAGCTGCTCCTGCTACGACCTGCCTTTCGGAGCCCCACTTTCTTGGGTCGGAGCAGGGAGCTGATCTCCCGCAGCACACCTTCACTTTGTAAGAGTGCTGCCTCGCACCCGGAGAAGGCATCGTGCTTCACGAGTCAATCCTTCCATAGGAAGAAAACACTGCAGAGGTGGGGAAAGGAGTCGCGGTAAATGATAGGAAGAATCTCACCATTTTTAAAAGAACGTTAAAAGAGCCTGCTGGATCAGGCCAGTGGCTCATCTGCTTCGGCATCCTGTTCTCACAGTGGCTCAATGGGAAGCCCACCAGCAAGAGTGCAACAGCGACTCTCCCTACTTGCAATTCCCAGGCAACTGGGATTCAGAGGCATACTGCCTCTGACGGTGGAGGTATCACAAAGTCATCCTGGCTAGCTGGCCATTTCTTAGTATGCTAGGCAGCTCCTTCTGTAGCCACTTTGGCAATACACACTACACTGATGCTGCAGGGAAGGCACACCGAATGCACCGGGTGTTTTGTGCTGATTGGTGGCCTTCTCTATCAATCAGCATGCCGTCTCCATCATTTGGATGGGCTAAATGAGGCTCCTTCCTCAAGTGCCCAGGAGCAGCTAGCATTCCATCAGGCTATAGCAGAGGGTGAGGAAGAGAGCACTGCAGAATCTCTCCATCAGCTCTGCTGGCTCCATCAGGTTCCTCTCTGTTGCCAGCCATTCCAGGAGGCTGCATCAGAGGGAGAGAGATGGGAAGCAGGGCTGCTGCATCAACTTCAGTGGAGAGACCAGCAACTGACTGCACTGGCTGCCATTTGGTTTCTGGGCCCAACTCAAAAGTGCTGGTTTTGACCTACAAAGTCTTAAAACGGCACAGGACTGCAATACCTCAAGGACCGCCTCTCTCCATATGAACCAACCCAGACTCTGCACTCATCATCTGAGGCCTTTCTTCATGTGCCTCCTCCACGAGAGGTCTGGAGGGCAGCAACACGAGAACGAGCCTCTTCTGTGGTGGCTCCCCACTTGTGGAATGCTTTCCCCAAGGAGGCTCGCCTCACACCTTCATTCCATATCCTTAGGTGCCAGGCAAAAACATTCCTCTTCTCCCAGGAATTGGCGAATTAAACAATCTGTGGCCTTTAAACCTTTGTACAGGGGGTTATTGTTTCTGTTATTAAGGTATTGTTTTTGTAAACTGTCCAGTTATCTTCGGATGAAGGGTGGTATAGAAATTTAATAAATAGTAATAAGTTTCACTCCTCCACTTCTCCTTGAACTCTCTTCCATTCCAGCTAAAAAGGGTAAAGGGCCCCTGACCATTAGGTCTAGTCGCGGACGACTCTGGGGTTGCGGCGCTCATCTCGCTTTATTGGCCGAGGGAGCCGGCGTACAACTTCCGGGTCATGTGGCCAGCATGACTAAGCCACTTCTGGCGAACCAGAGCAGCACACGAAAATGCCGCTTACCTTCCCACCAGAGCGGTACCTATTTATCTACTTGCACTTTGACGTGCTTTCGAACTGCTAGGTTGGCAGGAGCAGGGACCGAGCAACGGGAGCTCACCCCGTCACAGGGATTCGAACTACCGACCTTCTGATCGGCAAACCCTAGGCTCTCTGGTTTAACCACAGCGCCACCCATGTCCATTCCAGCTAATCAGTACTAAAACCTCTGTAAGACCTCCAGCCTGAATTTGCCTTCCAATCCCAATCCCTTTTCCTTTTCTGTCGTGCCTTTTAGATTGTAAGCCTGAGGGCAAGACTTATCTTACTACTGAGTTTTGGAAACTGCTCTGGGAGCCTTCTCCTCCCACCCATCCACCCTAGCTGCAGAGCAGGGTAAAATGCTTCAAATAAATACATGCCAGCTGCTTAATATGAATTTGGACAGGGGGAGATAAAGTTCTTTTCACTCTGCCCAGCCAGATGCTCCAGTGAAACCCATGAGCTGGGCATGATTGGTCCATCCTGCTCCCATTGCCTTCAATCCCTGAATTCTCTGGGCTTTTCTATGTACGTGTCCGTTTGTTTTTCCTCCCCCTGGATTAATCTCCTCCAATACTCACTCCTTTCTCTCAGCCCTTGCCCAAAGCTGTGGTAGACATGGAACAACGCCCAGAACAGGACACTTTTGATCATCACAGAGATGCAGGAACAGGTGATGACAGCCGCTTCCAGCGCATAGGAACTCCCTTGTCCCCACTCTTCGATCACCTGGGAAGAAAGCACATTCCACGTAAAGAAATACCATTTTCAGAGAGAGAAACGAAAGGAGTGAAATGGGCAGGATGGACAATTGTCCCATCTACCCAATGTTGCAGCCGGGGGTGAAATGATGCACCTGCAAGAGAAGTGATGCTTGGGAAGGAAGAGGAGAGGCAATGGAGGCCCCACAACAAGTGAGTATAAAACAATCTAGAAGACAGGCTCTGGGGCAATTTGCAATGCCAGAGGAGACAGAAACATTTTGCTGGTGGGGCACTGTGGTTAAGAGTGTTGCTCAGGAGAGAGAGGTTCAAATCTCCACTCAGCACTCTTCCTCGGTCTAACCTATCTCACAGGATTGTCATTAGGACAAAATAGATTTCTCCTTGGAAGAGGGACAGAATACGTATGTAATGAATAACATGGGAAGCCAGCTGGTCCTCAGTCAGGCCATTGGGCTGCCTAGCTCAGGACTGTCCACAGTGACTGGCAGTGGCTTTCAGGCAGGAGTCTTCCCCCGCCCCCAGCCTTAGCTGGAGATACCACTGAGAACTGGACCTTCTGCAAGCAAAGTGGATGCTCTATGACTGAGCTAGGGCTTTTCCTTAACATAGGAAGCTGCCTTCCACCAAGTCAGACTATTGGGTCCAGGTGGCTCAGTGACTGGTGGCAGATCTCCATGGTTTTGAGACAGGGGTCCTTCGCAGCCCTGTCCAGAAATGCAGGGGATAAGCAGCTGCTCTGCCACTGAGCTCTGGCCCTTTCCAGAGCTACTGCCAGCATGTATGGATACAGCAGGAATGGCAGGAGATGTCCCTCCTTCCTAGCCTGGATATTGTCACTGACTCTGCTCCTGGACCTGATCTGGGATGGAAGCATGTTTCAAGGGGGCAGGCAGCAAGACAGCCAGAACTGCCACTGAAATTGGCTGTAACTTCTAAGAACTCAGGCTTGCGCTTGCTATCTCCTTCTCCCTCCCCTTCCTTTTTCCTCATGTGCTATGTCTTTTTTTAAAAAAGATTGCAAGCCTGAGTGCAGTCTCAGGACTTTGTAAGCCACTCGGAGGGTTTTCAGGCTAAAGGGTAGAGTTTGAATGTCATAAGTAAATAAACAAGCAAGTAAGTAAGTAAGTAAGGCTCAGGAGAAAACATGGAAATTCCTGGGAAGAATTTAAATCATGTTACTGACAGCAACTGAGAGCAGACAGGGAAGGGGAAGCGAAAGGGAAAGGGAAAGGGAAGGAAAGTGTGTATAGTTCTGGTTGCCTCAATTCAAAAAAAGATATTGTTGAGTCAGAAAAAGATTCAGAAAAGGATGGCGCAACTCTCCTACAAGGAAAGACTGCGGCATTTCATACTTTTTAGCTTAGAGAAAATGCAAGTAAGAAGCGATGAAATAGAAGTTTATAACATTATGCATGTCGTGGGGAAAGTGGAAAGTTTTTCTCCCTCTCTTTTAACATCCAATGAAGCTGAATAATAAAAGATTCAGGATAAATGAAAGTCCATCTTCATGCAACACAGTGTTAAACTATGGAGCTCACTCCCCCAGGAGACGTCCACCAAGTTGGATGGCTTTAAAAGAGGATTAGATAAATTCACGGCGGAAAGGGCTATCGCAAGATACTAGCCATGATGGCTGTGCTTGTAATGCTTCTGAACAGTTGCCGGAAGCCACAGAAGAGGGAGAGGCCTCTTGTTCTCGGATCCTGATGGAAGGTTTCCCAGAATGGGCATCTGGTCAGCCACTGTGAGAACAGGATGCTGGACTAGATGGGCCGTTGGCTTGACCAGCAGGCTCACCATATTTATGAAAACTAATGACATCCCCCCCAGAAAAAAATGTTCTAGTTTTTTGTTTGTTTTGAATGGCAGTGAAAAACAGAATGTGGGACAGCCGTCCAACAAGAGCACCATGCCCTAAAATCTCTTGTGTTGTCTCTCTCACTTCCACCTTGGACTTGCAATCCCAATCCCTTCACCTCCGCTGACCTTCTCGTCTCCCACGCCCACTCCTTCCTCCCAACTAGCCAGGCCAGTTTGACCTTTCCCATAAAGCTCTGCTGCTTTCCACACAGCTGTGGCGAGAGAAGAAGCTGTCAGATGGCTGGTTTTTGGAAAGCATTGCAGTCCTTGAGATCCCTGTGCTGCTGCTGCTGCTGCTGCTATAACATCAAGAAACCAACCACCCCTCTGTCTCTGAAGAAAGTGAAAAGCTTTCCAGTTTCAGTGCAGCAACCAATCCGAGCCGCTGGTGTGTGAACAAATCATTCTGAAACAGCAGGTTTCATTTCTGTTGTGTTAAGTGCCAAGATGATGGCTCCCTAGGGGAGCAATGAGATGCCAACTCTGTTCCCAAAGGATCACGGGAGTCTCATGACTGGGCTAAGTTTCTGTTGGCTGGTACAGGAACAAAGGGAGCTACCGCATTCAGAGTCAAATAACTGGTCTGCCTAGCTCAGTATTGTTTACATCAGGCTTCCCCAAACTTGGGTCTTCAGCTGTTTTTGGACTACAACACCCATCATCCCTAGGTAGCAGGACCAGTAGTCGGGGATGTCTGGGAGTTGTAGTCCAATAATAGCTGGCGACCCAAGTTTCGGAAACCCTGGTTTTAGACAGGAGACCTCTCCCAGCCATACCTGGAGGTGCCAGGGACTGAACCTGGGACCTTCCACTTGCAAGACAGATGCCCTACCACTGAGTTACCCAAACAAGAGTCTGTCTTATGAGACAGACTATCGGTTAATCTAGCAGTGCAACTGCACCTCTCCTTGGATAGAGGTAAAGATGGTGTTGCAAGGAGGGGAAGGGGTCACCCGGCCCAACCTGCCCCGCTTCAGCCAAAAAGATTCTCTGAGCAGCTTCCGAAACGAGCTCAAAGATGGCCCTTCCTTGCCCCCCACCCCACCCCTGTTCACAATCTCATAAAGCATGCAAGGAAAAAGGGAAGGGGAGGGAAGAGAGAAAAGAAAGCTCAAGCACAAAACCTTAATGCTACCGTGCCGAAGGCAGAGACCGTCCCTTCGGCTGAAAAGTGGGGCAACACTTTAAATACACAATCTACCGGACCTCCTGGCTTCTGTGCCTTTTGGAGAAATTATCTGTGGGTGAAACTTCTGGGGCTCTTCCCTTCTAATCCCTTGTTTATTCCTGCTGATACACGTTCAGAGCTGGCTGCCTGAGGACCGTCTCTGTGATGCATTTTTTAAAAAGTGAGAGGGTTGTTGCTGTGTCTGAATTTTCCCTGCTTTGCCTTGACCGGAAGCAAAATCCCAGGGCGCCCTGACACAGAGGGATTTCAGAAGCCTTTTGAGCACCCTGACGCTAACCCCCGGATGCCTGGCGATGGCGGGACGTGGGAGCGTTTGGCCGCAATCCTGGAATGTTCTGAGCCCGGCTTGAGTTAACCGCTTCCAAGGGCGAGCAAAAGTCATTGGAAATGTGGGAGCAGCACCGGATGGGCATCTGTAGTGCATTTTTCTCAGGGGCTTTTGGATTAAATAAGCCACACATACACCCCACTTAGTGGGGGGACAATAATTTATTAGTCCCACCATTTTGAGTGTTTATCTTGTTGGGTCTATTGGACCAATTCAGATGCTCATGTTAAACTTGCAATGGTTGGCCTTTTTGAGTCCTAAAGTATGCATGTTGTGGTGGAATAAGAGCCACACATTCACTCTTCTCCCAGCCCCACTGCAACTTCTGTACAAAGAGTTGTGGGACCTAAGCTTGCCCTAATGGTACATTGAGCTCTCAGCATCCTCCCTGCGTCCCCTGCCAGCTGATTGGCACTGGGCACAGCCAAGAAGCAACAGGATTGGTGTACTAGTCAGCTCTCCCTCTCCCGCTTCTCCCTGTCCCCATTCCCCAGCTGTGATTGGTGCTGTTGACTACATTAAAAAAGGTAAAGGGTAACGGGACCCCTGACCATTAGGTTCAGTCATGACCGACTCTGGGGTTGCAGAGCTCATCTCGCTTTATTGGCCAAGGGAGCCGGCGTACAGCTTCCGGGTCATGTGGCCAGCATGACTAAGCCACTTCTGGCGAACCAGAGCAGCGCACGGAATCGCCGTTTACCTTCCCGCCGGAGCGGTACCCATTTATCTACTTGCACTCTGATATGCTTTTGAACTGCTAGGTTGGCAGGAGCAGGGACCGAGCAAGGGGAGCTCACCCCGTCGCGGGGATTCGAACCGCCAACCTTCTGATCGGCAAGTCCTAGGCTCTGTGGTTGAACCCACAGTGCCACTCGCGTCCCGTTGACTACACTGCCCGCCCCCAAACAGAGGCTGAGGAGAAGGAAGGTACATGGGGAGAGCCATTCTTGTGGGTTTTCTTCCCTCAGGTAAATCGTGCTCCAAGCAGCAGTCACCAGGCAACCCAGAGTGGGGGCCCTGTGTGAGATAAGATGGCGCCCAGCACACTTCCCCTGTGCTGATGGACGCTAGTGCCGATAGGAAAAACTTGAACTCTTAGCAGAGTTCTGCAGCGGTAGAAAGTGTTGCCTTGTGTGCGGATAATAAATCAGACTGAACGCAGGCTTCTTGCTAATCTCTAACAGCCTTTAATGAGAAGAAAACATCATAAATCTGTCCTGGCGAGAGAGCAGGCATTTCTCTCGCCTCTCAGCCAAAAACAAAAGGAAACTCACACACAAAGAAAGATTCCCGTATGTGAACCAAACCACGCCTCAGAATGTGAGACGTCACACAGAACTGTTTAACCCTGTAAGTTCTGATTCTCCTCACACCCTGTATGGGTCAGATGCAGCCCACAACTCCCCCCCCCCCCCGCCCTGTGGGACCTACTGTGGCTTAAGTGCCTGGGAATTAGCCAACGGCTAGTGCACTCTCCTCTCCCTTCTCATAAAGATAAGGCACAAAACACAGTTTCCTGGTACATAGGAAATGTTAACGAAGAAACCGGGAGTTGGGTCCAATGCCCACCTTACTCAGGGTAGGCTGTCTGCAGTTAACAATCATGCCTAACCTAGGCCTATTCAGTTCAATGGGTCTCCTCTGAGGAGGACTTGGCTGGATACAAGATCTGAAATGTCAGGTTTGTCCCAGAGGAGTTTGGATCACGTTGATAGTCGGTATCGGCTGCTTCGATTTTGCATATTTGTCCACACAGCCTAGACCTGGAACCATAGGGGCTAGCAACCTTCCTTCTTAAAAATAAAGCGTTAAAACCACCCAACTTTACATGGTGAGACGGCCAGTTGCCTGCACTCTGGGAACACGCAGCCCTTCCTTCAGAACAGCCCCTACAGAAAAAGGGCCCACACGAAGGCAGCCAAGCCAGGGGCTTAACTTGCTTGCACTAGCAATCAGCATCTTGAGGACTGGAAGAATTCCCCCTGCCCTTCCTTCTCATTAAATCAACAAAACCCTTGGCACGACTTACCGTGTAGATCAGGTAGGCGAGATAAGCAACCTCAGGCAAATTCTGACTCAGAAAAATCCAGGCTAGAGGTTTTAACTCTTTTAATATCTGGGAAACAGGTGGGGGGGGGGGGAGAAATGAACTGAGTTAGCTGCACATACATTGGCTGGGTCTGCTTTAGCTATACGTACATCTAGCTTCCTCTCAAAGTTATCATAAGCATCCCATCAAAGGCTGTGGGGCAGAGCTAGGGCAGCCCCCCACCCTGCTTCCCCTACTGGTAAAACTAGCAGGCAATCAGAGCAAGGAGCCTTCCTCCTCCTTCCCAGGCCAAGAGGTGGGCAATCCCAGACACTTCAGAGCCAGCCAACCCTCACCCCCATGCTGGAGAAACCACCAGCAGCTGAACAAGGCAATGGCACTTTCAGGCAGTGGGGGCGAGACCTCCGGTCTGTGAGTTGAATGTGGCCCCCAGCCCTCTCAACCTGGCCCTCAGAACTCTCCCCTGGCCCCGAGTGGTGCTGCCAGACTGAAATGTGCCCCTGAACTCTGATCATGCTTCTTTCTTGTCTATATGGAGCAGAGAGAGTGGGTACGGGCTTTTTGGGACCTGAGCTACTCCACAAAGGTAATGTTTAACTCTGTTGCCCCCCCTTTTGCCTCTGGTCCCGCCCACCATTGGCATGCAGCCCCCGGAAGGCTGCCCAGAAGGGACTGCGGCCCTCGGGCTTAAAAATGTTCCCCGTCCCTGCTTCAAAAGGGGAAAGGTGGCTCCTTGGAGCTGCAAGACTAGGCTGGCCACGATGCAGAAGGCTTTTGCAAGTCACTGAAGCAAAAGCTCCCTTTCAGGCAGTGCTTGGTTCAGGGAATTTCACCTGGCCTTGGCCTTGCCTAAATGCAGTCGAGCCACATCTGTGTCTGCCTGAAGAGGCACCACAAGCGTAGCCTGCTTGGAGCCCAACTAGCACAAAAGGGGACGGGACAGACAGCCCCTTTCCCCATATAGCTGTAACAACAGATTCTGGCATCTGGCAAGACAGTATCCAGGGCTCTGTGGATCCCTCAGAAATGGAACAGGATCCGATTCAGGATGCAGAGTCCAGCATCACAGAACTGTCACTATCTTTTCTTTCTAGCCCTCGTGATTGCGAAGAGCGTGCTAGAATCTGAAGGGCCAGACGCATAATTCACATAGCTCACGCCAAGTTGCAGAACTTTGCAATTTATGTTAGTGCTTTGGCACAGACTGCTGCTCTTTCTAAAAAATAAATAAATCAGGGCCCAGCATTTCTTAGAGGAAATGTCTCTGGTTTACCCCTAGGAAATGCCCATTTGATCAAGGAGGGGGAGGGGAGGCGCACTCACAGCAATGATGCCACAGACAACTTTCAGCCCAGCCCAGAGAATCCCAACCGCCAGGAAGATGCTGTGCAGAACTGAGATCTCCCGAATAGAGGTGAGCAGCAGAACGCACAAGCAAAGCTGGAAGGCAAAAAGAGAAGTCTAAGAGGTTACAGCAGCTGTAGACGTCCCCTTCCTGTGCCCCGTAACCATTTGCAGCTCATGGTCTGTTCTGTTGGGTAACTCACTCACTTTCCAGAAAGGCAGGCCATTTCATGACCTGCGCTGGGGTCTTTCATAGAATTGTAGAATTGAAAGGGACCCTGAGTTTCATCTAGCCCAATCCTCCGCAATGCAGGAATATGCAGTTGTCCCATAAGGGGATCGAACCTGCAACCTTGGCCTTATCAGCACCACGCTCTAGCCAACGGAGCTATCAAGACTAGAAGGAACACTTAACAAAAATGCAGCTATTCAGGGTTCAGCCCCTCCAAGTGACCATTCAGAAGTGCTCTGCAATTTTAAGAAAACTGGTGCCTGAGGTCCACTGATTTCAGTGGGCCTACTCAGAGTTAAACGCAAGATGCAACACCCATGCTACATGCTTTTTTGTAAAAACACGTTTAACCAAACTCTCAATTTCCTCGGCTTTTTATTTTTATACGAGTTGCCTTGCGTGTACCTTGCAGAAAAGCAGTTGAGAGAAACGCAGGAGGCATAGTTGGGAAACAGACGGGCTAAGGGATTCAGGCTGTGGTTTGGACTGAGGCCTGGGCCTACCTGAGCCTGGAGGTCAAAGGTCAGCATGGAAAAGCAGAGGTTGAGCATGAAGTATTGGGCCTGGAGGCTCTCCAAGGCCCCGCCCACCCGGAAGGCCATCATGCTTTCGGTCTGAATGAGGACCACGGCGCAGATCACGTCGAAGGCACCGACTAAAAGGATCAGGACAAAGCGGGCCTTAAGAGGGAAAATGGAAGCAAGACCGTCAGAATGGACCACACGCCCCTGCGGCAGCAGAAGAACCTCCACCAGATTCAACGTGTTTGACTAAGAAAACGGAGAGAAGTGTGAATACTGCTGATGGCTTGGCAAGAGGTTGAAGAGGAAGGATGCAAGCTGGCAGAATTCACTAGGATGCTCCACATGTAAGGTCTCACCTGCACCGCACATATCAAGCAACACCATGCCTCTTTAAACAGTCGTGGCTTCCCCCAAAGACTTACGGGAAGTGTCATTTGTTATGGGCGCTGTGCATTATTAGGAGATCTCCCTGTTCCCCCTCAAAGACCTACAATTCCCAGAGTTCTCTGGGAAGAGGGACTGGCTATTAAACGCCCCCCACCCAGGAACTGTAGTTCTGCGAGGGGACTAGGGTCTCTCCAAACAGCTCGCAGGAGTCTTTTGACGGAAGCCACAGCTGTTCAAAGTGCTGTGACGCCGCTTTAAATGTACCGTGCAGGTGGGGCCTAAGCAATGCAATCTGAGCAGCACAGAAGCAGGAATTCAAATTCCACGCGGACGAAAGATTGGAGCCTGCTCTGAACAGAGGGAAAGTCCAGACCTGCCCCTCTCCTGAATCATAAAGTACTCTGCTGCCTCTCCTAGCCTGCACCATGTCTAAGCTCTTTGGGAGCAAGTTTATCCCTCCATCAAAGGTGACCTGCAAGGGCCTGAAGTGTACCGGTTTCGGGCAGCTTACATTTCTGCTCTCCCTTCTCAGTTCCAAATCAGTTATGCATCTTTCTAAAAGGGGGGCAGCCATCTTCTTAAAACCAGGGTGCAGCAAAGAGAGAGATTTGTTAGAAGGTGATGCAGGAACATCACAGCACACACAACCCTGGGCTGAACTAGGCTGACAACAGGCCCCAGAGTGATCTTGCACGATCTAGGAAGCTCCCGCCAGGCCCTTGGTTCAAGGCAAAGACCCAACCGCTGACCACTCACGAGCAGTTTGGGCTTCTGCTCGGCAGGCAGGACGCTGAAGTTGACGACTGAGCGCAGCATGACCAGTGAGACGGAGAGGACGAAGACGATGAGCTCCTGGCGGTTCTCTTGCAAGATGCCCCGGCTCACGTAGTAGATGCAGAAGACTGTCGAGGAAAGAGACAAATCCCGCCATCAGCCATCTGCGCAGGAGAGAAAAAGGTGCCTTCCAAGATGAAAGGGGAAGCTGAAGGTTGACGTCAACCTAGAAGGCATTTCTTCATTTTTAAAAAATATATATATTTAGAGTTAGGTTAGATTGATGAGGCTTTTTTATCTCCAGGGTAGAGGAAACATCCATTAATTGGCTCACCTGTCCTCCCAACAACTATCTTGTGAAGTAAGGAGCTGTTCCCTGGCTCTGAAGGCAGGGAGTGGAGGCTGAGCAAAAGGGAGGTAATCTCAAAAGCCTGCAGTCCTCATGAGTGATTTACAACTTTTACAGCTTTTAAAAACACATTAAAAAGCTAGCACTATCTTGAAAGAGGCACTGGGTTGTATTCAACTAAGTTATACTGGCAGCAGACCCTCTCTGTCTTCCTCTTTCCAGGGTAGAAGTTTCCTTAGGAGCCATTGGCTGCTGCAACCCCAAATATCTCCAGAGAACCCTAGAAAAATTAAAGGTGTGGTTTTTCTAGGTGGGGAGTGGGCAGGAATGAACAGGAGACAACAGTAATGGTTCTGGATCGTGTCATTCATGTTGAGACATTTCTGTGTCCAAATCTGATGACAAATGGGATCCTATCAATTGGGATTCTGTCGAGACGCATCTGCCTGGCAGTTGCAGACACAGAGGGAGGAAAGTAAGATGTTTTTGTGCAGGAATATTTCTGAGCAAGGCGAACCCTGGGCTCTCCAAATGCTAAAGGTGGAGGGAGGGGGATTGGCTGACTTATCTGTCTCTTTTTTTCTTTTCCACAATGAGTAGGGAGCAGTCGAGCTTGCTATGCGGCAAGGGATTTTGAGGGTGGCAGAGTAGGAGGCAAACATATCTGACTTGGCAAACTGGGAAAGGACCAGCTCAGCAGGGGACCTTAGGTTCAGGTCCCAGGTTCTGTAGGGATGGGTAGACTCCCTGCCTGGGACCCTGAAGAGCCACTGCCAGCCAGTGTGGGCAATACTGAGATAGAAGGACCAAGTTGGTTATCACCCAATTCCATATAGCACAGCGCAGGGAAATGCTTGATTGGCTTAGTAGCAATTCTTTTAATATACATGAACTGAGTGCAGTCCTCTCTCGCTTTATTGGCCACCCAGATTCTGTGCGAAGAAGAGTTGCTGATATTTCTGATGGTAGAGAGCATAGCTTTCGGAGGGGGTGAATATTTTGCAGTTTCCATAACTTTAATGAAGTTTGAATCAGAGCCCTAGACTCCATAGAGCATTTGAGTAACCAAATATCATTAGGGCAGGTTCAATCGGCAGCCCTCCCTTATTGTAACAGAACTTCATCAACGCCCTAGCGGTTTCTTGTGCTTTGACTTTCAATGCCTCCATATGCACTTCCAAGAGAGGGTTTCACTAAAGAGTAAATCCAGGTATCTAAATAAGAGGGCTTGTTCTATAGCCTGGTGATTTAAACACCATTTATACCTAGGACTGTGTTTGCAAAAAATCATCATCTTGGTCTTATCCTGTTTACAGTATGTGCAGAAAACCTGCAAGAGATTTTTGAGGCCCATTCGGGAAAATGAGAAGAGCACTAACCAAGATTTCTTGTTCTTAATAACTGGAGATACCCTCTCTATATATCAAGCTCTTATCTCTCCATTTTTGGAGATAATTGTTCAAGGACGGGGGTGGGGAATGAGACCTTGTCGGTTGATAAGAACAAGAAATGTTTACCTTCTATGGCCACAGCCAAAATTAAATCAGTCCTAATCTAATTATTGCTTATAACAAATCTCTTGAAATGTAATTAACATTCAGCCTGGGTAGCATCAAGAGCCAACATTATGGTTATTTATGATTTTACAGTACCCATGACGGCAATTGCCTGCTCTTAGGGTGCAGCTATACTCTGCCCATATTGTTAGTATTTTATTTTTTGAGGTGATCTATGCTATCTACTGTCCCAGTCAGACTTCTAGACGCATAGCAAATAGAAAAAGCTCACAAAGGTAATCACTGAACTTAAGTTTACTGAGAATTTCAATGTCTTGGGTTTTTAATAGGTTTTTTCTCTTTTTAGGGCCAGATTTCTGGTTCTCATGATTGCACGGGTGTGCTCCAAAACTGCTGCTGAACCACGTTGCTTTCGCGATCCTCAGGATCAGCTAAATCAGAAATTAATTTTTATCCTTATTTTTGTCAGTCAAAAATACACTGTGCAAGGTAGCGTGCCATGGAAACTGTACAAAATGGGAGGAAAATTGCGCAGATGTTTCTTAACTGGCTTCACTGTTCTCGGTTCGGGAAGCCAGCCTTTCTTAGCAGAGAACATGGAGATTTGTTGTTGGAGCACAAATGGCCTCAGCCGCCGGTCGTGCCTTATGTTTGTATCTTCCTTTCTCCAAGTTCTCAGGGTCCTCTTCATTACCTACTGCCCGATCGTTGCAACTGGACTGAACCCAACGCCTTTTGCATTCAAAGCAGGTATTCCACTTTTGTGTTGCAACAGAGGTGTGAGGAACCTCAGGGCCTGGCAGCCAAATGTGGCCCTGTGTGCTTTTGCCCCGCTAGAAAGTGTGACTGAACTGTGATAAGGTACCCTGCATGCCTGGAGATGTTTGTGTAGCCCACTGCCCCACTTTTCGCTCTGGCCCCACCTGCCACTGACATCTGGCCCCCGGGAGGCTCCCCATAAGGGAATGTGGCCCTTGGGCTGGAAGAAGTGTTCTAACCCTGTGCCACTGTCTCTCTTTGTTTAAAAAAAAATGGGGGTAGTGGTGTCCTAGGCTGGGCCCTCAATATTCTATCCAATGGACATGTTTATATGGGGAAATGGGGAATTCCACCACAAGCTATTGGAGGATACAAATATAACCATTTAAATTTGTAATAATAATAATTATTATTATCAATGGGCCCTGCCAGGCTCGTTCTTCTCTGCCCTGCTAAAATCTCTGCCAATACTAAACAGCACCTGATGTTTTTGACCAATCAGAACCTGCCGGCATTCATATTCCAACTGCCAAACATCTCAGGAGGGCAGCGCCTGTGAAATATGAACCTTGTCAAGGGTTCATGGCAGATTCATGGTTTGATTAGAGAACATGAGGCAGGTAGGATGATGTTCACGAGGGAGGAGAGGAGAAAGGGAGGTGGCGGACCTGTTGGCAGGGGAAAGGGGGAGCGTCAGTAGTGTTGTGCAGCTCCCTGCTTGCATCACAAGGTGGTTCTTGGCTCAAAGGGGCCCATGGGGCGCAGTGGTACAAAGCACGGGTGGGCAGCTTTGGGCTCTCCTCATGTTGCTGAGCAACAGCTCCCTGCAGCCCCCAACTAGCGTGGCCAACAAGCAGAGATGGTGGGAGTTGTTGTTCAGCAACATCTAGAGAGCCAAAGGTTCCTCACATCTGGTACAGAGACAGGAAAAGGCCCTAGATCAGCGGTTGCCAAACTTTTTGGACCAAGGGGCACATTTTGGATTTTGAGAGAGGGGTGCCAGTCACAAAACGGCTGCCATGGAGAGTGGGGAGGTGGCATAATGCAAAATTAGAAAGAGTAGGAAGTCCCCTATAATACCTCCCATGGGTTCCACCAACTGGGGGCCTGCGATAAAATGTTGCAGTGTGATGTGCTTCTGTCCCAGCGTTCCATTCCCCCTCCCAGTTTTCTTTTTCCCGCTGCCCACTGAGCATGCACAATCCACAGTGGGTTGTTTGGGGTTTCTTTCTCCTTCCTCCTTTTTTTAAAAAAAATAATAAATGCCTAGCTACATGACAATCTTGAATGCCTCCTTTTGATTTCTATGGGCAGGTTTCACCTCTGTCTGGGGTGGGTGGGGGGCATTAAAAAGAGCTTCACGGTGTGAACCAGGAAGCGACCTTTTCAGATGCCGAGTTGGTTCTCTCTAGCCTTTTTATATCTATGTGTCTCCTTTTGCAGCCGCCGTGCCCCATTCCGCTTGGTTGTCAATTTTTCTCTTCTCTGTCGGTCAGCATTCTGTAGCCATTCAGTACTCACTGGACAATTCTGGGGGGGTTTCTGTGCCTTGGGGCATTTTTTTATTTAAAAAAAAAAAAAGTAGTCCTGCAAACCACCAAGTTATCCTGAGCCTGCTGATATGTATTGTTTGTGTGGTTTTGGCTTTGTATGTGCAAGCATGCACAACCATGTCCAAACTCAAAATGGAATGGTTATCTACTAGGGTTTTGAAGGTCGACAGCTGGATTTGGATGTAGCAAGCGGGAGGGGGGTAATCCTATTCCTATCAGGGAAATGGTTGGGCTAGAGGCGCCACCTACAGTCCATGTGTAGTATTGCCCACAGTTCCAGGACAATGGAGGTCAGAAAACAGAAAAGGTCCAAAGTCCTGGGAGATTGGGCTTGGGTGGAGACTCAAAGGGCACCAATGGTTATTTTCTTAGGCCTTAGTTTTTCACCTGCAGAAAGGGAATGATCTCTCCCATGGCACTGATGTGAACAGGAAACGATATAACAGTTGCAGGAATGCAAAAGGAGCATAGAGAGCTGTCTTATACTGAATCAGACCCTTGGTGCATTTAGCTCAGTATTGTCTACACTGACTGGCAGCAACTCTCCAGGGTTTCTGGCAGGGAGTTACCAGAGATTGAACCTGGGACTTTCTGCATGCAAAGCAGGTGTTCTACAGCTCTTTCCTGTGGGATTAACCGTTAATAAGCAGGATTAATAGCGTATAAAGTAGCTTGTCCCGTTCAGCTCCATGCACACCTGAATAATGCCATTTCTTGAAGAAATTATCTCCACAGTTGAAGGAGTCAGGAAGTTATTTATTTATTAGATTTATATGCCACCTTACCCTCCAAGGAGCTCAAGGTGGTGCACACGGTTCTCCCCATTTTATCCTCACAACAACCCTGTGAGGTAGGTTAGGCTGAGAGGCACTGAGTGGGGAGTCGAACCCTGTTCTCCCAGGTCACAGTCCAACACTCTCAGTTGGTGGCTCAGGCAACAGCAGGAGGGAGCTACTTCCCTTCTGCCTTGTTTGCCAGCTTCTGGTATGTATCTGGTTAGCTATTGGATTTTCCTCTAGAGGGGTCTTTGCTCTGATCCAGGAGCTCTCTTTTTTAATAGATTATATTTTTTGTATATATTCCTATATAAGTTATTGGTTCCCATGCCTTATATAGGACAAAGCAACCAGCCTCCGTTTGTTGAGAGTGGGGCAAAGCCTCCCTCCCTCTCTCTCGTCTAGGGGTCAGAACTGAGTGGGCTTAGCCCCCCACAAGCTAAGATTCTGCTAAATGCACCTCTTGACCAATGGTGGCTTGTGTTCGTTGGGACTGGTAGGCTGAAAGGCAGGGAGGCCAACAGTATTTGGCAGCAAAGCCAATGACAGGCAGAGAGCGAATTCTAACTCAGCCTGAATCCACCTCCCTGCTCAGTTCCACAAGGTTAATACCAAGACTTAGGAGGAGGAAGCTGACAGCCCATGCTACCAGCTGGAGTGGTTCTAAGAAGACAGGCAAATGGGGGCTGGCTGAAGGCAGCTCCATTCACCCCAATGGACCAGACCTCCACTACTCTTGACTATCTGCCTTATAAATGTCAGGCCGGCACAACCTCCATTAAGAAGGATCATGTGTGTGTATGTGTTTGTGTGCTTCCATGTACAGACACATTTCCTCCCCTACCCCTCACCTGAGGCCTCTGCAAAATATAGCCCTTCTTCCCACCCATCAAAAACATAAAACGGGCATTTTGCTGTAGAGTCCCCTCTTCCTTACCGACGCCGATCAGCTGAATGAGAGAGACAGTGAAGTCTTCATCCTTCTGCTGAATGAGGTTCTCTATGGTTAATCCGATGACGCTCAACAGGGAGAGGATGGTGACGCAGAAATAGATCTTGACCGGAGAGGACAGCTCCGACCAAGGTTTGATCTGCAATCAGAAAGGCATGTAAATGTTCTCTAAGCAGCTTTGCAACTAGGTAAAAAAACCCACATGGTTTCATAGCAGCCCTGCAAAATAACCCAGTGTTGTTTTGGCAGGGTGTGTTCTTTCGAACTCCCTGCTCATACGTAGCAGGCAGGGACCTTCCCTGTATTGTTTCCTGTGCCTGAGTAAAACTTATTTGTTTAGGCAAGGCTACCTAGGCAGGTAATTTTAACACGTATATCTATTTTCAACCTGCTTGTTTTCTTTATAGCTTGTTAAACGTTATGTCAACTGGTTTTTAAGGGTTGCTTTTATCAATATTTTTAAATGAATCTATTGTGCCAACTGCCAATTCCAGTGGATGCTCGGGTTGCGAATGTGATCCGTGCGGGAGGCGTGTTCACAACTTGCAGCGCCGCTTCTGCGCACGTCGCGATTTGGTCTTCTGCACATGCGCAAAACGCGATGTAGTGTTTTTGCGCATGCGCGAGCGCCGAAACCCGGAAGTAACCCGTTCCGGTACTTCCGGGTTTGGTGCAGTGCGCAACCCGAAAATGCGCAACCTGAAGCATCTGTAACCCGAGGTATGACTGTAAGTGGTATATAATTTTGTTAAATAAACAAAAGTTGGGAGTTGGGGAATGGGTGAGACTGAGAGATGGTAGTTAATGACAAAGTGCCCCCCCCCCCGTTTTTATTCATTCATTCGTTAAATCTATCTATCTATATCAGGGGTCGGCAACCTAAGGCCCATGGACCACAAGCGGCCCATGGGGGTCGTTTTACCGGCCCACAAGCCGCCCACTCAGCGAGTCCCTGTGCTGCACTAAACCGGCACAGGGGACTCACTTTTGCAGCGCCAGATATTGTGTCTGCACAGACACAGACACCAGAAATCATGGGTGTGCGCGCTCACACGCACACGCGATCCAGCCCATGGAGGGGGCTCAGCGGCAGTGAACTGGCCTACGCAAGGTAAGCCTTGCCGACCCCTGATCTATATCATGCCCTTCCTCCTGAAGGAGCTCAGGGCAGCAAACCCATCAAGCAAACTTCATAGTGCTTTTCACCAATAGGCTCTGTTTTCAGGCTTTCAAAATAATCAAAGTTTCCTGAATGATGTACATTTACGTATGTCAGGTTTTATTATCTAAATGAAGCTTTTTTTAGAGCAGAGGTTTGATAGGTCCCCGCCCCCAAGTGACTTTTTAAAAAACAGTCACATGGAAAACAGAGAAAGGAGGTGGGGTAGAAGCAGCAGATAAAACCAAAGAGGGATATGTCATTACTGCAACAAACGCAGAAGATAAATGCAACTGAAACTAACAGGAAATCAATTGGTTCAGATACTTACAGGGCCACATGGGGTAGGGATGAGGTCTTGATGTCTTGGGGTTAGATTTGGCACCACAGAGGTTAAAACTTCACTTGGCAGGGGAGGCTCTTGTGTCTCCTCCGAAGGGAAAAGGAGGACCCTGGAGGGAGAGAACAACAAGGAAAGGATGTCTGGAGGTGAAGCTAAGTGGAAGTGTTGCGTATAGATGTGAGAAGGTTTTTGGGTTCAGTGGGTAGCCTCTGAAAAACCATGGCTCCTGCCCAGCCAGTCTTTTACTGAACTGATTTCAGTTTGAACTTCCTGCTCCAACTTTTTGAATTGGAGACCTCGTGGGCATGGGGGGATGGGAATCCCCACCAAGATGCCCTTGATGTAAGCTAGCATAAGAAGCATACTTGTGGACGCCACAGGCTGTTGTGCGAGAACAGAGGCAGCCCCTTTCGTGAGTCAGGACTGCAAGAACACGCATGCTTATCCGCTGCATGGAAATCTGGACCACAGTGACATGCTCAAGGATGTCATGATTTCTTCCCTCATCCTGTCCGCACTTCTAAATTTCAACTGAAAGCTAAGTTTCTTTTGTTGCTGAAGTAGAAGCAACCAGGATGGAATCTTCGCCATGTCTTAGTGTGGTGTAGTGGTTAGTGTTGGATTGGGACCTGGGATAGCAAGGTTGAAAGCGAAGCCACAAGGTGTGACTTTGGACTGTTGACAATCTCTCTTGCCTAAACTATCTCACTGGGTTGTTGTGAAGATAAAATGGAGTCAAGCATGCATGCCTCCATGAGCGCCTTCTAATAATAAATATAATTATTACTTTTATTGCATTTATTTATTTATACAATTGGTCACTTAAAAAAAACAACTAAAGTAACTAAATGCATCAGTATAAATTTAGTAAAAAATAAATACGTTTTCAAAACAAATTCAGAATATTTGAAGGGCTCTTTTATTTTCTTTTTTTTTAGAAAAAGCATCTCAGAATTCAAAGTTTGGTGGTGGTGGTGGTGAAATGTGACGTCAACAGTCGCGGTGAGGTCGCGACGTGATGCGGCGCCGACGTCACAGTGCCACTTTAATGCAGACCAGAAGGAGAACTCTCAGGTCCAGACTGGTAGCTCCACCCTCGCACCCAACCGCCGCCCTCCCCCGCCCCACCCGCGCTCGCTACGGGTCCCCGCGAGGCGCAAGCGGCGGCAACTACCTCGAGTCGGGAGGCTCCATGGCGACAGAGTCAGTTACATGGCCCGACGGGGAAGCGAGCGGGCACCAGCTCCGCTTCCAGGCCTCAGGCGCGTTTTCGGGAGCGGGTAAGCCATAGAGCCACTGGCCGAAGTCCTAGACTGGCAAAACTTCCGGTAAAAACAGGAAGTGTATGCTCCCCTTCCGTAGCTCTTCGCTGTCGCTTCCTATGTAGAGACTTCGCGTTGGGAGTTCAAAGGAGTAAAGCCCGTAGAGATATAAAATTTTAGAGTGACGCATAACGAAAGCACAACTTGGAATTCTGAAAAAAAAAGCAGAGACTTGGTTTTTTAAAAAAATTAAAAGCCCCCTTTCACTTTTAAAAAGTTTTATTGTAGTGGGGTTTTTTTAAAAAAAGTTGCCGTTTTGGTCATCGCTTCGTATAGATGAAGAGGTGCCTGGTGTGATGCAAACCCTCCACTTTTGACTGGAAAGTGGATTTGTTGTTGTTTAGTCGTGTCCGACGCAGTTTGGTCAAACTCATGCTGGTAGCTTCGAGAACACTATCCAACCATCTCGTCCTCTGTCGTCCCCTTCGCCTTGTGCCCTCCATCTTTCCTAACATCAGGGTCTTTTCCAGGGAGTCTTCTCTGCTCATGAGGTGGCCAAAGTATTGGAGCCTCAGCTTCAGGATCTGTCCTTCCAGTGAGCACTCAGAGCTGATTTACTTAAGAATGGAGAGGTTTGATCTTCTTGCAGTCCATGGGACTCTCAGTAGTCTCTTCCAGCACCATAATTCAAAAGCATCAATTCTTTGGCGATCAGCCTTCTTTATGGTCCAGCTCTCACTTCCATACATCACTACTGGGAAAACCATAGCTTTAACAAAAAAGTGGATTTACTGAGATAGAAAGTTTACAGTGATGCACGCTGGGTTACAGCCAGTGTTAACCCTACTCAGAGTAGAATAATAGAAGGCTCATTTTGTTTTATTCCAGACCCACTGGAATACAGTTACTCGGGTTACATACGCTTCATGTTACAGACTCCGCTAACCCAGAAACAGTACCTCGGGTTAAGAACTTTGCTTCAGGATGAGAACAGAAATCGTGCTCCGGCGGCACGGCATCAGCGAGAGGCCCCATTAGCTAAAGTGGTGCTTCAGGTTAAGAACAGTTTCAGGTTAAGAACGGACCTCCGGAACGAATTAAGTACTTAACCCGAGGTACCACTGTAAATGGACATCAGCCCCATTCAACCCTTACTTCGTTTGCCTGTAGCCCTCCAAATGTCATTGCACTACAACTCCTATCAACCCTGACCATTGACTATGTTGTCTAGAGCTGAATCATTCTGAGAGGCGAGCCAGTTTCCTCAGCCCTGGTTTGCAGAAAAAACAACAACTTTAGGCTTGAAGTGCCCATAGGAACTGAGCGGTAGGGGTGGGGGTGGGGGTTGCCTGTGCAGACACTCATGCATTTAAATTACACCTTCCTCCTGGAAGGCTGCTCTGTGAGGGATGAACTACAATTCCTAGCATTCTTGTGGGATGGGGGCATAGCTGTCAACTTTCGGATTTGAAAATAAGGGATCAGCAGCCTCAAAAATAAGGGATCAGCAGCCTCACCTGTCCCGGGGACAGTCTACGGGATATCTAACAATCCAGGATAGCAGTGGGAAGCAGCGGGAAACGGAGCTGAAATAAGGGGATTTCCCACAAAAAAAGGAAAGTTGACAGCTATGGATGGGGGTCCTTTAAATATATTGTGTATGCCACAACATTCACATCTTCCCCCTCATTCCTGATTCCTGGGTTGGAGTAAAGAAAGTGGGGGACTTCCTCAAGGAGACTAGAAACTTGGATTTTCTCATAAACTGGAACATATTTTGTTTGCTTGCTTATTGGGAATATTTCAGCTTCATGGCGGTGAAAGAAAGAAGTAGAAAAAAACATTATTTCCTCCCTCCCCGAAGGTGAGGGTGTGTGACCTGAGTCGTCTCTAGAAACTTACAACTCTGTTATATCGCTAGCCCCTTCTTGTATTAACTAACGCTTGCTAGTTATCTTTGGCTGCAAAATCTCTCACGGCAGCAACCCGGAAAAGACATGCCGGGAAATTCGTCGCGCTCTGCACGTGCCTAGAGGCACAGTCACCTTGCAGTGTCAGGTTTGTGGCCGGGCAAAGGAGCCTGGTCCTAAGTGCCAGTCTCTCTCCGTCACCTTGAGAATTAAAGTATTCATCGCATTCAAAGAATCGCAGAGTTGTTAAGGGATCGCGAGGGTCATCTAGTTCAACCCACTGCAATCCAGAAATCTTTTGCCCGACGTGGGGCTCGAACCCGGGACCTTGAGATCTCTTTCTCACTCCCCACAACACCTTGCTCCGCCCGATCAGAGGAGGAGCCCTTTGCAGACCAGGCGGGGCTTCTCCATCCGCGGAGGCGGCCGTGATCATGGCTGCGGAAGGGGAAGGCAAGACTTGTCCGGGACCGCAGGCAGGTGGGTGTGTCGGGGGCAAGCATTGTGCGATTGCATTGCAATGGCGGGGGTAATTCCCTCCCCACCCCCCAAAATTTGGGAAGTTGCTGGAGACATTTGCAAAGCTTAGCGCCGCCACATCCCCCCCCCCCGCAAGGGCTGCGCTGCAGGGATTGCAATATTTTGTTTTGTGCGTTCAGCACAGCAACGCGGTGTGTGTTTGTGTGTGTCTCTTTGAATGGTTAGTTCTGCCGCGGCGTCTTGCAATTGTTAATTTTGGGGCGGGGAGATGCCTGGATGGTTTTTGAATTATTGCCAGGGCTCAGGAGCTCTGAATGTAGTGGTCAAACTATTGAAGTGGGTACGGGTGGGTGTATGTCTCATCGGCTGAACCAGGGATCACCAGCCCGCCCACGCACCCCCTTCCAAGGGTAAAGGGGGGGTAGATACAGTTGAAATAAAGGCAGGCAGTGGTGCTATTGTAGTGGTGGTCTTTGAATTAACCCTGGAACTGAATCAGAAATTAGCACCTTAAAGTAAGGCTGCATGCGCACAGAATAATGTTAACACACAGTTTTCCCCCTCCCAAAGAATCCCGGGAACTGTAAGTTGTTAAGAGCTCCCTGAGGGGTAAACTACACTCCCCAGGAATCTTGCAGAGTGTGCTTTAAAAAGTTAGGTGGGTATGCAGCCTAAAGGATTAATTGTGCCATGAACTCTTTTGCACTTCACCAGATCATGTAGAGGTGTCTCTGTACCTGTATCCACACTGTGTGTTTGTGTGTATGTAATAGCACACTGATGTTGTGGTGTAGTGGTTAGTGTGTCAGACTAGGATCTGGGTAACCAGGGTTCAAATCTCCCCCACTTAGCCATGAGGATCACTGGGTGAGCTTGGGCCAGCTGCTGCCTCCTAGCCTGACCTGCCTCACAGGGTTATTGTGGGCATTAAGTGAGGAGGGGGAAACCATGGACTCCACCTTGAGTTCATTGGGGGCAAAGGTGGGATATAAATGCAGTAATATAGATGCACAGATGGATGTGTAGAAAAATGTGAATGGCGGGTTTCAGCAGGAAAGAAGCACAAACAACAAGCCCCTGACCATTCAGCTGAAGCTGAAATGGATGAGGAGAAAGCACAGCCACCATTCCAGGACAGCAATAATTTGTGACTGCCACCTAGCTTTGCCTTTCAAGTGGGACAGGAAACCAATGTCTCCATTCAGGCCTCAACTAATAGAATCAAACCTCTTGATCCATTGTCATTTCACCCTGGTGTCTTCTTTTACAGTTCCTCTGGTCAAATAGGCTTCTGGTGTCAGAGCTGTGGCTGCTTATTCTTTTACATAGAGACAGACCTGTTTGTCCTGGGGAGGCAGGCATTGTTAACAGTAGACATATAACATTGATAAAGAGAAATCCAGGAAGACCAGAAGCCGCAACTGCCGGCCGGTCAGTTAAGCTTGGCAAACAATTATCAGGTGCTCGGCCTCTTTTGTCCCATGCTCATTTGGCTCCACTGTTTTCATTTGACTCCATTGATTGGCGGGGGACTCAGGCCTTGAGCTCAAATGGGACCCTCCAGGCATCTCTGTCTAGGCCTCAAAACTCTCCCCAGGCCACAACCCGCAGTGACCCAAGTGTTTCGGCCTGGCTGGAACTCTGACCGTGCCTCTTGCTTTTCTGAATGGAGGCTGGAGCGGGAGGTGTGTGTGCATGCACAAACTAGTCTTCTACAAAAGGTATAATTTTTTTTGCTGCTCCACCTATTTTGTCTCTGGCCCTGCCCAGCACTGGCATGTGGCCCTTGAAAGATTGCCCAGTAGAGAAGGTGGCCCTCAGGCTAAGAAAGTTTCCCTATCGCTGCTTTACAATAATCATTCTCTGTTACTTAGTTGTATTTAAATTACAGCTATGGCTTGAATCCCAATGCATCTGATTCAATAAGACTCTAGTCCAAAGAAGACACGTGCCATAATAGAATTGGTTAGTCTTTAACATGTCATGAGACTCTTGGTGGTGTTTGCTGGAAGAAGTCTAAGACAGTTGCTTTTCTTGCGTTTCAAGAGCTTCATTTGACCTGGATTAGACCTGGAAGCTTTTTCCAGGGTCATTATTGCCTCTGTGTGTGATTAGGTACAGAATGATATTTATTACTGTCAGGTAGTTTAGGCCATAATAGGGTGCATAGTCGAAGATCATCAGAGAGTTTGTCACTGAGCGTGAACCCTGATCTTTCAAGTTTAAATCTGACACTTTCTGCATTTTACATGTTCCTCTTCTTTGGCGACCACTTGTAGCTAAGTAAGACTGTCTTCCATGAACATGGTCTTAACAGTGAGTCTGTAAGTGACTGTGGAGGCCAATTCTGGATCCACACATTCTTCCACAGTGGGTACATAGGTTTCCGGGCGGGAGTTAATCATGGTGAGGGTTTCCTCTTAGCACATTTTCCCCTTTCGTCCTGAGTTTGAGCGTCTTCAAAGCCCATGGCATCTTTGGTAAAGGCTGTTCTCCATTTGGAGCACTTGCAGGCCAGTGTTTCCCAGCTGTCAGTGTTTATAATACATTTTTTTAGATTTGCCTTGAGAGAGTCTTTGAACCTCTTTTGTTGACCACCAGCATTACGCTTTCCATTTTTAAGTTTGGAATAGAGTTGTTGCTCGGGAAGACGATAATCGGGCATCTGAACAACATGACCAATCCAACGAAGTTGATGTTGAAGAATCATTGCTTTGACACTGGTGATCTTTGCTTTCTTCCAGTGCACTGGTATTAATTTGCCTGTCTTC